TCTTCAAGCCCCGCGCCCGCGCGTGGAACCTTGACGCAGCGATCGCGTCGTGCAAGGCCCAAGTCGCTGCCATTGCAACCGAGTGCTACGCGGCCAATCGCCACTTCCGCGACGTCGAGTTTGACTTGAGCGACGACGACTGCTTGAGCTCGCTCGCCGAGGAATGGGACCGCGCGCCGCCTGGCGGCACCCTTCGCGTCCGCGATATCTTTACATCGCCTGTGTTTTGCGACCACGGCTACGACGCCAGCGACATCATGGACGGCTACGCATCGTGGTTCCTTACGGCCGTCGCGTCGGCGTGTGCGATGCATGGCCTCCTCGAACGGGTGTGCGTGGCCCGCGACGAGAAGGTCGGTGTCTATGGCTTCATCTTCTTCAAGGACGGCGAGTGGGTGCCCGTGCTTATTGACGACCAGCTCTTTGTGTCGGAAACGGACTTTGACCACGCCTACACGGGCGGGATTGCCATGACCAAGACGACCTTCAACGCGACGTTTCGCTCCGGCTCGTCGAGTCTAAGCTTTGCCAAAGCCGCGTCGCCCAACGAGACGTGGCTGCCGCTCCTCGAGAAAGCGTACGCGAAGCTCCATGGCGACTACAAGTCGATCGAGGCGGGATTGACGGGCGAAGCGCTTGAAGACCTCACGGGCGGTGTCACGACGCGAACTTATCTGAAAGACGTCTCGGACCATGACGCGCTGTGGCAACACGATCTCGTTGGCCATCTCCACGTCGACGCGCTCTTTGCCGCATCGATTGAGACCAAACACTCGTACCCGGACTTGGCCTCGAGCAATGGGTTGCTGCACTTGCACCCGTACGCGGTGCTGCGCGCGGTCGACGTTGGTGGCCACCGACTTGTCCAGCTGCGCAATCCGCAGAAAGGGCAGGAATGGACCGGCGACTGGTCGGATAGCTCGGCGCTCTGGACCGCCGAGATGATCCACGCGCTTGGCCACAGTGGCGGGGACGACGGCTGCTTCTGGATGTCCTGGACGGACTTTCTCGACGAGTTTACGCACCTCGAACGCACGTGGGTCGATGACGCCGCCACGTCACTCGCTGTGCGCCCGAGTCCGTGGGTGGCACTGCGCGCGGAATGGCCGGCGACGTGGCAGCCGTCTGTCTTTACGTTTGAAGGCCCCGACGTGCTCTCACGGGTCACGGTCGTGCTGCAGCAAGCCGACACACGCCGCTTTGTGGGCCTCGAAGGTCGCTACAAGTTTGGACTTCGCTGCGCTTTGTACCGCAGCCCGGACGCCACGACCAACAAGAAGCGAGTCCTCGTCGGCCAATATACCCAAAACGCCTTCGACCGCAGCGCCAGCCTGCAAGTCGTGCTCCGCCCGGGTCAGTACGAGCTCGACGTGATGGTTCTCCGCACTGCCTCGGGGCGCGCGTCGATCGAGGAGGTCATTGCTGACGTCGGCGCGTCGCGGCCCGAGAAGCTCCGACAGCGCTGTGAAGCCGTGGATGCGAGCCGCGCCCGCGCCAAGAGTGATGTGCGCGTGCTCGCGATGGCGGCTGCGACGCAACACACCGCGTACGAGCGCGCGCGGGCAACGACAGGGAGCGCGCAAGAGGATGGCAGCCTCGAAGGGTCGGTGGTTGTCGGCCTCCGCCTTTTGTCAAAAGCCGTTTAAGCTAGCATGCATCGTGTATCACAGACGATAAGACATGCTATTGTTTGATGTCTTTTCTAGCGACCGGCGGAAAGTACAAGGCGGGGTTCGAAGCGCCGCCACGCAAATTTGCGTGCTGGAATGTCCCGGTTCACGTGTGAATCGACTAGAGTCGACGGGGGCTTCTTGGTCGCTGCAAGGTCCGCGATCTACCCATCCGTGGAAGCCGCCTTCTATACCATCGCTCATGCAATCCCAGAATGATGGTACATGACGTGGACGGACTGCATCAGCACGTGGGTGCTATCGTGTGGTGTGCAGGATTTGGTGTGTTGGACGACACATAGCAAGGTATTGCTGTGCTACTACAGTAAGGGTGACGGCCGTGCAGCTCGTTGTTACAGCGTCAAGGCCCTTCGCACCACGTCTACCAAGCTGGGCAACTAACTCGGCACGGGCCCTCTCAAGCTCCACTTCCACGACATGACCAACGACGATATATCGGATATGAGCGGCATGGCGTCAGTCTCATTCGCCTAGCACGTGCGGCCGCGTGGCGTTCGAAGGTCGCACTCTTCGAGCTGCGGGATTCAGGATCGACGCCCCCACGAGGGGTGCTGTGACAGAGAGCTGGGCAAAGATGACGCAATAATGTGTCGGGTTGTCGCTCGTTGTGCAGTTTGTGTGTCTAGCGCCAAGTTGCCGTTTCCACGTGGCATGCTGCCAGCTGCTGCTCTCGTTTAAGTTCGACGTCCGCGCACAAAAGGCAAAGTAGCACCCAAGTCACGACGTCGGTGCGCTTTCTACCTGGCACCGCCGCAGGTGATGCTCACTTTCCTTTTGCCTCGTCCGAGACAACAATCTACCATGCCTGCCAAGACAAAGAGCCGCGCCAAGGCGACGGCGGTCACCAAGCCGTCGCTGCTCGCAACCGAGAGCCTTGCGACGGCCATTGCGCGCTGCAAGGACGAGGTCGCCGAGATCGCCGCCGAGTGCCGGGCCAACAACCGCGTCTTCCGTGACATTGAGTTTGACATCGCCGGCAACGAGTACGACTGCCTCAGCTCGCTCACCGACCTCTGGGACTCGACGACGCCGGGTGGTGCGCTCCGCGTCCGCCAGATCTTCAAGGACCCGATCTTCTGCGACGATGGCTTCGACGCCGGTGACATTCAGCAAGGAACGACTGGCAACTGCTGGTTCCTCGCGGCGCTCGCATCGGTGTGCTGCGTACCCCGGGTCATCGAGAACATCTGTGTCGCCCGCGATGAGAAGGTCGGTGTCTACGGCTTCATCTTCTTCAAGGACGGCGAATGGCAGCACGTCATCATCGACGACCAGCTCTACGTGACCCATACCGATTTCGATCACGCGTACGAGTCGTACGTCATTAGTGACAAGGCCAAGTACAAGGAGCTCTTGCGCACGGGGTCACAAGCGCTCTTCTTTGGCAAATCGTCGTCGGCCCGCGAGACGTGGCTGCCGCTGCTGGAGAAGGCGTACACGAAGCTCCACGGCGACTACAAGTCGGTCGAAGGCGGTATGACGGGCGAAGGCATTGAAGACCTCACTGGCGGTGTCACCACGACCATCTTGACGACGGATATCCTCGACTATGACCGGTTTTGGGCCGAGGAGTTCTCGCGCACCAACATCGACACGCTCTTTTCGGCTGCGGTCATCAAAAAGTACTCGGGCTTGGAGTCGCGCTCCGACAACGGCTTGGTGCACCTGCACGCGTACTCGATCCTCAAGGCAGTTGAAGTCAACGGCACGCGCTTCCTCATGATCCGCAACCCGTGGGGGCAGCACGAGTGGAACGGCCGCTGGTCGGACGGCTCGAAAGAGTGGACGCCCGAGTGGATGGCAGCTCTGGATCACAAGTTTGGCGACGACGGCGCGTTCTGGATGCAGTACGAAGACTTTATTGAAGAGTTTACCGAGATCGAGCAGACCCGTCTCTATGACGCCAACTGGTTTGTCAACCAAGAGTGGATGGAGTACCGGTCGGCGTGGCCAGCCGCGTGGGATCAAGGTCTCTTCCAGTTCTCGCTCTCGACCGACGGACCGGCCAATGTCGTGCTCGCCAAGGCGGACGAGCGCTACTTCCACGGCCTCGAAGGCCCATATGACTTTGGCCTGCGCCTCGCCGTCTACCGTCGCAACGACGACGGCGAGAGTCGGTCGTTTGTCGGTCATTTCGTGCAGAACTGCTACAACCGCAGCATCAGCTTGGAGTTCAAGTCCCTCGAGGCCGGTGAGTACGACGTCGATGTCATGGTCGTGCGCCGCGGCCGCGGTCAGCAAGGCGCCGAAGACGTCATCTCGGACGTCGGCAACGCCCGTCCGGACAAGCTGCTTCAGATCTGCAAGAACTTTAACGCGAGTCGCGCCCAGGCCGTCAACCTCCATGGCGAGTACGACATTCTCGACAAGGCCAAGGAGACGCAGTCGACCGAGTTTGAGATCGCGGCCAACCGCGCGCGTAAGGAAAAGCTTCTGGAGCTCGAGGCGCAAGCGGAGGAGCCAGAGGACGAAGAGACGCCCAACGACGACGAAGACGGCAACGACGAGAACGATGAGGCCCAGGAACAAGATGAAGAGGAAGAGGCCGCCGACGAGCCAATCGAGGGCGATGCGCTCAGCGGCGCCGTCGTCCTTGGCCTCCGCGTCTACACCAAGGACGCCAACGCTACCGTGACGGCCGTCATCAAGGCTGACTAATGATATTGTGGTAATTTTATTATCGACGAATATCTCCGTTTTGGTTCGAGTGGAGACTGTTTAGAGAAGCCCCGACAGGACGGACGTCGTATGTGAGTAGTACGCCGGTATGTATGTGTATCTCGGACGAGGCTTGGTCGTGGCGGGTTGCCGGGGGCGTGATGGTAGAGTGCAATCACGGCGGTCGTCGTCGTTGGACCACTCCCTGCTGCTGCTGCCACGTGTCGCTGGAGGCGATCCTGATTTTATCCGGACACGATTATCCGAACAATAGGCGCGACAAGTAGCCAGTTGAGTGCCACATCGGCATTTGGAGTTTGGAATGAAGTCTCTTGTTTCGTTCTACTAGTATGCGAATAGAGAAAGTTCTAAGGAGCCCAAAACCTCAAGAATGGTGCTCGCAGCGTGCCTACAGCGTGTACTGTATTATGTTCAAGCTGGGCGAAATTGATATTCTATCAGTGTATCAGTGTATCAGCTCTCATCCACTTCAACGGCGCATAACAATCACTGTATGCGCGCTACGAGCACCATTCTTGAAGTTTGGGGCTCCTCGAGGTTTCCTCTATCCATATAGATCGAAACAAGAGACTTCATTCCAAGCTCCTCAAGTCGATCTCTCATCAAGCAGTTTGCTGCGTCGATGTCGATTGTCCGGATAAAAATGTACGGATAAAAGAGGCTGCAACGAGACGCAAAAAATTCAATGCTGCTGGTAGGAAGGAGCCACCCACCAAGCATGAAAACTCCCGTCTTCGTCGGATTATAACGCTAGTGGAAAAATGAGTACTTGGTGCACTCGGATACTTTCTGAGTGTAGATGGATGACAAACATGCCCGCGACATTGCTGCAATACACAATCCTCACGTGCCGCGGCTCAGTAGCGCGAGACCGTTGATGACTGCCGAGAGACGCTGTTCATGTGGGATACGCAACGTTTCTTGCTCAAGCGTCGTGAGCCGTTTTCTAGTATTTTTGTGGATTACTGTACACAATACACTAGCAGTAGTGGATATTGAGCCAATACGGCGCGTCCACGGCCATCGAGGGTGTCGGCTCGAAGAAATAGCCTTCATCATCCTTCCTGATGATTTCGTACTCCAATTCATCGTCTGCCTCCAAGCAATTGGGCGTGGAGCTTGTTTGGCTCTTGTCCGACGCCGCACTCGCGAGATCGGCGATCGCAACCGTTCCTGGTGTCTGCTCCATGGACGGCACCTCTTGGTTGCTCTCGCCCATGGCAGCACCGAGCTCGTTTCTGGCTTCAGAGGCTTCGTGCGCCTCGCAGAAGAAGGAGGTCAACGTCGCCGGCTCGTTGACGTCGTCGTCGTTCGTCTTGATTGCTGCTGAATCTTGGCTTTCTCCCGCGTCTTCGCTGAGCATGGTCTCGTCAACGACAGTCGCCGCGACGCGACTCGCAGGCAACGACCCTTCGTCGTCCCTCGTCGCCTCCTCGTCGTCTTTCGCTAGCAACGGCTGCATGTCGTGCAGGCACACAAGAGCGATCTCATCCACGCGACTCATTTCACCGACCGCATCTCTTGGCGTCGCGACTTCCTCGAGCACATCTTGCCCCAGCGGCTCGGAAGCATCTATGCCACTTGGATCCGTTGGCGGTGCGCTCGCGGCTTCAGGCGCTGCACCGAAGCGCAGGGCCATATCGTTCTGCGTCAGATACGGCAGGCCGGTGGGCATGACGTGCGAGCTCAAGCGATGCACGAAGTCGGCGACACTGGTTTCGCACCGCCGCAGACGAGCGACGGTGGCTTGGATGGCGTCGTCCAGTGTCGTCACTGCATACAGACGCGTTGCGTCGAGTGCGTCGCCGCGTGTGACAAAGAGCTGTAGCTGCAACTGCGCCATGGACCACTGCGCGACGGCTGCACGGAGAGTTGCAAGGAGATCTCGATGGGCGTCCAGCGCTTGGTTGACGAGGGCGGCGAGCAAGCCAGAAGCGACGCCGGAGTCGCTCGCGTCGAGAAGAGCTTTCGTGAACGACTTTGAGACTTGGTACAAGTGGTGCATGGCCAGACGGGCCTTGAACTCGCTCTGGCGACCGTCGTCGATGCTCTTTTGAAAGTCGCCGAGCCGCGTCGTCTCCGCGGTGGCAGGAAGCCCCGACAACACTTGGTGCCCCGGGACCATAGGCGTGGTATCGCTGCACGTCGCTGCATGACCAAGGTCCGTGCCGAGGCGTACGAGAACGAGAATCTGATCGACACCGTTCAAGTTTTTTGTGCGGCGTTCAGCGCGTCTGCGAGGACGTCGAGGTACGCGGGCACCTCGGCGCCAGCAAAGCAAACAGCATTTGCTGCGTTCGCGTGTGTATCGAGGACGGCGCACACGGCGGCGTAGAGGAAATCGGCGTGGGGCAATTGCATTTTGAGAAAAAACTGCAAGTGCTTGCTCATTTCAGACACTGCTGTACCAGTCTGCCATGCCACGGGATACTTGATACAAAGTTGATACTTTGACGCCGGGAGAAAGCCGGACTCGACTTGATACTTGCACTTGATTATAAACCGATGAACCTGGACAGAGGCGCAACAAGAATCGACCACCCGCTGCAGCGTACCCGACGCCATCGGTACCCAAGTGCACCGAGCATATACGTGTTTCGCGTTATCTTCGTTGTTACAAAGAGTTCGCATAAGTAGGATGGATCTCTCCGTGCGCAGCTCACTCCCAACGACCAAGTGCTGGCGCTGACTCCCACGCATTCGGGCGTAGCACTACGTATGCAAACTCTTTGTAAAAAAGATAACGCGGAACACGTTGATATATATATATACGTAGCGACTAGCCATCCCCTTCCTCATTATTCGTTCACCGGGCCGTGGCTGCGCAGGCGGCGGTGCGGGGGCTCGTCTTGCTCGTCTGTAGTCGTCCGGGGGCGCTCGTGGCCGCGGGTGAGGCCCAAAAGACGACCCAATTGAACCATGCAACAACAAGACTCGACTAAGGTAGCGCCAACGTGTATTGCGTACATGCTACAAGTAGCGCCAACGGCATTAGTGACGACATGTAAAAATGGTTCTATCAAATAACGAAGTTAAACGTTTTAAAGGGACGCTGCATTCTCTCTCGTGGCGCATGATTGATACTAGTATTCAAAATAGTCGTTTACCACCTGTACCGAGTGCGTGGTTGCCGCGAGGGGTCCGTCGCGGCACATGTAGCACGTGGCAAGGAGGCGGCGCATGGATGCCTCCAGGGACGACAGATACCGCTCGTCCATTTGCTCCCACGAAGCTGGGTTCTGTATCTGCCTGCCGAGCTCGTTCTTGACATTCATGCCCTTCAATGTCGTCATGCCGTTGTTCAGTAGCCTGATGACGTCTTCCATTCGTGTCGCGAGGCAGCGCAGGTGATCTTGGAACGACATTGGCACCTCGTTGAGATCGCCATTCTCGACGTCGACCACTTCAAAGTCCTCGGCGTCATTTGGCTGAGCGCACGCCACTCGCAGCACGCCCAAGGAAGCTTCTGGCCTTGAGAGAAGCCAGTCGAGTTCTTGCTGCGCTGCCTCGAGCAAGCTGATGGTGTCGGCGAGCGAGCCGACAGCATCCATGAGGATCGTGCGTCCCTCTGTCAAGATGGCAGACACGAGCACTTGGCCGTCACGTGGCTTGTCGGACCCACGCAGGTCGAGAAATCCTTGCAAAAACGCACACGCCTCGTCACACCACTGCAAAATGCACCGGGACGCTCGCTCGTGGGCGTCGCCGGCGTCCAGTAAGGTCGTCGTGAGGCGCCCGACGGTCGCCGCATCTGTCGGGGTAAACTCGCCAATGCAGTGGTCCAAAACGTCGAGTGAAGCACGGACAAACTCCGGCGGGTGCGTCGGACCGTCAATCTCGGCCAAGTACACCTCCAAGCACACCGATAGCAAGTCGAGGGTCGCGGCGACGGGCCCCTTGTGCTCGGCGTGTGCGGGAATACCTTTAGGCTGGTAGGCTCGCTCGTCTCGGTATGGGCCCGTGATCTCGTCGTACATGGTCCACGGATGAAATGTACTGGGGCTTTCAAGATTGTGAGCTTGCTTCGTCGTGTACACTGCCAATGCGAAGCTATGGCTATCGCGGGAACGAATTTGGTGGTAGCCGAGGTAAGCAACAAGCCCGAGAGCCATGAAGGTTGCGAGATGTGGTTCGACCATGGCGAAGCGTGTGATGCAAGGCAATTGACAAGTAAAGCATACCTCAAGAGTCTTGGGACAGCCCTTGGCACTTGCTTGGTCTCAATCGCGACTTGATAGATCGCCATGGCAAAGCTGCGGGCTGACTTGATAGATTTGGAATTTTCGTGTATCCGGAATCCGGATACATGGATGTGCCAGATAAAATGGTATCCGGCAACCTCTGGTTTCGAATAGATACGGCGATCCATTCCAAGAGTTTCGACCGACGGGGTCGACCATGACGAGCTTCGCCGACGTCTTCCGCCCGTCGCTGCAGGCGGCGGCTCTCATGGCCGAGTACCAAGACGGGCTCTTCGAGGACGTCCGCGCGTACATGGCGGACTTCCGGCGCCACGCCCGCGAGCACACGGAGACCAAGCCGCAAGGCTACGAGGTGACCATCTACCCGAGCCGGCTCCACGATGGACCTGCGTTCGGTCTCAACTGCAGCGACCTCCTTCTCGGTAAGCTCGCTGTATCGCGCCAGGTCTGCGAAGCGCCTGTGCACTTTGCGGCGCGCCAAGGCGACCTAGCGATCATCATGCGCTTCCTGGCCTGTCGCCCGACGTGGCTCTGCCTCGACACGATTGCGTGCGCGCTGGCCCACAACCAGGTCGAAATCGGGACGTTCCTCTTGCAGCACCGATCGATCATGCACCCGCGCCCGCTCTGGTCGCCCCGTCGCGGCCCCGCGCCTCCGCAGGCCACGTCCGCAGCGCTCATCGAGGCCCGTATCGCGGCGACGCTCGAGGCCCGCATCGCCGCACACGACCGTCCCGAGCTGCTGAAGCTGCTGGCGACAATCAAACCGGACGCGGACTGGCCCATCGCGCTCGCGGGCGCCATGCAAGTGCGTGCGACGACCGCGATGCAGTACCTCTACGACACGTACGGCGACGACGCTGTCGACGAATGCACGTTGAACGAGGCGTGTGCGGCGGGCCTCTTGGCGTTTGCGCAGCAGCTGCACGAAAAGGGGCATGCGTGCACCATGCTAGCGATGGATCGCGCGGCCATGAACGGGCATCTGGATGTCGTCCGCTTCCTGCACGAACACCGCCGCGAGGGTTGCTCCCGCACCGCGATGGTCCAAGCCGCGACCAACGGCCATACCGACGTGGCGCTGTACCTTCTCACGCACTTTCCGGCGGCCGAGTCGGCCAAGTTTATGAGCGTCGCGCGCGGCCGCGACTTGCTCCAGTGCCTGCATCGTCGCTCGAAGCGGCGCTGCTCTGTGCGCGCGCTCGCGACCGCGGCGATCCACGGCGATGCCAAAGCGCTCAAGTGGATTCTAACCGAGTATCCCTTGTATGGTTCTGTCTTGACGGCGCGCGGCGACGGCTTCCAGTGCCTCCTTGCGGCCGCCTGTGGCGAAAAGGGCAATCTCGACATTGTCGTGCGCCTAAGCACGCACGTCTCGCCGCCGCTGCCTCCAACCAACAACTTTGTGGCCGCCGCGACGCGCGAGATCAAGCGCGTGCTCGATTCCGACATGCTCTCGCCCGTGCACATGGCCATGGCGCACGGCCACTTGGAGATCCTCGACTACCTCGAGACTCGCCAGAGCGTCACGTGGAGCCGCGTCATCCCAGGCCACGTCCAAGCTCGCATCTGCGCACACATACGCGCGCCGTTCATTTGGTCGTATCTGCGTAACCGCGGAGTCGTACTCGACGGTTCGTGGGCGACTGCAGCGTGCGGCTACAGTCGTCACTGGGCGTGGGCAGAGTCTATCGTCGCGACAGCCAGCTCGCCGATGGGAATGCAGTGGCTCATGCACGCCGCGCTCCGTCATGATCGTGACGTGGTGGCGACGCTGTGCCAGTTCAAAAGCCGCTTGTATCCGCCGACCGCCGAAGACATTGTCGACTGCGCGTACCTTCCGGACGTCGTGCGCTACTTGTACGCAACGTACCCGACTTCGTTTACAGCCAACGTCCTCGAGACCGCCGTGAGCCGCGGCGTCGCCAACACGTGGCTCGTGCGCTTCCTCCTCGGCCATGGCGTCAGACGCGTGCGCGATGCCTTCCCGCAGACGATCCGGCACCAAGACGCGGCTGGCTTTGCGCGGCTCTGGCCTTTCTGCAAGTCTGGCGACGGCGTCGACGACCTCTTGTACCTCGCGACGCTGGCCTACGGTGTCGTGGACCGCCCCAACCGCGTCCTCGCCGACCTCTGGCTCGAGACGTTCACGGCGACCTTCGAGTTGTGCGAGACACCGACGTTTCTTACCTTGCGCTTTGCCCGGTTTGCGAGTGAGAACCCGTCGGCGGCCGCGTTCTTGAAGGACCTCCGCGACGAAGGCCTCCGCCCCTTCAACTGGCTCGTGCCGCGCCTCTTGCGCAAGGACGTTGCGGCGTACCTCCAGCACATTCTCACGACGTGGGAGCAGTACGTGCTCCAAGAGAACCCAAAAAACCCGCCGCAGCCGAGCTCGTTTCGCACACCGATCCGATGGCGGCGCCTTCGACGGCCCGTGTGGTAATAGCTGTGTACTGCAGGGACCACGAGGCAGCAGCAAGAGGTAGTATGGTGCCAGGTGGCGTTGTGGTGTGGCACCTCCTTTCAGAGCGTGCAACCAGTCCAATACATCGCAATACCAAAGCCACATGTAAAAGTAGTTTTTGAGCTCTAGTCTAGTGGCACAGTTGGTGGTTTAGGGTTGCGCTGTGGTGGGTTGGCGGGTGGCCGCCTTAGGCCGCAATATCCGGAATGCTCCGTGCGATCCGGATTCACATCCGAATGACGATATGCTATCCGGACAGAAAGGCCATTGTTCGACATGGCCAACTCGCGCTATGAGTACGTGCGGCAGTTTGAGCTGCCGGACCCGGTCCTGCGCAACACGTGGATTGTCGTGCGCGTCGACGGCAAAGGCTTCCACAAGTACGAAGTGGCTTTCTCTGTCTATGGATGTACAACTTGTCTATATTGGATATGGTAGGTTCACGGACGCCCACGGCTATGCCAAGCCCAACGATCTCCGTGGCCTGCACCTGATGAACAAGGTACTTCGCAGGGTAAACGGCACGACTCGAATTGACACGTAGCGTAGGCAGCCACCTGCGTGTGCCAAGAGTTTGGTGACATCCTCCTCGCGTACGGCCAGAGCGACGAGTACAGCTTCGTGCTCTCGGTAGACTGCTTCGCTTCCAAGCGTCTCTCACGTGTCGTGCTGACCGTAGAAGAGCAGCAGCTTGTACAGCCGCCGGTCGACCAAGCTCGCGTCGACCTTTGTTTCGCTGTTTACGTCGTCGTTTGTGTTTTACTGGTCGGCCTTCTTTGGTGACGTGCCGCTGCAGTACCCGCCAGCCTTTGACTCGCGCGTCGTCTGCTACCCGTCCTCCAAGGTACATGGCCTAGTTCGAAAGGACGTAGTCGATGGCGCGAGTATTAGAACTTGCGCGACTATCTGGCGTGGCGTCAAGTCGACTGCCACATCAACAACATGTACAATACGTGCTTTTGGCGGCTGGTGGAGAGCGGTACTAGAGACGCTTCCCGGTGGACTGGACTCTATTGATGTGCATACTAGGCGAGTCCAAACAAGCAGCGGAAGCGACGTTGTGCAAGACGCTGGCCAAAGACAAGCAAGAGCTACTCTTCTCTCGCTTCGGCCTCAACTACAACGATGTCGATGCCATTTACAAGCGAGGCTCGTTGGTGCTGCGCGAGGCCAAGACGCTCGTGGTCGTCCACGACGACGTGGTCAAAGACGGCTTCTGGGCCGCGCGTCCGGGCTTCCTCGCCGACTAGCGTTGCCTCGTCGACATGTCTCACCGAATATTCGCCGAATCCAATGTCCAGCATCCAAGAACCGTGTACGATGCATTAGGTAGCTAGGCTCGACCGACGCAGTTGGCGTAAAAGACGGGCGTCGCCACCCAGTCGGCAAAGATCGACTCGATGCCGACGTCCTGCGTCAGCACATGCAGCGTCTCGAGCATGTCGCCTTCGCGTGAAATGGCACTTTGGATCGTCTGGTAGTACCAGCCGCCGCGGGTCTCGGCGAGGACGCCGGCGCGGTCCAAGCTCCACGCGACGATGCGGAGGCCGGCGGCTTTGGCGTGCTCTGCGTACGCGGACGGCACGATGCGGCCAGTCTCGCTCGTCGCCAAGAGGGCCCAAATGGGCGGCGCCACAATGTTGACACCGGACGCCTTGTAGCCCAAAAGTTGGTCGCGTGACGGCAGCTCGTCGACCGAGTTGGCGTTTTCGAGGTACACCGCGTTGACGCCGAACGCCGGATGCGCGGTCAGCCAGTAGACAATGTCGTCGTACGCGAACGCTTGAGGAAAGACGAGCGACGGCGGAATCGCGGCGTCGATGTACTCCTGGATAATCTTGTCGGCAAAGGCGTGGCGCGAAAAGCCGTCGAAGGGCATGTCGACCATCGGCTCCTTGAGCTCGGGCGTCATCTGCACGCCATGGGCGGCAAAGAGCGCGATGCTCTCGGCATGCGTCATGAGCGTTCCGCTGGTCGGACCTGCGTACAGGTCGGTGCGCCACGTCGGCGTGCCGGCCACGTACTCTTCGGCCGTCGTTGCCTTGGGATTGAAGCCATCCATTTTGCCGCGGAGCGTCTTGAACTCGGCGAGGGTGATGTCGGTCGTCCGACACTCGGCGGTCGCGTTCTCGCCGCTTGCGGCGTTGTGCGGCGTGAACGGGCCATGGCACTTGGCGGCGAGCGGCGTGAGCAAGATGTTGGTCGTCGTGTGCAGATCGTTCATGCTATGGCGACACACGAGGCCATGGTCGCGAGTGAACGCCACGTCGCACTCGACGCGGCCCGCGCCCATGCGGATCGCCGCGAGGTACGACTCGCGCGTGTGCTCTGGGAACTGCAGGCACGCGCCGCGGTGGCCAATGGCAAACGGCGTCCGATGCACGTCCATGGGGCCGTCGGCGCAGGCTCGCAGTGTCGCTCGCAGCGGCGAATCGGCCATGTCCTCGAGAAGAAAGTACGGCCGAACCCCGAGCTCGACGCGCGCAGGCGCGGGTCCACGCACGTGATGCAGAGCCGCCAGCTGCTGCCACGGCGACGCGACCGCCGACCAGACCGCGTACACGGACGCGCCCAAGGTAGCGAGGACCATGGCTCCAACGTCGAAGAAAATGCAAGCGACCCATCACCGACCACTTTCGAATCTTGACACGGATCCAAATAGTGTGAGTCTCCGCTCTAAAAACACGCAACGCGGCAACTTCAAGTGCAAACTGGCTTTTTGGACAGCGTGGGATGCATCTGGCACCTCTTTTATGCATGCCCATCCATGAGGCCCTGCATGAGGCCCATCAACGAGGTCGGGCAAAGGACTGCTAGTATACTTATAGACGACCTGTCAATATGAATCTCCGAGAAGCGTGCTCAAAACTGTTGTCGTACGTTGACAGGTCGCCGAATTGAACTGGGAGGTGGTTAGACAATGTTGGCACCTATGGATCGGGTAGATACCAACGGGCTTGAATTTAGCCACGAGGAGGTGTATCGTCGAGGCGAAGTTTCTTCCGGGCTCTGTCGCCGCTTGATACGGCCAGGCACCGTGCATGGAGGGGCAACCTCCATGAGATCGAGTCGTCGATTATGGCCGCCTTGTCGCATGGTCTAATCGGGTGTACACGTTCTTCTGGCATCGGACAGTGGGTGCGGAAAGATGTCGTGGTGCAAACATATCCAGATCCATCACAACCTGACGCGCCACCGCAGCACGGGCATATCGATGATGGACGGAGCAGATACAGGGGTAATCGCACACGGTTCAAGCGACTGGCAATCCACAGGATTCCTCTCATTTTCCATTTTGCAGCAGCATGACCACATCAACTACCTACCACAGCGTGGTGGACGACCCGCAGTGCGTCGTCCAGGCGCCGCCCCCGATCTCGTGGAAGGCTGAGCTCAAGCACCTCTTGTCTTTGGCCGGACCCATGGTACAACCTTTCCATAAAATGTGTTGCTGGCTCACCTAACGTTGGCACTTGTAGATTTTTGCCCTCTTTATGGAGTCGCTCCACAACACCATTAGCATCGTGCTCGTTGGGCAGATCGACTCGCCGCTCGCCACCGACTATGTGGGTGCCGCGACCATGGGCAGCATGTTTGCTACGATCACATCATTTTCCGTTGGTATTGGGCTTCCATCGGCGCTTGATACCCTCTGCACGCAAGCCCACGGCGCCGGCAACACCAAGCAATTTGGCGTCTACTTTCAAAGCTCTCACCTCGGCATGGCCATGGTAACGTGATCTTCTAGCATCAACCTCCTCCCAATGACGATCCCACGTAGGTTCTCATTCCCGTCGTACTCGTCAACTGGTTTTCCGGAGATATTTTGACCGCCATGGGCCAAGACGCCGAGCTATCCGCGCTCGCGGGCACGTTCATTCGTATTCTCTGCATCGGTCTGCCCTTCTACTTTGTCTACCAGCTCGTGCGCCGGTTCCTCCAAGCGTATGATATTGTCTACCCGATGACGGTCGTCGCGCTCTTGAGCAATGTTGTGCACATCGGTCTTGGCTACTACCTCTGCTACCACACGTCGCTCGGCTTCAACGGCGCGGCGATCGCACGCTGCGTGAGCTACGTGGTGTTGCCGCTCTTCATGCTGCCGTACTTTGTGTGGCGGCCGATCCACCGCGAGTGGGGTCTGCACTGGAACAAGGCAGTCGCAGTCGGGAATCTCCGCGAGTTCTTCCGCTTTGGGATTCCCGGACTGCTCATGGTCATGATGGAGTATACCGCGTTCGAGATTCTGACACTCATGGCTGGCTGGCTGCCCAACCACAAGGTCATGATTGGCGCCAACTCGGTACGTCTACGACATTTTTGTCCATTTGGAAACATTTTGGAAACATTTTTGAAACATTTTTGAAAAATGTTGTAGGTGCTCATCAACCTCATCACGCTCTTCTACATGGTCTACCTCGGCATTTCGTTCTCCGGCACGATCCGCATTGGCAACTTGCTTGGCGCCAACAAGCCCGACCAAGCCCGTCGCGTCGCCAAGATGGCGCTCTGTCTCAGTGCGTCGTGCTCGATCCTCACGGGCGGCACGATGCTTCTCGCGCGGCATGAGCTGCCCAAGCTCTTTCTGAGTGACCCTGACGTGATTGCGTACGGCTTTGTTTCAAATGGCATTCTTGATACAATCTTGATACTAGGGCGGCGTCCGAGGCCATTCTGTGCATCATCGTGCTGCACGTCTTCGACACGCTCAACGCTGTGAACCAAGGCATCTTCCGCGGCATCGCCAAGCCGGCGATTGCAACGGTGGTCAACGCGGCGACGTACTATCCTATTGGCATTTCGCTCGCCGCTGCCTTGGGCTTTGGCCTGCACTGGAATGTCAACGGTCTCTTTATCGGGTTTACGGCCGGCGCCATGACGGCGTGTGGTCTCTACGTCTGGCAGTTGCGCAAGATCGATTGGGAGGCCGCGGCCGCTGACGCGATGGCGCGCAGCTCACCGAGTTTGACCCACGTCCTCGCCTAACGACAATGAGAGGTTGATTTTTATATGTACAAACATGTCCTTTTTCCAACGTACGCATTTATGGTAACGGTGACACCGATAACGGACCGGGACGCATGGTGACGATGCTGCCGCCACTGGAGCATCGACGGCCGCGACAGACGGCGGTGGCTGGGATGTATCCGATGCAGCCCAGCAAGGCTCGCACGGCGCGGGCCATGTCGCCCGAAACCGAACGAACCACGCGGGTGCTCAAGAAGCCGCGCGCCAAGCCGCCGCCGCAGCTCTCGACGATGGACCAGCGCATCCTCGTCCTCTTCAACTCGAAGCTCCAGCGCATGAACCAAGATCTCTATCGGCGCCAGTTTACGCAAGAGACAAGGCCCCCGGCCGAGATGCACCACGCCGCCATCGTCCTGCAGCGATTGTATCGTGGTCATCGCGACCGCACCATGGTGTTTGCCTTCTTTGGACCTCGCAACCAGCAGAAAGCACTCCTGATTCAACGCATCTACCGTGGCCACCGCGGACGTTGCCGCGCCAAAGCTGCGTGGGCGCGCTTCTGGTTTCTGCATGCGCAGCGCCTCCAAGCGTGGATACGGGGCTTCTTGGCACGGTGCGTTCGTATCGTCGATATCTGGATTCTATCGTTGACGTCGTGCATAGCGACCATGTCGAGCGCCTCTTAGTAACTCGGGTGGTTGCGGCGGCCGCACTTCTACAGCGGGTCTATCGCGGGTACGGCGGCCGCTGCGTAACGCATCGCATGCGGCATGCGTACCACACGATGTGTGCGGTGAAGCTGCAGCGTGTCTACCGCGGCCATCGAGGTAGAGTCATGCGATCAACGATCCAACGCGATGGGATGATACAATATGTGGACTATCCGATGGCGTAGGTCGATGTATTGTGGCAACGATCCGCTACGAGAATGCCACAAATGCCCGCGCGATCGCACTCGCCAGTGCCGTGCACAACGTACGTCGCGTTTTGGATTCTTTGGATAGTCTTTGGATAGTCTTTGGATCGTTGCTGATCCTCGTTGGCGTAGATATCGACGCGATGCAGCGGCTGCACGTACCCGCAGATGCACATACCCACAGATGACGCACACATCGTTGCTCATGTGTCTCTTCGCCCGTCTGCTCGGCCTCTTTGATTTGCGCGGGGCCAAGGTGCTGTGCTTGGATGGCTTCCAGCGCTTTCCCACTGAGCCATTGTACTTGTTTGCGTACAGTCTGCTGTTGCAGCTGCAAGGGGACTCTCTCGAGGTGGCCATGGTCTATCTGCACAAGGCCAAGGCCCTTGGGCTCAGTGACGCGCATCGCCACCACGTACAACCACTCCTCCATTATAGACAGTATTGTGGATGCACAAAATTGCCTACTAGTGCGAAACCAAGTACTTTTACGCCGCGCTGCAGTGGCGACCGGGCGACGCGACCATCTGCCTTTCGTTTGCGATCGCGCTCCAGTGCTTTGGGCTCGTCCGGCGCGCCGACGCCTTGTACAAGCAAGCGCTCCAAAGCAATGTGCACGCGTACAACATTCGAGGCTACCTCGCGCGACGGGCGTTCAGCGACGTCATTTTACTCAACTGGAAGCGCTATCTGTGTGTGTTTAAGCTGCCGCTCAACTTGCGCGTCCGGCTCGTGCACAAGCCGCTGCTTCTACACGGGACCGACGAACGCATCGGCGTCACGGTGTTTCGGCACAATCACTATGCGGTGATCACACCGGATGTCGCTCACAAGTGCAACTCCATCTATCTCGCCGACGACGAGATTGCCTACTTGGTCAAGCAAGTCAGTGACGAGGTTGGCCGCGACACGGACACACCGCCGAGCGCCAAAGGTACGTCCTTGGCTCTATTTTGTTGTGAGAAAGGCACTCAAGGGAATGGGATATAGGCCGTTGCAAGACGTTGCTGGCGTTGCAACGGCGCCGAACGGGCGCGGCCGTCTCGTTGAAAGAGGCGGCCGGCAACCACGACCTCAAGAGCAATGTGCGTTTGTCGATGGACCATGCCGAGCGCATCGTGGCACTCGTGGTCTTTCTTCCACTGGCGGTGCCCTCGAGCGCGAATGCGCTCTTGATGGTCATCCCCGCGCTTTTGCGCTGGCGGGAGCACCAAGCGCGCGTGCTCAAACAGTACGAAGCGCTCTTGACGATCCAGCGGGTCTTTCGCGGGTACCTCGTCCGCTTTCAGGACGCCCGCCGGCGACTCTTGAGCCATTTGACGCAACAGCAAATGCATCGACTTGGGCTCACACTACAACAGCGCAAGTTTATCCAGGAGCGACGCGGAAACGCAGCAACTCGCATCCAAGCCGCCTTTCGAGGGTAGGCTACTCTGTTGAACAGCAGCATGACATGGAAAGGTCGTAGGTATTGTACGCGCTGCGACATGCGAGCAAACGCAGCGGCGGCGACGGTCATTCAGAGCCTCTGGCGGCGCGAGCTGGCCAAGCGACGGGTGATCGCGATCCGGGAAGGCAATTTAAACTTGTTTCCAGTATGCGCACCAACCCTGCCCTAACCCTATAAATGGTAGGTCACACGGGTCTTTCATCGCGGCCTCGAACTCGGCGGACGCAGCCTCTTGGTGGCCATCGATCAGGTATTGCGTCGTATGGTGGACAATGTTGTCGTCTAATGTATACATTCCATAGTCGGGCCTCTCGTTTCGGTTTTATGGCACCGACTACAACTCGTGCACTGTCTTTACAGGCTGCTGTCCGCGCAGTCGCACGATGCAGCTACTGCGCTACGTGCGCTACGAGTATGCGACTGCGGCCATCGGGCAGTCTGTCTTTGTCCGTGGCAGCTTTGGCGCGATCGAGAGCGTCGATACAACCTCGGTGGCCCACGACGTCGCCGTCGTCTGTCGGTTGGGCGAGCCAGCGGCGGGTACCTGCGTGCTGTCGCTTCTAGACGCTGCTATGGCGATTCGAACGGCGCAAGCGGCGAAGCGCTCCAAGAGCCCCAAGGCCAACGGAGCACCGCCAGCGCTGTACCCGCTTCCGCTGGACGCCAAGGACATTCCTGGCATCGTGCGTGTCCTTGTTACCTACTTGGCTCTCGTGCCGACGATGTCGGTGCCGACACGGCAGCTCCAGCGCGAGACCAATACCGTCTCGATCGCAGTAGTCTTGCCCGCCAACGGCCCGCACCTCTTCCTCCCAAGCATTCTTCCACAAACGTATCGCTCATGTTTCGCCTTTTGGAGGACAGATTGTACATTTGTAGTGTCCCGCGCCGACTGCGAAATCGGCTTCCGCCAATGCTACTGCGTCAGAGTCCAAAACCATATCAAACCACCTTGCGCGTCGATTCGTCGCTGCAGACCCACAGCCGGTACCGCCACGTGCCGCGCACGCCATATGTGACCGACGAAACACTCGACCAAGTGACGACGACAGGGCTCTTTGAAGGCGCCGTGTACCGGCAGCAGTGCCCGCGCCATTTTCAAACGCTGGCGCGCTGCAAGTGTTTTCTCCTCCGCGTCGATAGCTCGGCGGCATCCCACCTCGCGTCGTTGGACATGGCACTGAGCCAAGGCCGCGGCGACGACGATCGTAGTCGACTCAATATTCTGACCAACGCGATCCCGAACCGCAGCGGGCGCATGTGGCTCCGCCCCAAACCAGCGGTTCGAAAAGGTAGCGCGTCGTAAAATGCATCGAGTCCGGATCCAAGTACTTTAGTACATGCAGAGCATACTAGTCTACTAACTCGATCGGTGTCTATTCCTGCACTCTGCAGAAACCTCGACCATGCATGCTGATGCATGTTGGTCTTGCTTGTATCGAGCTCGCTACTTGCTCTTGAATCGTTGAACCGAGACGATACATTGCAGGGGCTTGATAAGCGACATGCCATTAGCTCACATATTTATGGCAACTCGGCCTTGTCGTCGGGACGAGGGAGAGGGGTGTCGATGTCGTTGCGGCGCACCGCAGTATCGGCCGCCGCCGTCCAATCGATCTTTGCAAACTGGTAGAGTTCGAGTCCGGTTGCTGTGAGAGTGCCGACGCCAAAAGCACCGAGAACACCGTTGATCCCCCAGTGGAAACAAAACCCAGCCAGAGCCGCGAGGGGCAAGCCCACAAGGTAGTACGCGCCACCGTTAACCGCTGTCACAATCTCTGGCTTGGCGATGCCTCGAAAAATGCCTTGGCTAACGGCATTCGCTGCGTCCAGGACGTGTACAAGGGCAGCGCAGCATAGCGCTGCGGGCGCCGCTCTAACCGAGAGATGAGACTCTTCTTGTACAACGCAACGTACGCGAGGACTGCGGGGTCGCACAGAAAGAGCGTTGGCAGCTCGTCACGGGCTAGCACCATCGACCCACCCGTCAGTATCGAGCAGCTCACGCAGAGGACAAGGGCAAGGGTCGCCGCGCGCCGGGCGTCGTCCGGCCGGTTCGCTCCCAAGAGGTTCCCAACGCGGATCGTCGTTGCAATTGAGATGCCCGTATACACCATGTACAACATCAAAATGACGTTCTGCACGATCTACATGTCCATAAAATCAGGAAAAGGCTTCCAAAGTCAACTTATCAACGTACCGAGTTGATACCAATCATGACCTTGTGGTTGGGCAGCCAGCCGGCCATAAGCGTCAGAATCTCGTACGCCGCATACTCCATTGTCGACAAGAGCAGTCCGGGAATCCCAAAGCGGAAGAACTCGCGGAGATTCCCGACTGCGACTGCCTTGTTCCAGTGCAGACCCCACTCGCGGTGGATCGGCCGCCACACAAAGTACGGCAGCATGAAGAGTGGCAACACCACGTAGCTCACGCAGCGTGCGATCGCCGCGCCGTTGAAGCCGAGCGACGTGTGGTAGCAGAGGTAGTAGCCAAGACCGATGTGCACAACATTGCTCAACAGCGCGACGACCGTCATCGGGTAGACAATGTCATACGCTTGGAGGAACCGGCGCACGAGCTGGTAGACAAAGTAGAAGGGCAGACCGATGCAGAGAATACGAATGAACGTGCCCGCGAGCGCCGAGAGCTCGGCGTCTTGGCCCATGGCGGTCAAAATATCTCCGGAAAACCAGTTGACGAGTACGACGGGAATGAGAACCTACGCCGGATCGTCCTTGGGAGGAGGTCGATGGTAGAAGATCACGTTACCATGGCCATGCCGAGGTGAGAGCTTTGAAAGTAGACGCCAAACTGCTTGGTATTGCCGGCGCCGTGGGCTTGTGTACAGAGGGTATCGAGGGCCGACGCAAGGCCGAGGCTCACAGAGTAGGACGTGATTGTAGCATACATACTCGCCATCGTCGCGGCGCCCACATAGTCGGTAGCATGCGGCGAGTCCATGCGGCCGACAAGCACGATGCTGATGGTCTGGTGGAGCGACTCGAAGAAGAACGCCAGCGTCTAGGTCACCACGTTCTATATTGGACGAGTGTGCAAGTGTAAAATCTACCATGGGCGCGGCAAGGGCACAAATGTGTTTGAGCTCTGTCCACCGCGACGACTCTGCGTCGTCGACAGACGCATACGTCGTACTACTGAGCATGGTAGCAATCTCAAAATGCATTCATTGGACTCGATTCGAATGATGCCAGCGAAGGCGGGTGGCGGGGCGTTGCGCGGGACTGTTGAGTCGGATGTTTGCAGGCGAGCGCCATCGAATCTTCAAGGACGTTATTTAGGGTGCAGGAGATTGCTCGATGGAAAACCTACGTTTCGAAAAATGGGGAGTCGCAAAGGAGCCATTACGATACCAAGACGCTAGACACTATAGTAGTTCGTTAACTTGTGGGGGTCGGAAGAGCGCCTGCGTCGATACGACAGAGAACGTGCGGCCACCGACGGCGCAGGCACCCTGTTGTGTGAACAGTTTCTTGGAGCAAGGGACACGCGAAAAGATACTTCAGAAATTACATCCCGTTCCATCGGTTCGGACAACGAGTAACTCATCGACAAATTGTAAGGCTTCCAAGACCATCGCAGGTAGTATGTTGACCATATCCTGACGCCAGCACCGACCATTGCACGCGGTTGCTTCTTTTGCTATTTCAAAAGTTGCTAGTTCGAAAAAACCATTGGGCTTTCCTCGATGGTCGCCACGTTGATACATTGATACATCATGAAATGTGGCTCTGGGCCACGATATTCCATGGTGGTAGGAAACGAAATAATTCATTGGTAACCTCGTGCGAACGAGGTAAATACTAGCATTTCGAAAACGACGACGACGGACTGCAGCACGCGTCGACGTCGTCATCGAGAACAACGTCCGACTTGCTCCGGCGCATGGCTTCATTAGCCGCGTGGACCCAGTTGATCTTGGAGAATTGCCACATGTACATACAGCAGGCCGTGAACGCGCCGAGGGTGAAGCCACCAAAGAGGCCGTTGACGTCCCAATGCAGAGCGAACGCACACACGGATGCCATCGGAAGGCCAATGAGGTAGTACGCACCGGCGTTAACCGCCGTCGCAATCACGGGCTTGGCAATCCCGCGAAAGATGCCTTGGCTGACAGCGTTGACCGCATCAATCATGTGCAAGAGAATGACATAGCAGAGCGCGATGGCGGCCCCCCTAGAATCACCTTGAGCCACCAAGATCAAATAAGAATACTAAGAAAACGTACTCGACGACTTCAGTGTCGTTGATAAAGACCTTGGGCAGCTCATGGCGCGCGAGAAGCATCGTACCCCCGGTCACAAACGAGAGCGACGCGCAGACAAGGATCGCCATCTTCGCAACGCGTCGCGCTTCGTTCGGCTTGTTGGCACCGAGGTAGTTGCCGATGCGGATGGTCGCCGAGAAGGAATGCCCAGGAAGACCATGTAGAAGATCAGAATGAGGTTGATGAGGACCTACGACTTGTGAGAAGAAACTCCAACAAATGGACAAAAATGTCGTGGACGTACCGAGTTGATGCCGATCATGACCTTGTGGTTCGGTAGCCAACCGGCCATGAGCGTGAGCACTTCAAACGCGGTATACTCCATCATGACCATGAGCAGTCCCGGAATCCCAAAGCGGAAGAACTCGCGGAGATTCCCGACTGCGACTGCCTTGTTCCAGTGCAGACCCCACTCGCGGTGGATCGGCCGCCACACAAAGTACGGCAGCATGAAGAGCGGCAACACCACGTAGCTCACGCAGCGTGCGATCGCCGCGCCGTTGAAGCCGAGCGACGTGTGGTAGCAGAGGTAGTAGCCAAGACCGATGTGCACAACATTGCTCAAAAGCGCAATCATTGTCATCGGGTAGACAATGTCATGGGCTTGGAGGAACCGGCGCACGAGCTGGTAGACAAAGTAGAAGGGCAGACCGATCGTGATGATGCGGGTGAACGTGCCGGCAAAGCCAGAGATCTCGGCGTCTTGGCCCATGGCGGTCAAAATATCTCCGGAAAACCAGTTGAGAATGACAACAGGGATAAATGTCTACAAAGACGCAACATGATTGTCCGTTGCATCGTCGAGAGGACAAGAGGTATACCAGAGCCATGCCGAGATGGGCGCTTTGAAAGTAGACGCCAAACTGCTTGGTGTTGCCGGCGCCGTGGGCTTGCGTACAGAGGGTGTCGAGGGCCGACGCAAGGCCGAGGCCCACCGAGAAGGACGTGATGGACGTAAACATACTCGCCATCGTCGCTGCATCGACGTACTCGGTGGCGAGCTGGCCGACAAGCACGACGCTGATCGTTGCGTGGAGCGACTCCATAAAGAGCGTGAAGCGTAAAGATCTACAACTCTCGAGATGAGTCTCATGGTGCAGAGAAAAAGAAGATACTATGAAGTACCATGGGTCCAGCTAGCGACAAGAGGTGCTTGAGCTCGGCCTGCCACGTCGACGCTGTGGACGACGACGACGACGATGTCGGCGTCGTGACTTCCTGGACAGAGTCGACGACCGAATGGTATGTGTTGGTCATGGCGAAAGATAGAAACTGAAGAAACGAAACGTGTAGTATTCAAGGAGAGGAGTCGTTCCGGCCTGTGCAGGGCGATTACACCCCATGATCAAAATGCCATAATCGCAGCGCTCGATCGGTCGCGCTCGTTGAAAAGACTCGTCGAGGTTCAAGGTGTCACATGTTTTCAAGCGATTACATTGGCTACTTTAGGGTGCGACATGTGCTGCGACACGCCACGCGAGACGAGGAGGTCTTCAAACGGATGGCGATGATGCCGTAGAGTGCACCACCCATGATCGACTACATGCCGACGTCGGCGGGGTTCCGACCGCGTAACGAACGCCCTTCTCTCTTTATTGTTGTATGTGCTTTGGGCACTCGAAGGCTTCTCTAAACCATCTCGAATGCCCTAGAGGAATGCGATCGGCGAGTAGCGAGGTTAGACAAGAGGTGCACCTCCTTTCTGATGGTCCAGGATCGCTCTCAGTCCGACGACACGTGGCGCACCCAACGATGAATTTGCCGTTCTTCCGACGGCGCCGTTGGTGGTCCTACATATACCCCCATCGCGGCGACGTCCCTGCAGGACGCCCGGTCACAGTCTGTCCCTGCACACTCGTCATGCGGCTAATAGAGTAGATGGCAATTGGCTTCGCGGTGAGTTTCTTGTGCCTCGAGGTGAGGCTGCATAAAACCGTCTTCAATCCCAAGGAACCGCCCACAAAAGCAACGGTGTTTTTACTACATGTCCTTGGTGAAATGCATCATGGAGCATATGTAGATCGATCGATCGCAAGTACTGAGAGTAGCTCGTACGGTGCAGCCCAACGCCTTGTACTGCTCGCGACGGTGGGTGTGCTGGCACGGCAAGCGTAGTACCTAGATAGCTACACGGAATGGCTTCATTGTGTGTTGAATACACATCGCAAGATGCGTTCATTGCAGGAGAGATTGCAGAGCATTCTTCAAAATCGCGCATAAGGTCAGACCTCCCATTTCAATGCCGAGGCCTGGCTGTGCCCACATGTCGATCCAGAGCGATGGCTCTTGCGAATGAGGATCGCACCGCGTGTCCTATGCCCCGGTCATCGCAGCGCTCTGTGGCCCACTCGCTACAGGCTTTGTTTACATGTCCACAAGTATTGATTCCCTTTTTAAACCTAACCAGATACTTATATCCTGCTACAGTACACTATACGGTGGTCGCGTTATGGAGCACTTGATAGTCGCAATACGACTCGCACGACTCCAAGTGCAGGTCTGGGTCCTGTGCATACGTTGTGCTGTACTCGGTTCGGAACATGGCCTCGGGGTCCTGGATGCCGGGGACGTGGCTGCCAAAGATCTTTCGTTGCACTGCAGCGGAAACACGCGTCTTCGGTCGAGCTTCTGAAGCGCTGTCTCGACGCTGATCTTTTGGCCCCATGCGCGACGCCACACGTACAAGTCCAAGTACGGCGTGCCGTGGTCCCACATGAGGGTTTTGACAAGCGAATTCTAAAAACACGCCATTTTCGTCCGGAGACTGCCACGTCATGAAATTGCACTTACATTGGGGGCGTACAAAAGACCTGCCAGCGGGTGGTGGGACGCAACGCAGGCACCGTGGATATCGCGCTTAAAGACATAAAAGCCCCGGGCCCACATGGCGTCCTGCACCTTGGCCCAGTCCGTGTCGGACGGCATCACAATATCAATGTCCCTTGTATGGGGAATGATCGCCTCGTCGCGCCACGCCCCTACACGCAGCGTCTGCGTTCATCAAACGAAAAGAAGACGAAAACTGTACCGAGGAGCGTCCCAAAGTAGACAAATACCGGCAGGCCGAGGTCGTAGCTGACCTCGAGCATGTTTCCAGCAGCAGCTGCAGCACGGCCGATCGGCACGGTTTGCCTGGTGGTGTCTCGAAGAGTGTCGACTTGACGCCGCGCCGCGCCCCGCACTGCTGTGGCTTCATCGGTAGGCAAAACTCCCACGCTTCGCCGGCCCGGAGCTTGGTCGTGTTGTGAAACGGAGCCAGGTGTTGGACGTGGGCAGCGTCGAGACGTAGCGGGATCGGGTCCTTCAGAAACGTGGCGAGCCGCGCGTCGTACAATGCGTCAGCGCGCAGCGGGCATCGAGCGACGTTGGGCGTCACGTTGCGAGCGATAAGTGGTGTGTCGTTTTGGCAAAGCGCTTGGCAGAGAGGGTTCGGGTAGATGGCAGCTTCGCCGTCGTGGTCGTGCATGCCGCGGGCCGCCGTAAAGAATGTCGGTGGGTGCGCCGGTGCGAATATCGATACGTTGTACAGTCGCAAGCACGTGGGCGGCGTCAGCTGCGCGTACTTGTAAGCGTGCTCATGTTGTGGCGATATGCGAAACTTGGCGTTGTCGTTCGTCATGGGCTCGATCCGCGACCAGCGGACGTGCGGTGGCACCTCGTACGACGCTGCGTTGCCAGCGTAGAGGAGGCTCGCGAGTGGGTGGTGGGCGGCGAGGCACGTAATATCGCCCGCGTTCTTGTCGTAAAAGTGGGCCAGACCGCGGGCCCAGAGCCAGTCGGTAACGTCGGCCGTTGCGTTCGTGAGCATCTAGTTCCGTTGAAGAGCCACCATTCCATCGAGGAGCTTTGTAGTACGTCGAGGACAGGCGTCGCCGGCGGCAGCGCGCCATGCTCCCACATGTGTTCCAGCGCTGCCCCGATCGGCAGGGCTACGTGACCGCGGGCTTCCATCGCCTGGAAGACCAACGTGAGGCAAGCGGCTATCGAATGGGTGGCGTACCGCCATCGTCGTCACAAGCAAGTGATGCAAGACTGCCGACCGACACGGCGGGTGCTGCGTGAGCAGCGAGTCTTGGTCGCCAGCGGCAACACCGCAAATGACCGAGCGCAGCGGTAGGCAATCGCGCCACGAGCGCGTGGTCGACATGGACGGCCGCGCGCTAAGTATGCAAACGTGTTACTAGTACAACGGATGATGTCCATCGCGTACCGCTGCAGCTTGGCCAACCCGGCGGTGGCATGATCGGGTGCGCGGCCATGGCTTCGTACTGTGCCGCGAAGGCGTTGCTTTGGTAGCTGCAATGCGCGTGGTGGAGCGACGTGGTCACTTTGGCGGCGCGAAGCGTGGTACTAGAACCGGTTGGTGTCACTCATTGCATTTGCCAGTGTGTCAATATACCTTGTGACGACATGGGAGGATCGGCGCTGGAGAAGAAGGACCATAGTCACTGCCATCGTGTAGAGGCTGACGAATGCCACGGCGAGCCGCTGCGTGCCGGACGTGAACTTGGGCCACGAAGTCTTCATGGAGCTGATTGCGGAATGATGCAGATTGTTGTTTGGATGGGACTCTTTCTGTAGGGCCCCCTACATAGCCAAGGAACCGGAATAGAGTGTATAAGCTTGATGTTTGTATCAGTGTGGTTTGAGGAGGACCCGGTTCCGAATCGCCACCCGAGACAGAACGGCTGATAGATTGAATGATAGCGTTGGCAACGTTGACAAGCATATGCATGTCGATGATGATGATGATAAAGTGCCATATATTGCTTGTTGTTGCTCATCAAGGCAATAAAGATAGCATCCCTTGGCGCCACCACGCAGTGCTCGTGAAACGACAAGACCGTGCTTCGATCCTCATTGCGCGCAAAGCAGCAGATTTTTGGGGACAAAATTGCGCCTGCTGGCTCCAAGTGGTACTAGGACATTTGTGTCTGATCTGGCGTTGGCCCTGTGCATACGACGCGGTGCAAGCCGTCATTTTCAGTTCAATTTTCAGTTCATTAAAAGCAAGACACTGCTCTAAAAGTTATTATTACGTGTCGACATGCCTAGCGTTGTCAAGAGCGATATACCAACATCTCTAGCACCATGGGCATGATCAGCGGAGCATAACGACTTTGGCCACCTTTAACAACGGAAGTTCAAACCACACGGTCAGAGACCCCTTGGGCGAGGCTGGCCGGCGATGCCCTCGAGCTACCTCGCATTGGCGCCCAAGGCGGTCCATACCATCCATTACGCCGCGTTCATATGCCTCTGGGTCGTTCGAAATGATTGCGTCTGCTTCTCTAATCTCAGTCCACAGACAATCGCCATCAAGGTATTGTAGCAAGCGTCGCTCAACCGACCCTGCACCACAGCCTCGTCCATGCGTCCGATCTTCTTCGGCTCTTGGCACAACATAAGTGGTCGCGCCGGCATCGAGTCCCGCTAGTTGATAATGTCCTCCACCGAGTGCACGCAACGGGAAAAACAGAGTTCGATCTCTCGTCGAACGATCGTCTACTACAGTAGTTTGTTACTAAATGGTTCATCTATGGACGAGCCACGGCACCAACGACAGGAGCTGCCTCGTCCATCCAAGTAAGCGCTTGGGGTCGCTAACAAGCACGCATTCGAGCCCACGAGGGAGCCAAGGCGCCGACTCAACGCTGCAAAAAGATGAGTCAATCAGGAAGTTCCTGCGCGTCCGAAGTGTGAGCTGCACAATCGCGTCGTCGCTCCATCAGCTGTCGAAGGTAAATCCACCCACTGGCTCCAGTTTACCACGCCGTGGACTCGTAGTAAGGTGGTTTTCCTAGTGTACACAATCCACACAAAATGTACCAAGGTGGCGAGGTGCCTACCATGTCATCACTTCCCCAGCTTACAGTGATGATCGCTCAGCTAAAGTTGAGAGAACGACTTATATCCTTCGTAGCGACAGCCGCTCGCACCGACTCCGGAAGATGAGACTCTGCGTCCCGCAGGAATAGCCGTGCCACCCAAAGAAGCGACAGGCCGAGTAGCCGCCGCGTCCGATCTCGGAATCTGCGCTCGTTTCACTAGCTGGTCCGCAGTACTCTTGATGGGCAAAGAGTTACATTATACGTTGGTATAAATGTGGTATACACAATGTTGTCTGTCAAGTAGTACGCGTCCAACGTAGCAACAACCGTCGTCGTCGGTTTAAAAAGCAAAGCCGTTGCCCGAGCCAAAGTAGCTCGGCGGCGGCGGCGCACCCGACGACGCCGCGCGGCGACGGCCCGCGAGGTCGGCCGCAAACGACGCACTCAAGCCGGGCTCCTTCTTGGCCGGGACCGGGCCACGCGCTCGGCCAAAGCCGCGAGTCCCGTCCGGTCCGGCCGCTTGCCGAAAGGCCTGCGCAATCGCAGAGTCGACGGCGTCCGGGCTCTTGAGCGGCAGGCGCTGCGGCCGCTGCCCCGACGACGACGATCGGCCGCGCGTAAAAGGCGTCGCCGCCTCGTTGCCCATCGTGCGCGCGCGGCTGCGCTCGCCAGTGTTCATATGCGTCGTGTGGTTGTCGTGGCGGGCAGGCGGCGCGGTCGCCGCAGCGTGTACGCTCGGCGGGCGGTACTCGAGCTTGACCTTGGAGGCGTACTTGCGGCCACTCTTCTTGTTCTTCCCGACCGTAAACGAGACGTAGTCGCCTTGGAAGATGTCAATCGAGCCGTCTTCGTCGGGCACGAGGCGAAAGCTGATGGACGAGCCGTCTTGGCGGGCCGGCGTGATGAGACCACCCGCGCCACGGATCGAGTAGACGACGCCCGTGCTCACTTTGCCTTCGCTGAGGTCGTTGAGGCCCTCGCCGACCGACTCGACGTGGATCGGTGCCGACTAGCATCATCGACATGGAATAAGAACTCAGAGAGAGAGAGAGTGGTGGACCGTACCTTGTTGCCGGCGCGGGGCGAGCTCGAGGCCGAGTTGCTACCGCCGCCGCAGGTCGACTGGAATGCGGCCGCGGCCGACTTGGCACGGCGCCGGTCGACGTCGACCGGGAACATGCGCTGCTTGAGCTTGTCGGTGGTCGTACCGTCAAAGAGCACGACCTGCATGCCCGTGCGCCAGTTGTATTGGTCCGAGAGCGTCAGGACCGCGTGGTTGGCCATTTCGGCATCGATAAACTCAATGATCGCATACCTACGTAGGCGCATCGTCGTTAGGGAGAGAAGACGCGCGACATGATACGTACGTTTCACCCGAGATGACGGGCGGCTTGAGGACCGCGTTGCGGCCCGTGGCGCCGTTCTTTTTGAGGAGGCGGAGATACGTGATTTCGCCGCACGTGCGGAAGGTTCTTTGAGGCTGGCAATGCTCGCGTCTTCGGCGAGGTTGTAGGCAATCGCCGTCCGCGACAACTTGCCGTGGTACGTCTGGTCGTACGGCAGCGGGTCCTTGCGGCAGACGCTGGAGCCCTCTTCGCTCAAGAGCAGCTTAGTCGAGAGCTCGAGCGCTTGCTGGAGGAGCGCAATGTCGGTCGTGAGCTTCTTGACGCGGCCAAAGCTCGCGAGCAGCTCGAGCTTGACGTAGCCATGCGCGTTCATGTTTTTGAGCAGAAAGAGGTCGCCGAGGAGGTTGTCGTCGCAAAAGTAAAACTCGAGCTGGTCGCAGATCGTGCGCAGAAAGGTTGCCGGCAGCACCGCCGGCGGCGCGTGCGACGGCGAGAGCGGCTCGGCCTCGGGCTGCGCGAGAGGCGGTCCATGCAGCGAGAGGCACGAGATGTCCACGTCGATCGGCGTGTGGACCAGCTGCGGCAGCGGCGCCATCATCGAGACGTCCAGCGGCTCCATCGTGTAGCTCTCCATCAGATCTGGTAGTGGTGCGAAGTAGTCGAGGACTAGGTGGTATCCACGGCCTCGGCGCAGATGCGGGTAAGAGCAAATGACCGCAGAGACTGCCAGAAGGCTTCTCTTGGCGAATGTATGCAGCATGATACGGGCCCGTGATTGGCTGATATTCCGACGGCCCTACCCCGTTTGAACCCGCCTCCAATTTAATGTACACAGAGGGCGTTGGATAGAAAAGCCAAGTGACTTTCGATGGCCATTCTATTTTGGCATTAAAAGAGACGCCCGCCACATTGAAGCAAGATCGCAGCTCGGCGGCCGCGGGACGACACCCGTCACCCGCCATGTCAACCGCCTTCTCCCTGCGCGACGAGGACCATCCTCTTGGTACAATTCATCGCGGCCATCGCGGCCATTCTTACTAAAGTTGCGGCGGCTGATGGACCACTTCACAGCACTGTCTTTGGCAGGTACGGTATATATGCATCCATACCTCAAGTGAAAGAACGTCGCGATCCGAATAGACTTGGATCTCCTCATGTTGCGACATCAAGGGTCCATAAAACGCTCTCGGCAATAGCACACGCGATTGAGAAGTAACCTGCATACCGAGTGTTCGGTGTGTGGTCTATAGGAAGGCGATGGTTCTCTTTCTGGAGTTGCATGGTAGATGCTCCAAGCCAGAGCTGCGGAAATCTTTTTGATTCCAGTGCATGTGCATGGCAGTCTACGTGTTGACGACGAGGACCTCAGCTTAGGGAGTCAATAATGCATTGTTCTCTTGACCTCAGCGCAGGATGGCAATGTTGTGACGGCGCACAGAATCGAGCAGGAGAAAGAGACGGTTTGGATAATGTCGTCGCCAAGTGGGACAGTCGCGAGATTGAAGGTGGCAAGCGGGTTTCCGGATATACCGGATACGAGGACGCATTCCACGCGTTCGTTCGCGGAAAGGCAACGAATGCGCTCGCTCTTTCGACGCGTGGTGTTGACGATTCCTTCCATTTTGATGACAATATTCAAGTGTCTAGCGAGCTAGTTGGAGCTGGCACACGCCGACTATAGTTGCGACAGGCATGTGGATGGGACGCGGCAACGAGGGAGAAGCGGGGCGAGCGGCAAGCTTGACCGAACGAATCCGTCGCGAGGGGGATCGGGGTGGTTGCTTCGTGGCCAATGAAGCCAGGCTACTTTTGCTTCAAGTGCAACTGCGGCTCATTGACGAAGCGTCATTGACAGCGCCGCCGTGGTGGGTTGTGGGCACATGTCGCGCGCTGCGTGTCGCCATACAATCGCCCAGTGCGATCCCACAACACGTCGGCGCCAGCCACACATTTGCCGTCGCAGCCGCGTGGTGATAGGGCTACTCTTCTTCGCACAAGATACCAACGGAAGCGGCGTCTGGTCGGGCGCCAGGATCAGACGCATCGCGAATGAGCGGGGATCAGACCAGTGGACCAGGTGCACACGACGGATCCAATACAATTGTACCAGTCGAGACGGAGCAAAGCAAATCGAGTATGTACAACCGAAAACGGCAACCTCTCGTACACTACAGCACCAACGGCAGATACGCCGGGAGACAGCGCACGAAGGAGCATGGCCTTTCTGTGACATTTTCATTTACCTTGTACATTATTCTATGCAGCTCGCCGAGGCATCTCCATGTCATGAGAGCGGTAGACCACAGCCGTGTTTCTTGAGCCAACGTCGTTGCCCGACTTGTCGTAGACAAGAGTGTACTATACAAAGTCAAGGTTGAAAGTATGTTGGTGTCGCCATATCCCTTAAACGTACTAGCATAAAGCCAAGCACAACGCGAGCGTTTACAGAGGCAACTGTGCCGAGCAGCTGCGCTTGTCCCCTTACGGCAACCCGCCCACGTCACCCCGCGGTATGGGGCCTTTGTGTGCCGTGCCGCGGCGTACAAAGCCGTGGCTGTCCGCCGGTCCAGCTTGCACTTTTTCAGCCCCGATGCTCGCCACTTTCCTCTCTGCGATGCGCAAGCCCGCAAAACGTATGACCATCTTTTAGCGTCCACACGTCGGCGCGATCTGGCGCGCTTTTGCACCGATGCGGGATATTTTGAAGATGCAGCTCCCGGTCAAGGCAGCTACTACTATCACACGACTGCATGTCCGGCACTTGGCTCGTCGCACTGCGGTGCCATCTCTTGACGCGTCGCTCAACGCTCTAGATACGACCCTTGGTGTGCTCGCTACCTGGTCCCTCGCACAATCTCGAATCACGACTACTAACGCTCCTCGTTCACGCACCGGCCACGCCTCACAAGCGCGTTAGGAAGTCCACCATAACATTATCTTTATAATGGCACGCAATAATTCATTTTTAAAAACAACAGAGGGAAACGACGCGGGGTAGGGTCCGTCAACGCAAACGTGACATGTCGATCTTGTAAATTACTTGAAGCATTCGAACAAAGCGAGTTATTAATAACCAATCAGTCGAAGCTTTTGATGGAAAAGCCATGGATTACTATGTATTTCGTCCAGTAGTCGCCATAAAGTACATGAGAAGGCGCGTGGATTGGCTAAAATTCGCGCAGATATATTCGCCACACCGAGCACCGCGATTGAGCTTCACCAGATGGGACGACAGAGCTCCGCGTCCAACGCGGCCGGGTGCCGCCGTCCAAGCTAGCTGCCCGCTGCTTACCGTCTTCGAATACCTGCACCACTCATCCTATGGTATTGCCTACTAATGTCTGACTGTAGCGGTGTCGGCGACCAGGATTAGCTGCTGCAACGTGGCGGCAAGGCTGTTGTGATGCTTGGCAGGCCTCGTGTCGCATGTGGACATACCATCGAAAGTGCATCACGAGCCATACATCATTAGTAGGGTTCGAGAGGGACTCGCCCTGAAATTCGATCAATCGCGCTCATAAGCTCAGCCGCCCATACTATATGTATGAACGTATTTCGCCGCGTTATCTTCGTTGTTACAAAGAGTTCGCATACGTAGAGACTAGCAATCTCCTTCTTCTTCATTCGCTCGCCGGGCCGAGGCTGTGCAAGCGGGGGCGCGGGGGCTCGTCTTGCTCTTCTACTTGCGGCTGCGGGTGAGGCCCCTGACGACAAGCTCCGTAAACTCCTTCCACGCTTCGCGATCGGCGGCAAAGCTGCGCAGTTTCTTGAGGTCCTCGAGAGACGCCAGCGACTGAGGCGGCGTCGACGACTGGAGGTCGCGGTGCAGGACGATCGGCAACGTGATCTTGGTGCGGCCTAAAAAACGGGGCGCCTCAGGAGCGGCAAAGAAGCGGGCAGCGGCAATGTTGGCAGGAACGTATTCACTCATGCGCAGCACGTGGCCCAGCAGGCAGGCGCCAGCGCTGGCGGGCGACGATCTCGCTCAGCGGGACGCTGTTGCAGCGCTTGTAGAGCGCGACGTCGCTGAGCGTGTTCAGATAAAAGATGCCTAGTCGCCCATACTAGCATGAAATAATGCACCAAGCCATCTTTTCCAGTTCGTCAGAGACCTACCCCTTGTATTGAAAGTTGGTCGACCCGATTATTCATGTACACGCAGATGGGCTTGAGCTCCCGCCATATGCCCACTCCAAGCCGATACCAACAGCGTGATGCAGACGAGGCGGCGACGTGACGTGTTGAGGACAGAAATGAAAAATGATAAGGACGTACTAGTACTAGTATGTATCAACTCGCATAGACGCGGAGGGCCGTGCCAATAAAGATCATGCACGTGCCGGCGGCAAGAATGCACATGTTGCGGCGGCCTTCAATTTCCTTGAAGTAGACCGCCGACCAGAGCATCGACACCATGGCGGGGCCGATCGCGGTGAGGGGGTACACCAGGTCAAAGCCGAGGTTGCCAGCCGAGAGGAGCTGGCCCGCGAGGCCCGTCGCCCAGAGCAAGCCCGAGACGTACGCTGGGCGGAGCGCGCTGCGGGGCATGCGGCGCTTCCGGATGCGGTGCACGGTCGAGTAGAGCAGAAAGGCGATCGTCGACGTGATGTAGATGCCCATGCACTGGCTAAAGAGAAAGTTGAGCGGGTTGCAGTCCTTCCCAGCGTGGTTGCACGCCTGCTGCCAGAGCACGTAGGGCGTGAGGCAGTTGCCGAGGAGGCACCCCACAAAGAGTGCCAACGCAATGCCAACAACGCGGCGCTTCTTCTCGTCCGAGCCAATGTCTTCGGCGCCTTCGACACGCTCGTTGGGAATCGTAAAGGGGCCATAGTTGGGCAATTCTGGGTGCATGAGCGACTGGGCGAGCGATTCGCGGCGCAGCGCTGGTACGTCTAAATCGAGGGCCGACGACGTCGACGACGCGGGCGACGACTTTTCAAGCAGTGGCTTGGCTTCGGTTGCGTTCTGGTCTTCGAGTTGAACGGCCGCGGGCGTCGAGAGCGTCGGCTGAATCTTGCCGTAGACCAGGATCGATCCGATCATGAAGAGGATGCCGAGCTCCGAGATGCGCGGGTACGTCGGGATCGTCGGGTAGACGCCAAAGAGGCCTATCCGTTCTTGTGTGTCAAGTGCAAACTCAACACTCTGCGTGTACCGTAGCGCGAGACAACGTAGCCCATGGTGATGTTGGCGCCGTTCCAGAGCATAAAGCCGACGCCAAGACCGAGCGTGTTGACTACGGTCGGGATCAAGAGGTTGGCGATCGCAAAGAGGCAGCCGCCGAGGAGACCGCCGGGAAACATAAACATGCCTAACGCGCGCGATAAGAGGCATGCGGATATCGAATCGTTTGTGTACCCTTCTCGGCAATGTAGCTCCACTCGTTCGAGACGAGGCCCCAGACAAGGCCGACGGCGAGGATGCCCGAGCACTAGTACATCTCGCGATGAGCACGCGCTGGCAGGAAGCGGGCCGTACCATATACCACTGGAAGACCATGCCGTCGTAGGTCGGGTACTGCTTGGCAGGGACGTACGTCGTCCCAAAGAAGACGACGGCGAGGACCACGCCGAGGCAGCCGAGGTATGGGTTGGTTGTCATGGGCGTACCGTGCCAAATAAGAAGTGAGACTGGTCGTGTTCGATTCTGGAATTGAAAAAACGGTTCGTTTTCGCAATACAATACGACCGTACTATCAGAAGTGGCCTGGCGCCACTGGGAACGACTTGTTTGGCCGCCAAACTGCAAGCGTGTGCAATACTTGCCGTTGATTTACGTGGATTTGTGCAGGAGGCAGCTGTCGATCAACTTCAACCTCGCCTCGTTATTAATGCCCGGCAACATGTTTGTGTTTGTATGGAGGGACCGTGCGCGCTCAAAAAATCAACAACTGGGGAGGCATAAATCCAGTGGCTGGGTGCGCCGTTGGCTGCATATTCAGTACTCGCACTTTCCCAACTGTGCCGCATGCGACGACCGGCCGCGTGGCGACATCGCGTACGTCAGGTTGTCGTCGGACGGCCACGCTTTGCGCACGAATTGATCCCCTGACGACGTGCGCCACCATCGCTGTTGCGTCTGCGTCAACAGTCGTCGTCCGACCTCATACGACGCAGGGACAGAGCTTGAATGGGCTTTTGAACAGCATTTTGAATAGCATCTTGAGCGCACCGCTTCTTGCAAGACGGACACGTACACGACGATGTCTTTTCCATTGGGCGAGCCGCGAGCGACCCGGTAGAGAGAGAGTTCGGGCGCTTATTAGCGAACCGTTCTGCTGGCCACCCTTTGGATTCGACGCTGAGGTGGCGGTGGAGCTGGTTCTGGAGCGCCTTGTTTTGCGTCGTAATACGTGTCGCGCTTGAAGAAGAACACCACCCGAGGTCGCACGAACGGCTTGCCATCTTGCTACTTGCCGTCTTGACGTAGTAGTACTCGTTCCAAAGTCGATCGCTGAGAAGATTGACGTGCTACGTCCTACAGCAGCGGCGGCGTGACAGCGCGGCGTGTGTGATGTACTATAATTCATTCCTTGCAACTTCAGACATGATGCAAACGGGACAGTATGAAGCAACGAGGATACGGGATGCGCGGTGCCCTTTCTTGAACCTCACCACGTTCCATGTGGCCACGAGGTTGATGGCGCGGAGACAGAAGAGACAAATCCCGCAGCAATTGAGACCATTATGGTAAATCTGCAACGCATCCGGATATCAACTGCAATGTGCCAATCAACCGGCCACCCACTGGTTTGGGTGGATTCCTGCTGGCCGAGGAGAAAAATGTGGCAGCGCGCGCCGGTGGCTGGCCGCGGCTTTGGCGCGCTGGCGACAGTGCCCATCCCGGCCGGGACGCTTGTGCTTCGTACGACGGCTACTGCGTCGTTGCCGCTCGACCTGGGTGCGACCTGCGCCCACTGCTTTGCCCCCGCCGCGCTGCGCTGCGCCCGCTGCAAGCTGCTCAAGTACTGCAGCCGCGGCTGCCAGCGCGCTGACTGGCCGTCCCACGGAGGCGAGTGCAAGTACCTCACGCCGTACATGGCGTCGGCGTCTGGGCCGCCGCCGACGCCGACCGTGCTTCTAGCCGCGCGGCTGCACTCTCTTGGCGCTATCGACCCGAGCGACTATGCGACCCATCTCGACGCGCACACCCCCGAGCAATCCAGCGGTACCGCGACATGAGTGCTCTCGTGCTGCAGATCCTTGGTGCTGCCAACAACAACGATGTCGCAGATACATTGCCTTCGATGCACCGCCTGCTCTTGACGTTTGCGCTGCTCAACTGCAACGCGTTTACCGTCTGCTCGCCCGAGCAAGTGCCCATTGGCATTGGCTTTTTCCCGTGGCGGCGGCGTTGAATCACGCGTGCGTCCCAAACTGCGTGGCCACCTTCCGCGGCCGTGAACTCCACCTGCGCGCGCTGCGACCGATATCGCCCGGCGACGAGCTCACGGTGCGTCGACGCTCCTTGAAACTTCAACCAGCTGCTCACCGCACATTCGTTTAGATTGCCTACACGGAAGTGGTTGCACCCACGCGCGCGCGCCGACTCGAACTCGCGACGTCGTACTTCTTCCACTGCGATTGCCTTCGTTGCATGGTACGGTAGCCAGAGCCCCTTGGTGCTATGGACATTTGGCTACTTATGTAGGGGTCGGGGTCGTGCTGGGCAAAAAAAGAGCCCTTGCTGGAAGGCCTTGGGTGCAGTCAAAGCGGCTGCGCCGGCCGCCTCGAGCCCGCCATTGATGGGGCGGTAAACACATGTCCCACCTGCTTGACGGTGACCGAGTGCAACGACGTGACACCTCGCCTGGTCCAACGCGCGATCCAAGCAGCCGACGACGCGGAGCGGTACGTGTGGCATAAAAGTTGCAGGTTCCAGAACGCACGTCTAGGCGCAAGGATGTTCCGAAGGCGATTGCATCCCGGCAACGCGCCTATGCATTGACGCAGGTCCATTCTGTCGTGCATCCTGTTAAAGTCACCATCGTCGGGATCAACTAGGCGTCGTACCACAAGTACCACGCCGACAACATTGCAGGCGCCGAGACGCTCGCCAACTTGATCATGAGTGCCGAGGTTCCAAGTCCCATTCAGTTGCAAATTGCACTCCACGTTTTCTGGTAGAATGCGAGGTTTCGAGACGCAGCACAGAATTCGCTTGCACTCGCGCTGTACGCGTCGGCGCTCGAAGGACTGAGGTGGCTGTATGGTCCCGAGCTCGCGCCGTTGCGTGGTCTCACCACTCTCAAGTACGCCCAAGCACTGCATCTCGCCGACCCCCGTGCCAAGGACGAGGCCCTGCGTCTTGTCCAAGAAGCATGTCCCTTGTACGTCGGCGTCATCCAAACGAGGCGGTGGTCAGTGGACAGTGTAGGCTCGCGACGACACACGGTGACGATAGCGCTGTCGTCGCGACAGCCATTGCACTCCTTCATGAGCTTCAGCGGGTAGAGTAAAGTCTCTGTAGCTTCATACAAGGCGGCGAGGACGAAATAACGGGGTGCTCTGAGCGGTGGCAGGAATTGCACTAAATCGTACATCCAGTCCAAGAATAGTCGCCATCCAGCGATGTGATTGGTGGTTGGACCAGCGGTTGGCCAATCAAATGCGCGCGAGACGGATCGAAACCAATCCTGTCGGGCATGTCGGTGGACTCGACGAACCAGACGCCAGGGTCGCCCAACTCGGTCTTCTTGACCGAGACCAAGCTCCGAGGGTATGCACCGGCAGTCGTCATCGTCCGCACCTCGTCACTGACAGTCGTGGTTGTAGCCATGACTTTCCAACCAAAGAGCTCTCGGAGCTCGAGCCGCTCGTCTCGGGTGTCTCGCTGGTCCATCGCTTTTTTCCATTCTTTCGCTGCTCATGGCTGTCGGTAGATGTCGCAGTCGACGCTGCTACTCAAGAAGCGCAAGGAGCTCCGCGAAGTCAACGACGCCCTCGAGTTCATGAAGGAAGAGTACGCCCAGCGCGTCGAGTCGTGCGCCGAGCGCCAACGCGAATTCGAGCGCAAGCAGCAAGACATGCGGGATCAAGTGAGCAAGTTTGAGAAATTTATCAAAGAAAACGACTCCAAGCGGACACGTGCTGAGCTCAAGGCCAAGACGGAGCACCGGTCCAGCGAGCAAAACGAAGTGCGCAAGAAGCAGCTCTTGCGCAGTACGAGAAAGACGTCTCGCAGCGGGAGGCGCTCGAGAAGAAGCGCGACCAGCTGCTCAAGTACCGCACGTATTTGGACAGCGCGGTCGAGGCATCTGAGCAAGAATACGAAGAGATTGCGGACATTCTGAACCGCTATGCGACCTTGGTGGACGCCAACAAGGACCTCCAGGTACAGGTGCAGAGCGCCGAGTCGCAGGTACTGACCACCGCCCTGCAAATCGATGGTTGCGAGAGAGATCGGAGTAGATTGACCGATTGCGGCAAGAATTGCGCACGTTCAAAACCGAGATGGAAAACAACATTTTGGTACAAAACAGCGAAATCCACGGGTAAATCCAGTCGAAATTTGGGACAATATGAGGAACGTAGGCACCAACAACACCTGGAACGCATTCGCGGCGAGACCTTCCAGCTCGATTTGGACCGTGGCCGCGACGACCGGACGTACAATGACCGGTCACGCGAGTCCGGTCAAATCATTTTGGCGATCAAAAACCTCTACAACCGGTGTCGCACGAGCATGGGCGGCAAGATCCCGCCCGTCACGGACCAGTCGTCCGACACGATGGTGTACATGACCAATATTCTCAAGGTCGTCGCCGAGCGCATCGTGGATCTCGAGTACATCACGGCAGCGTACGAGCCCAACAACCCGATCGAGACAACTGTGAGTGGCGCCAAGACGACGAAGGCGCTGGCGAAGAAAGCAGCGGCAACGACGTAGTGCTCTTTTCATTTGAATATGCTAGTATCATCCTCATAGACAATTGCGATATACAAGTCGTCGTTTAAGAGTAGATCTTCATGGAGCATTATGCATGCGAATGGTAGTACAGCTGTAAGTTTAATAGCCCGTCTATGAGGCGCGTGAATGAGGGACGGCAAAGCACGACGGGAGATGCACAGTTGCAGAAAGCGTGTCGATGGAGCGTCGTCATCCCGTCTCCTCTTCTTGATTGTGTGCTCCCACAATTGACCCGCCGGCCGATCTACCGGTACGTCAATCCGCTTGGTGCGCGTGGAATGTCAGCAAGCCCAACTGAAACGACTCGAGCGTTTCGATGGCGCCAAAGCGGACTGGAAGCGGTGGCCGTTGCAGTGTTGTTTTAGGGTGTTCGACCAAACGACGTCACGATGGATTGCCTTGACCTTGTCCGCAAACGCCTCGGACCTCTCTACTTTCTAGGCAGCGTCGCACTGAGCCTCCTCGCCTTGTCGGTCATGCAGCCGTACCTCGAGAACGACTATCTCTGGCCGAGCTTTGCGAGCAGCCTCGTCCCGACCGCGCTCGTACAGGCGTTCAACACGCAGCTATCGCTCATGGCCGCCAACGCAACGTTTGATCTCCTCGATCCCTCCATGACTGTGCTGCTCCCATCGAGAGACGTTCTTAGCGTCGGGCCCGCCTACGCCCGCCGCATCGTTCACGAAGAGCTCACGGCGCCCGCTCACGCCATTGCGAGTCTCCGGTCGTACGACGTGGCGGGCCTCACGTATCTCATGAGTGGGTACTGCTGGGCCGACTTGCGACAGCGCTACAGCCTCGCACACACATCATTGCGCGAAACGCGCTGCGCTTCACACTATGCGAAGAACGGGGCCGTGTACCTCGAAGCCGTGCTGCGCAACGTCAACTTTGCCGTCTGGTACGATGCGTTTGGGAGCCAGTTTGACATGTACATTGCGCGGCCGATTCAGAGTGACTTCAATGACGGTCGTGCGTGGGTTGTCTCGCTGCACGCGCACGCGCCACTCGCGATCCCAGACGAAGTGGCTGTCTGGGCGTCGCACCAGATTTCGATCTTTCAACTCCAGTATGCCAACCGCGTCCAGACTGGGCTGCTCGAGACCATTGGCATTGGCAACGCATTGGGCCAATCCCCGCGCTTGTCGTTGAAGGCGGTCCCAAGCGTCCGCCGAGGCTCGTTCTGGACGACCATCTACCTCTTTGCCGGTCTCCAGACAGATTTCGCGTCGCTGCAGCCCAACCAGAGTCTCGTGCGCAACACGTCCGAGTTCTTCGGTCACTCGAATCCCAACCAACTCGAAGAATACAACAACGGGGTGCCCCTCAACCTCATCAGCAGCGTGCTCCACGCCGAGCTTGGGCAGCTCACATCAATCGACGTCATGTGGCTGCCTGTGCCACCGCCGCTGCGCATCGCCGTACAAAGCTTTCACACCGCCGTTCAATCGGCCGTCGCTTCAAACCCAGCCTTTCCCGCCCTTCTCGCGGCCATGTCGACAGTTACGGTCACTCTGACCCCCGAGTTGTGGCAAGGACCAAACTACCGCTTCTACGGCGGCAGCCCTTTATGTTCGTTTGGCGCCCCGCTCGCCATCGCCCAAGAATCGTTTGGATTTGACGACGTCTGCGCGGCGCAGCGACCACTGGCGCTGACGCTAACGCCGCTCGCGAGTCTCTTTGGCATGGCCCTGACGCCAACATCGCATGGCCCGTCTATGTGCCACCAAGTTGCACCGACAGAAAAGACCATGTGCTTGAGTGCGTTCACAGCCACGGTTGCGGCGCTGGCCGAGCTCAAGTACGCGATGCAACCAACGCGATTCGCCTCGTCTCTGAGTCTCATGCAGTTTGTCAGTATCAATGGCAGTCACCCGACTATCGAGGTGCTGCCGCTGCTCGACCCTTCGTTTGCTTACTTTGGTGGCATATACCTCTACGACTGGGTCCACGATGACCGGGAAGCCGTCTCGTTTCAAGGCGATGCGACGACGTTAACCCTCATCTCCAAGCAGTACACCCGCCTCGAGCTGTCGCCGACAGTGATCTCCACCGACTTGAGCGCCTACCTCTATCGCTGTGCTGCCATCACGACCGTCGGTGTCCTCGTTGTCGCCGCCGTGCTTCTCGTACTTGGTCTCTACCATCGCGCGCAGCATGCCGAGTGGTTTTATTTGAATCGGCTCTTGGGGCCTGTCTGGCTGAGCCGGAGCATCCTCGCGGGCCGCAGCATCGCCGCGACGATTGCATTGGCGACGACCGACGTCTTCGTCGTTCAGAGCCATTTGCAGAGGACGCTGCGCGCCGACACCAAGCCGCTCCTTACGACGAGCCTTCTCGCGGGCGAAGTGCTCTGGCTCACGTATTTGGCCCACGACATTTTGCACCCGGTGCTACAAAAGAAGACACATCAGTACGCGTCCCGTACATCACTCGTAGCATGGATTCTCCTGGTCGGCTACACGCAGCTCGCCCCCTTCCGTTTCGCTCGAGCTTGGCCCGCGAGTGCTTTGCCGTCAACGTGGATGAAATGGTCTACTGCAACAGCGGCACGGTCGACATTGGCACCTTTCAGCGAACTCTGCTGCTCGTCCTCTTGACGATCGGCGTGGTCGCGATTGGTGCGCTTCTCGCGCTGTGCTCGCGATCCACAAAACTTCCCGTCGTGCCCCTGGGCATGCCCAGTCCCGGTGCGCGCGCCATACCGTCGCTCATTCTGCCCGTGGCCGCCGTGGCATTTCTCCACGAGCGCCAGCCCAACCACGCGTACATCGCGCTGGACGCCCTCACGTCGGCGTGCTGCGGGCTCTTCCATTTCAGGTTTCGAGGCCACATGTATCTTTTCGACACAAAATCTTGGCTCCTCGTGCCCGCCGCGTCCTTTGGCTTTGAGACGCCGGGGCTGCACCGGCAAGCAACGACGACGACGCTCGTCCTGCCGCATGTACAGCCATCTACACCGCCGATGCCGCAGACGCCGCCGGCGCGCTCGCAGTCCTGGTTTGCCCGCACGTATCAGAAAATCCGGCGCTGCATGGGCGTGCCAAGTCTTCTCCTCTCGCTCTTTAGCAACGTAGCGTACTTGGGCGTCGCGCAGTCGAATCTCGCCAACGACTATAGTTGGTCTGGCTTCAACGCTACGGGCACGTACACCTTTCTGGGCAATCTCTTCAACCGACGGCTCTTGACGCAGACGCTGGATACGGGGTTTGCGCTCGATGACCCAGCGTTGGCCGACGTCTCGCGGCTCTACAACCTCAGCGTTGGCGCGATTAGCGTCACGGGCCACGCCGCCAGGCGGCAGCTCTTCTCGCCGGACGTGGCTTTGGAAGACGTTGTCGCCAACCTCCGACGCATGGACGCATGTCGTTTGCCGTGGATGTTTACGCAATACTGCTTTGTCGACCTCCGTCGGCGCTGGTCACTCGCGAGTTCGGCGGCGCGGGAAGCGCGGTGCGGAACGCAGTCGTACGTGTCGAATGGCGCCGTCTACTTTGAGACGAGCCTCGGCAACGTCCCGAGCTACGCCGACTGGACGAGATGCTGGGGCACGCCGTTCGAGATGGGCATTGCGAGTGCGCTGGCCACGTCGATCGATGGCCGGCAGTGGCTCAGCGAGATTCAAAGCAATGCGCGGAGCTGCGTCGACGAAGCAGTGTACTGGCGCCAAGCGGGCGTCTCGGGCTTCTCTCTGCAGTGGCAAAACTTCAAGACGACGGGCTTCTCAGACGCGTTCTACATTGAGAATGCGCTGGGGCTGCAGTACTCGCTACCACTGAGCAGCACGCCAGGCGCCTACCACCTCACGCAGCAAAACTCAATGCGCATGTACTGGAGCTTGGCCAGCGATCTCTGGGCCATCGCCACTAACGCGACGCTTCTTGGGAGCGCCAGCCTCGTGCGCCAGAGTCCTCGCTTCGCCTACGCCAACACGACGCCAATTGCGGTGCTGTTCCAGAACCTCACGCTTGTGCCGCCATTGAACGCAGGCCTCGTGAGCTTGGAAACATCCCTCGGGCCGTTTGGCAACGTCGACATGGTCTATGTACCCGTGCCGGCGTCGCTCTCAGCGTTGTACGCCAACTTCACCGCCAGCCTCGCGCGTCTCTTGCTCGCCAACACAGACGCCGCGGCGTTGTTTGCGGATCTCCCCGCACGACCCTACATCATCGAAGTGCCGGGGAGTCTTCTCTCGCAAAGCAACGAGCTCATGTCCATGGGGGGCCGTCTCATGTGCGGCAATGACGCGCCGCCGTATCCGTTCATGTACGGGATTGCGACGCTCTTTGGTACCTCGAGCATGTGCTACGCCTTGTTTCCTGAATATATGCAGCCGACAACATCGCAGCTTCTCTTTGCCCTGCTGGGCTACCGCGCGTCGATCCAAGTGCCCGACGTGGATGCGATCTGCAGCCTCGACACCGGTGCCACGGCGTCGTGCGCGAGGGAGTATACCGCAACCTTGACGTTTCTGGACGCCTATCATGGCGCTTTGGCCCCGCTTCACGTTGCCGCCACACGTGTGCACGATATTGTCTATGACCAAAACGTCTCGCTGGTCCAGTACCTCCTGAATACCACATCGAGCAGTGTCTTTCTATATACCATCAACATTCTCGCGCCCGAAGTCGCTTGGCCGTACTACGGCTGGTGCTTCCTTTACGAATGGGCGACTGGCGTCCGCGAAGTGGTCAGCTACGAGGGTGACGTCGGCCGCATCACGGCCATCTCGGCCCCGTTGCCGTTCGACTCGATCTCGCCGAGCCCGGACGCGATTGCGCGCAGTCTATCACTCGTGTGCCAAGGGTGCGTCCAGTACATTACGGTGGTCCTCATTGCCGTTGCGTCTGGTGCAATTTTGACGGCGCTTTGGCACCGCGGGCGCGTCGAGACGGTCAATTTAATGGTGCTCACGCGTCTTGGGGGGTTGGTCTGGATCGGGCGGCCATTTCTGCTCCTCCGCAGTCTCACGGCTGTGTGGCTCTTGAACACGAGCCCCCTATTTCTGGTGCAGACGCACGGGTACCTCACACGGTTCGAATCGCCGCCTTTGGTTTGGTACAACACCGTCCTCGCCGCGTCCGAGCTAACGTGGAGTGTTTTCATCCTTAACGACGTCTTCAGCTGCGTCACGCAAGAGTACACGGTGCTCTACTCGTCCCACAGCACCAACGCCGCGTGGCTCGCAGCGATCCTCTGGACCTTCCAGTGGCCCCAACAGCACGTAGCGCGTCTGCACCGGTCCTGCATTGCGGTCGACATGGATTTCGCCATCGACTGCCATAGCGGCAGCGTCGAGATCGGCAATGTCAACCGGGTGTTTGTCGGCTACGGTATTGGAGCGATCGCTGCCTTGGTCTGCTATGCGGTTGCCCGGCTGGTGCACCGACCCGTCGTACCGAGCCGTGCGACGTCGCTCCTCTTGAATGCCCAGTGCATGTTCATGCTCCGAATGGCGCACCACGACGGTGGCGTGTTTTTAGACAAAATGTCGGCGCTGATTGCCGGCGTCTTGACGTGGGAACGCAATGGCGTGTTACATCTCTTGGACGTCAAAACGTGGCGGTACCTCTGCGTGAAGCGTGACGGAAAACACGCCACCTTGCCCGCACGCGTGCGCGGAGCAATTCCGCTCTCGAGTGTCTAATCTATTAGTGGAATCCCATCTATAACCACATTCCGATACACCGAGGCGTTAGATTCCAGCACCACGAACACTCATAGATAAAGGGAATGGCACGCTGTACAATGTAGCCCACGTGTATGCCAGGGCAGCGGACACGAGGCACACAAACCGATAAAATATCGCTAAAATTGAGGGATGAGCTTGTATTTCCTCCAAATAACCTCCTTGCAGTTGGCGTGGCATGGATTGCGATCCCTTTGATAGAAAAGACGGTTTCAAAGAAATTCTTTATTTGATTCACTGAAAGTCATCCATGTCCTCGACTATGAAATACCTACAAGATCCGCTCTAAAATCTCCGCCAGGAATGGCCTCCCTCTATGATGAGCTCCGAGATAATTTGGAGGGGACATGGTCTTCCGCACAAATTAAGTGCCTTCCATGCCTGGTTGCTTGTATGCAGGTCGCTGGAAACCTTGGTTGCTGTAAAGGTGCAGATGCTAACGAACCACGGTAGGCACGTCATGCATCGCGTCATTTGAATAGACGGCAAGCTTGCACGATGCACAACCCAAAGTTAGGAGACAATGCTATTCTTTTAAGGCGTCTACATCATTTTGAGGCCAAAGATACGGACGTCGTGGCACCAACAGCTGGGACGCTAGAATCTCCGACTCGAGGCCCCACGATCGACCACCGAGCCCAAGCATCATAGTTTAATTTGCCTTTGCTCCATCCCAGCTTCTACTATGCGCATCCTGCTTCCGTTAACGACACTTTTCGGCCTTGCTGTGGCCGACACGTATAATGGCAAGGCATCGCTGGACGGCCCCGCCGACGGCACGGACCCGTCAGCGGCAACTGCGGGCTCATGGCCGCCCTCCCGACCTCGCGCCAGTTCCAAGTCGCCATGAACCTCGACCAGTACCAACAAGGAATCCACTGCGGCCGCTGCATCCAAGCCCAGTGCACCGACGCCCGTTGCAAGGACACACCAAAAGTCACCGGCCAAGTCACCAACACGTGCCCGGGCTGCGCCAAGGGCGACCTCACGTTTTCGCAGCCCTTCTTCAAGCAGCTCACGGGCGCCACGACCGACTGGTTCCAGATCTCGTGGGCGTTCGTCGACTGTCCCGTCGCCGGCGGCGTCAAAGTGTGCGCCAAGTCGGGCAGCTCGCCGTACTGGCTCGCGGTGCAGCCGACCAACACGCTTGGCGGCGTCCAGAGCATGACGGTGAACGGCAAGCCGGCTCGGTACGCGACCGAGATCACCAACTACTACTTTCAGGCCGAGCCCAAGCCGGAGGTGCCGCTGGCCAACACGACGGTGACGATGACGTCGTTCACGGGTGAGACGATCACGGCGACGGTAGCGTTGACGGAGGGCAAGTGCACGGAGATCTCACAGCAGTTCGGCCACCCGGGGACGCCGACACCGACACCGACGTCCGGTACCCCGACACCGACACCGACGTCCAGTAGCCCGACACCGACACCGGTGCCGGAAACGCCTGCGCCGACGTCTGGGAGCCAAACCCCGACGGTGGCACCGGTGAGCCCGTCACCGACACCGGTCGCCCGTGCGTGCGGAGCGCCAGAGTGGAACTTGGACATGTTTGGCAACGACGTGGCCAACTTCAAGGCAGAAGGCGTGTTCACGGCGATGCTGGCTCAGTGCTGCGAAGGCTGCAAGGTCCACGAAAAGTGTGTCGCCGTGACGCTTGCTGACGGCGTCTGCTATCTCAAGAGCGCTGTCGGCAACCGCCAGACCAAGAGCGGCGCCACGTCGGTGGCCATGACGACGATCTAAGTGCGACGTTGGTACCAACACGCATTGACTATTGCCCACCCGGTAGAAAACACTAAAAAAATCATTAACAACAAATATGTATCGCTACAGTCCTATCATACTCGTACCAGAACGACATTATTGTACCAGGCGGACAAGCTGGGGTGAATCGAAGATCTCTCCACCGCTCGCCACGCGCCGCCCAGACCAGAAACAGCTGTTTCAGTGTCTGGTTGGAATCGACAAGGTCGGAATGACCCGTCGCACCGCAAAATTTCACCGCCAACATGGCCAAATCGTATCTTTTTTCTGTCTACGCTAGCATTTACCTCATGTCATGTATCACTCGATTACAAAAGCGGGCAAAAGATTCGAAATGCCATTTACAAACTCTATAAACAATGGACCGTAGGGATTCGTTGGTTAGGAACGAACGAACGGCAATTGTCGTTCGCCGTTCCATCGTTCGGTTGGCTGCCTCTCCTCGTTCGTGTTTTGATTTTGCGTACAGGTATGCAAGATTCTTCGTCAACATTGATGTACCCAGAAGAAGACGTATAGACATGCGTGCAATTCTTGGTCCGACGGAACGTGCGGCTCAGAATGGCCAGCTGCGGCGCCAAAAATTCATCGGCAAAGCCGGGGCTGTCGGCGACACCAACCGCGAAAGTATCTTTGCGCGCCCTTACTACGCTGTAGGGTATCCTGTTTTACAGAGTCCAACATGAGGCATCTGCGTCCGCACGTGGCATTGCAAGAAGCACCCACGACGTCCCATTGCAACGCAAACTCAACGGAGCCATGCAGCTCGTACGTGACCAAAGAACAAGCGAAGCGACGTACCTCTCTGCACTGCGGCCTGTCTAGACGTACCAAGATCGTTGCGATTAAATCACAACGTCTCGAGAAATCTTCTCTCATTTACCAACTTTTGTTCACCTCACCACCACCACACTAAAACGAGATGGTCCGCATCGTACTGCCGCTCAGTGCCCTTCTGAGTCTCTCGATGGCCGAGACATTCAAGGGCAAAGCCACACTCTATGGTCCGGCCGACGGCGTCGACGTCTTCAGCGGCAACTGCGGGCTCATGGACGCCCTTCCGACGTCGCGCCAGTTCCAAGTCGCCATGAACCTCGACCAGTACCAACAAGGAATCCACTGCGGCCGCTGCATCCAAGCCCAGTGCACCGACGCCCGTTGCAAGGACACACCAAAAGTCACCGGCCAAGTCACCAACACGTGCCCGGGCTGCGCCAAGGGCGACCTCACGTTTTCGCAGCCCTTCTTCAAGCAGCTCACGGGCGCCACGACCGACTGGTTCCAGATCTCGTGGGCGTTCGTCGACTGTCCCGTCGCCGGCGGCGTCAAAGTGTGCGCCAAGTCGGGCAGCTCGCCGTACTGGCTCGCGGTGCAGCCGACCAACACGATCGGCGGCGTCCAGAGCATGATGGTGAACGGCAAGCCGGCTCGGTACGCGACCGAGATCACCAACTACTACTTCCAGGCCGAGCCCAAGCCGGAGGTGCCGCTGGCCAACACGACGGTGACGATGACGTCGTTCGCGGGTGAGACGATCACGGCGACGGTAGCGTTGACGGAGGGCAAGTGCACGGAGATCCCACAGCAGTTCGGCCACCCGGGGACGCCGACACCGACACCGACGTCCGGTACCCCGACACCGACACCGACGTCCAGTAGCCCGACACCGACACCGAGTGACCCGACACCGAGCACGTGTGGCGCACCGGAAGCCAACATCGACTACTACGGCAATGACGTCGGCAGTCTCCAGGTCGTCGGACCCCAGGCCGACCAACTGCGTGAGTGCTGCAGTGCGTGCACCAAGAACGACCGTTGCCATGCCTTTTCGGTCGCCGGGGAAACGTGCTACCTCAAGTCGTCGGCGGACGGACGCAAGGTGGCGCCCGGTGTTGTGTCGGCGCGCAAGACATCGGCGCCAACACCGACACCGACTACACGCGCCTGCGGGTCGCCCGAGTGGAACACCGACTTGTTTGGCAACGATATCTCCAACTTTAAGGCCTACGGTGACTTTACGTCCATGATGGCGCAGTGCTGCGATGGCTGCAAGAAGACATTGTCCTGTGCGGCCTTTACACTGGCCGACGGCGTCTGCTACCTCAAGCACGCCGTCGGCAACCGCCAGGCCACGAGCGGAGCTACATCCGTGGCCATGGTCGCAGCGTAATTTTCATGTGTAAATCTACACTCGTTGTGTATAAAGTACAACGGCGTTTCATATTTGATGTCTTGTCCATCGCTGAGCACATCGACAAGAAGTACCTCGCTCGTACGACAACTCCAAAACTGGTGCCACTCGCTACACCACCGTGTTGCTAATACGACTTGTGACCGCGCAGGTGAGATACAAACCGCCATTCACAGCTACCATAGCAGTACTCGTTCTGCGATGACTGTGCGCTGGTGCCAACCTCGAGCCCGCCACCGTCTTGTGTCGCATTCGACAACTGGTTCGCACAAGACCCTACGTTGCGACTGGGCTTTGTAGATATATTCAAGTTACACACTCAGGCTACGGCTGTCCATGGCTCGAACCGTGACGACGATGATGATCGTGGCGCGCGTCGTCGTCAATGTCAATGTCAATGTCAACGTCAATATCGTCATTGTCAATGTCAATATCGACGTTGACCTTGCTCAGATCGTCCTTGTGCGTGCGGTGCCACGATGCTTTGCTATTGTCAGCGATCGCGCAGACAAAGCGCGGCGTCGACGACCCGCAGACCGCGTGCAGCATTAAGTTCCATTGCGGCGTCACCTCACTTGACGACGGGTAGTGCCGGTCGTGCCACGTCTTGCGAATGTGTCCGTGGCGAGCGACCATGGTACCAAACTTGCCTGAGAGATCGCCGGCTTCGCAGGCCGAAGCGTTACGAGCGTACGTCGCCGCCGTGCAGTTGTACGTGACGCTAGGTACCTTGGATGCGCATTTGTCAAGTTTGTGCTCGGAGCTCAGGCCACAGGCCAGGCCCGGGTCGTAGTGGTTGCCAGCAGCAGCGAGGCTGCAGCCAGCGCCAAAGGCCGATGTCGCGTTCGAATGCGCCCACTTGGTGTGCAGATGCCAGCCAAAGGTATCGACGGGACCCGTGCAGTTGGCGTCGTTCGCACTCAATGCCGTCCAGTTGGCCTTGCGCAGATCCAAGTGCGCGTGGATGCGAGCGCCGTGCTTCTTGTAGTGCACGATGATCTGCCCTTGGACGCCCGCCGCGGTCGCCGGGTCAAACTCGTATACGCTCGCTTTCAGTGGCGATGGCGGCAGCGTCATCGGGAACGTCGTCGGTGCCAGAATCGTGTCCATCGTTGGTGGCAAGAAAAAAGTGGGCTTCGCAATGCATGCAGCTTTGAACGAAGACGGTCGCGATCGAAGGTTAGAACCTTTAGCATGTTCTTTAGATTTAGATTAGGTTTAGGTTAGGTGTAGGGTTATAAACACAGGTTGCGCACGCGTCCATGCTGCGTGCGACATTGGCACTCCTTGCAGAAACAACGGGACGTGTTATGCAGTCGAGGTTGTGCGGTCATTGCAACGCTCGTTTGAGGCAAGGAAATCAGTTGTTCGTATTTCCTTGATTTAGAGGCTATACAGGCCGGTTTGGTAAATGCGGGCAACGAGGCGGTCGCAGATGAGGTCGGCGTCCTCGGCCGACACGAGGCCTTCACAGCAGACGTAGATGAACCCGGCTTGCTTCTCCAAGACGCGACCCATTACAAGCAGCGCATTGGTTCGAAACAAGTACGTCGTGGCGCTGGGTGCCATGTCTTTTGCCCGGGGAATGCCCATCCGGTTCGTCTCGGCGCGGTGACCAGCGCTATGCAAATGCTGGTGCAGCGTGTGGTAGTGCTGAAGCACTTGGCGCTGAAACGTCGCGTCCTCAAAGACGGCCGAGTCTACACACGCAGCATCATATCCTGTCAAAATACTGTCGTGTGGGGGTCGTACCTTTAAATGACGGAGAGACAACCTGGTGGGACCGTGCGTGCTGGTAAATGAAATGCAATAAAAGTGGCTGGTACGCGGCTGGAAGGTACGAGGCGAGGGACGGCGGGGCGTCTGCGACCAGTGGTGGCTGGCAGGACAGCAAATGCATGAGTGCCCGTGAGATCTGGTTGTTGTGCAGAGTTTGGAACGTGTGAAACTGGTCCTGGGACTCGTTGGTGCTGATCAGAATCGTGCAAATGTCAACCGAGGTAAAGACAATATAGGCGTAGACGAATCCACTACAAGAATGATGCAACCCAAGTCGCAGAGTAAACGATACCTGTACCTACGGTTGAACGACGGCAGACAAATGGGTGTCCACGACTCGGTGGACCGGAACGAGGTCATGTGGTTGACAACGTGGCCGAGGACATGGACGTCTATGCGCGCCGACATCAGACGACACGCCAAGTGCGCCTGCGTACCATTGATCGGAAGCGGGTGGTCTTTGTGCCCTTGCCGATATGCGAGTACATACTCGTCGCGCAGGACGAGGCCAAAGAGAAGGCCCGGCGCGTCCATGGCGCGCTGCAGCGTCTTGCGCGCCTCGTCCGCCATGGGCCAGACGCGGAGCCCGATGCCATCGAGCTGCGCCCACGTCGCAGAGGACCAAATGCGCGCCAGCGACGCGAGGAGGCCCTCGGTGCCATGGAGGAGGTTGCGCAGGTCGTAGTTCGGGTTGGTCTCCATGAGGCGTAGGCCGTTCTCGGTCAGGAAGAAGAGGACATGGTGCTGAATCAAGAGGAGAAGGCGTGGCACGTTGAGACCTAGCCCATCGACGTAGCAACGCTGGAGGACGATGCGCTCGCACCTGCGTAGTCGACGGGCAGCGCGCAAAAGAAGAGCAGCGGGTGGCACGGCAGAAAGTGCAATGTCGTCGTCTTGGTCTTGATGACGCGCAGCGCGTCCTTGGAGAAGCTTGAGATGCCTTGGATGAGACCGGACATGGACGCATGTGCGCCGTCGTCCTGGGCATTTGCTGCCGTCGAGAAGATCGGCTTGCCCGCAGCGCTCAGCACGTGGACCTCTGGTGCCATGCCGCCTGCCGATTGGTCCAATTCAGGGCGCAAGACGCAAGGCCATTGGTCAATGAAAGATCGCGGCAAATGCCGAAATTAACAAGACACCTTGCACCATAATCCATGCCACCGAGTACCTCCGAGTACCTTGTTTGGCCCATCGCAACCCAGACCAGTTCTAGCGACCAGCTCTAGCTACCAGCATGAAGAGGCGGGTTGTATGGAGGAAGAAGCCAAGGAACTAGCCTTGGGTTGTCGCGTCGACCGATTGCGCAAGCGGGTTGTGGCCACCATCACTCCAGCTTGCACTCCGCTTGCGCTGCCTCGGACCTGCTACTCGGAAGTGCTGCTTGTACCTCTCAAGTCATGTAATAGACCACGTCGACGTGGGAGAGTCGATGGGAAATATATAGATAGGATTACAGGAGGCGGTTTTACAGCAAGAAGATATCGTCGCGCGGAGCCTGCAAGATGCGCGTCTTGCAGTTGGGCTGGTCGAGCACCTCGCTGAGCGCGTTCGAGAGCTTCTTGAACTCTTCCGAGTCGCGCCACGCCTGGTATTCCTTCTGGCTGCGCCACTGCGAGATCGTGACCTGGTGGTGGTAGTCTTGCGCATCGCCGAGCGTCTCGACCGAGATGAGGCCGGGCTGCTTGGACACTGTCGAGCGCATTTGCTCGAGGAGACGGCCGACCGTCGGCTCAAAGCCGCGGCTCATGACGCGCTCGGTGAGGACACGGATGGGGCCTTGCATCAGCATACTAGTAGTGCCGGGTTGATCTTCGTCGGTGGCGGAAATTAAAAACTGAGGATGATCCTTGGGCTTCAACGTCGAAGAACCCGGCGCCTGGTCGCGCCATCTGAGTTGCTTCACGATTCGGCATTGTCCTATTTCTAAAAGCGACGTTCTATGCCATCACCAGCAAATTGGCCGAATTGCGTACTTCAATTCGGAGAAATCCGAATTGGAGGCAAAGACAAGGCCGCGCCAGCATCATTTTCTTGTGATCAGCACGCGCGGGGTGCTGCGTGAAATGGATGCCATACAAAAGCCAAGTACTTTCGATTGCGCAAGCAGGCACCGGATTCCGCTGCGTGTCAACGAAACAGGGCACATGCTTGGGCGCACTGGGGTTGGCCGCTCGTCGCCTGAGGGCCCTCGTCGAGGGAGAGAGCTGCGGGCGACCTGCAATACCGCAAGGGTGTGCCTCTTTTTAGGTGTTTTTTGCGTCCTTCTATTTCATTTTCTCTGGATTTTTATTTTATTTTAATTGAATTTGGCGCCAAATTCCACCCGACATTGCAGTTGCCGGCAATGGCACTACTGGGCCGGATGCTCAGTAAAGGACGACGTGAGGCGCGCGACCTCTCGGCGTTGGTGTAGCACGTGCTGCTTGGCGGCGCGTGACAGGCCCGACGCGACCTCGTCGTCGTCGTCGTAGGTGCTATCGTCGACCTCGCTGTCAACGGCCAAGCTCGTACTACGCGAGCTGGACGAATTGTGCACCAAGAACGCAGCTTGTGCCGTTGACCGCGTCCGAGCGCTGTCGGCGGTCGGAGTGCCTAGACAGCCTTGTGCATTTCTTTTCAAAATTACACACATGCGTACGCGCCGCCGCCTTGTTGGTGGCTCGGCCGCAGATGACCATGGACGCCATTGCCTCCTTTTGAACATGCTCGTGGAGCTCTTGGAGGCGCACTTTAAGCGTCCGAAGTCGCACTTGCTTGTCCATGACCGCCGACGGCCACTCTTTTCGCTTGGGATGCCGGCCCGTCGTCGCTTGAAACTCTATGTATAAGATCGAAATGTCTCGTCCCAATCAGCGATCCCGACCTCGCATCCATGCTTCGACCTCGATCGCAAGCTCGTTGCGAAGGCGGAGGCACGTCTCGAGCTCGTGCCGCACCGATGGCTCTTCCATCCTATATTGTATCACAATTTGCATGTCTCAGTGTCTCATGAGAAAGCAAATGTGTTGTACGGTGAGGGGGCGGGCTCCAGCAGGAGCTGCGCCACTGTCGAGGGCTCAAGGTAAGCGTGTCCCAAGAGCGTACTGGAATAGTCGCCGATTTCTTGACAGCGCATCGTGTCCGAGATGACGTCAAAGAGGGTCGATAGGAACGCGTGTTCTAATGGAAAGCCTTGGACCATGGCCAGAATGTGCGGTCCATCCACGTAGATTCCCCGCTACGTTCGATCGACGAAAGGCGTCATGAAGAGGTCACGTACAATCTGCGACCCGACGAGCATCTCTGCAAGCAGCCAGCCGACAGCGCGCAGGTCCCGACACACACCATCGACCAACGACGTCACGAGCGGCGTCACGAGCTTGCCGGCGACCGGACTAGCCATTGCATCACAGGTAAAACCAGGCATGCTCATTGCCTACTGGTGCTCCATGATGTACTGTGTTGTGGCGAGCGACGGGACATAGCTGCCAATTTTGAGGCGGCCGTGGGCACTGATAAAGACAGCCGCGCCCGAGAGCCGTCCGTGCACGATGCCATGCTAAACTTCCATGTTGACCACGGGTATCAACTAGCCAGCGTACGGTGTGCAGAGCCTGGAGACCGCACACGAGTCGGTACACGTAGCTCGGAATGATCGCCCGGTGCAGTCGTCCAAACTCTTGAAGGACCCTGGTCGTCGATTGTGGTATAGAAAAAAGCCGTTGGATGGTGAACGTACTTGGAAAGGGTGCCGCCCGCGGTGTGCTCCATGACCAGATACAGAGTCTTCTCTGCGCACGTGACACCCATGTACTCGACGAGGTGCTCATCGCGCAAGGTCGACAGCTAATCATTTCCGTGGTGGGTGGGCGTGTAGCATCCAGGCGAACCTGCTGGAGCTCGGTCTCGATCGTTGCGCAAATGTACTCAAAGGCATCGGGAGCATCGACAAGCAGCTGGACCTCTTCGACCGACACAATCGTGCCACTACCACCGCCGTGTCAGCACCAGCGACGACGAGACGTCTACCTCGAGCATTCAACGGCTTGGCGGAGGTGACCGAGTCGACCTTTTCCAACATGCGACGGGCACAGCTTGTACGTGCGCTCGACGTGGGCTGCGAGATGCAGTCGCTGCGTCATGCCGCCTCCCGCCGTTTCAGGCGTTGAACCAACCGGTGGTGTTCCAACAGCTCAGGGCACGCCCCATCTCCAGCGACGACGACTCTGCGTCCTGCGATATGCCTCGTCGAGCTGCGTCCCGACATCAAAGCTGTCCTTTTTTTCTCTGCCTCGCCTCGTTGTCACCGCCTCCATCGCTCGGTTGAAGCTGCGAATGGCTCGTCTATATATAAACCTACCCGCCGGCCGTTGACCAACGTAGCTACACTTATCATTTGTGCGATGGCGCTGAACACGGCGCGGCTCGAGCGGGCGCAGCTCGTCGCCTCGGAGCTCGCGACTGTCTCGACGTCCAACGTCACGCGCGTCGGCCCGGCGTACGCCTGTGTCACGTACTACAAAATGGACATTTCGTTCAAGCGCACACCGCACAAGTGGACGATCGCGAAGCGCTACTCGGAGTTCTTCGCCCTCCGACGAACGCTCAAGTCGCTCATGCACCGCGCCAAGAAGCAGCCGTCCGACAAGGTCGCGCTGCCGCTCAAGCTGCTCGACGACGCCATCTCCAAGGCCTTCCCACGCCGCCATTTCCGCGCGGATAACGAAGCGATCATTGCCGAGCGGCGAGCGGCGCTTGAGGCGTTCGTCCAGCTGCTCGTCAAGATCATGAGCAGCTTTCCGCCTGATTTTGACCGCGATACGCGTGCTGGTCTCCTCAAGGACCTCCACGGACTGCTCAAGCTGTTTCTGGCCTTTCCCGAAGAGCAGCTGCATCTGGACGCGAAGCGAACCCTCGCGATTCTAGCCCTCGAAGATGTTGTCGTCGCCGCCAGTAGCGACGAGGTACGCGAAGATGCTGATGCTAAGGAGGATGCGAACAATGGTGAGCGTGTAGGCGTCAACGACGGCGTCGGTTGTGAGTGAAGACTGCTGCAGCATCTGCCTATGCGACTGGCACGACGCCGAGTGTGCCACCATGCACGTGGTCAAGCTCCCTTGCAACCATGTCTTTCACGAAGAGTGTGTCCTCGACTGGCTCAACGGCAGTGCCGAGTGCCCTCTCTGTCGGTCCGAGCCGCCACCGAGATGAGTTGAAACTCCATCGCCTCATTGAACGCATGACGTGGCACGCGCACGGCGTTTAGCGTCAGCATTGGGATGCGTTTAACTCAGGTTCAAATACACAAAAATGACACGACTGCATTTTAGAGGTCGAGACGAGTTAGAAGAGGACAGTCGCGCTTGCGAGCGCCGCCAGCAGCACGGTCGTAGCCTTGGTTGACGTCGACGACGTCGCCGTCGGCGTCTTGCCAGCGCCGGGCGCGGTCGTCGGGGCCACAATCGCCGACCCATTGCCGCCGGCGCCGGCCGCCGTCGCGCAGATGAAGCGGGGCGTCGCCTTGCCGCACACGGCGTGAAGCATCATGTTCCACTGCGGCGTCTCGGACGATGCGCTCGGGTAGTACATGTCGGTCCACGTCTCCTCGATCTTGCCGCTTTTGACGGTCATCTTGCCGAGCTTCCCAGAGAGATCGCCCTCTTCGCACGCCTTGGTCTTGGCAGCGTACGACGCCGGCGAGCAATCGTACTTGAAGCCCGGCTCGGCGACCACCGGCTTGCACGTATCGGTGGCAATGTATTCCGAGTTGGGGCCACACGCGAAGGTCGGGTCGTAGTGGTTGCTGGTCGCTGCGAGGCTGCACCCGCTCAGAGAGGCCGACGACGCCTTGTTGGTCCACTTGGTGTGGATGTGCCACGTAAACGACTCGATAGGCCCGGTGCAGTTGCCGTCCGCGGCGCTCAGCGCCGTCCAGTTGGCACCCGAGACGTCGAGGTTGGCCGTGATCTTGGCGCCTTGGGCGAGATGGGTGACCATGATCGTGCCCGAGACACCCGCGCTCGTGGCCGGCGCAAAGCTGTACGTCGTCGTGTGGCTGCCGCTGCTGTTGGTCGCACTGCTGTTGGTAAGCATGGTCAATGGGCTGAAAATTGAAAAGTGAGCGCTGCGAAAGGTTGACCCTTGGCGATTCGATGGAACAAGTTGGAGCAGTCGCGCCACATGACGCCTTTCCCGATCGTTGCACACATCCGGTGGCCAGTACCGCACCATCTCGCAGAGTTTCTACCTCAAGTCTACGATTGAAAGGCGAGATAAAGTCTACCATAGCAGCGAGTCCATACGAATACACTAAGCTTAGCAGCAGCCGCGCTACCACTGTTCCCAGCGCAGGCGTCTCGCATTGGCTCCAGGCACGCAACGCCGCTTGACGCATAGTATGCGCCGGATGTGCACTCGTGTACCAAGTGTTCAGCCCCATGGTTCACAGCCCCATCCTCCGACTACCAGTACCTCTCCTTCTATATACCGGTACTAGTATGTCGAGGCACAGAGTACATCACATGGAGTTTACTCTGAGTTCACTCTTACACGGGATCAAGTGCCGGGCTGCAGTGTGGCAGCAGGCTTCAATCGTCGGCCTCGAATAGCTGCCTCGAACCCAAACGTGCGCGGGATCATCGCGTCCCGAGTTCTTGTCGTGCTGCAGGACGCGTCACATGCTTGGACCCATGGGAGTCAGGACGTTAGCGCAAGCCCGTGCCGAGAGCTGGCAGAGAGGTGACACAGACCTCTCAAGCCACGTCGCAGCGTATTAATTCGATCCCAGCCCTTGGTCAAGCCACGCTGGAAGAACCTGGACTTCCTGGGAATATCCCCTTGAACGAAAGGCCACTTCAAGGTCGCACGTCGAAGTGAAAACTTGTGACAAAGATGTGAAAACAAGGCGGCAGCTGGTTCTCCTCACCGACGTATCTTGGTCAAAAGTACCGTCCATCTGTCCGGATAATCCGCATATGCGTATAAACAACGTCGAGGATTGTGGGTGCGGCTGAAAAACACGGTACAAATACGATCAAAATCCCGTTGGCAGGTTGAAGCTGGCGACCAGATTCGAATTTGCCAACAATGCTCCACACGCGCTACACCGAGAGCCACAGCCTCGTGTACGCCTTTGACCCGACGCTCTCTGGCGGCGTCGCGGGCCACGTCGCAGTGCACTACCACGGCTACGGCGCAACGATCGCGGCCAACCTCGACGTCTCGGGTGCCAACTGGACGGCGCTGAGCACCGCCGACGCCAACTGCAAGGGGCCTATCGACTCGTACACGTGGCACGTCCACACCAAGTGGAGTAACAAGGCGTCGTCGGCCTTTCTGAGCGGCTGCGGCTTGGCCATCGCTGGCAACCACTACGACCCGACCCTCGCCTGCGGTCCGAACTCGGAGCACATTACCGCCGAAACGTGCAAGGCGACTGTCGCCCAAGCTGGCTTTGCGTACAACTGCACGCCCGCTTCGTACGCCGAGTGCGACTCGGCGTGCGAGGCCGGCGATCTCTCGGGGAAGGTCGGCAAGATGGCGGCCAAAGCGGGCAAGATCCGGGAGACGTGGTTCGACCCGCACTACCCGGCCTTTGACGAAGCGACGGCGCAGTGGAACGTCATGCTCCACGCCGTGTGCGGCAAGGCGACACCCCGCTTCGTGTGCGCGATTGCGACGACGGCCAAGGACCTTCCGTCGCCGACGATTCCGACGACCTATGCGCCATGAGCGCTTGAATGTGACGAGTGGACTCTGCCAGTTACAGTGTCATCTACCTACGTATGCTAATGCACGGTCATTCATTTTGAAACGGAGCTCGTGGCGTGGCTTCGTCACTAATACCTCGTCCCATGACGGCCATCAGACATGACAGGGGCGTTTGATAGCTTGCTTCTTCGACCGGGCAACGAGGTTCACGCCAAGCTTGAGGCTGTCGACACACTGAGCGGCAGCAGCGACTTGAGCTGGCACCACCGCTGCAGCGGGATTAGGGTTATGCGAAAATAGTGTTTGTAGGACGGTATTCAAAGCAGCTAGCCTTTAGGAAGGACTCCTTACGTAGGTAGCACATCTTGCCAACGCGGTGGCCCATGCATCGTGTGGGGCAAAGGAAGCGGCGGCCACGCTACCCTGTCTCGCTGGTCCTTAGGTGTTCGAATAAGATGTGACAGGTTTCAAGAAATATGTGTATTTAATGAGAGAGGTTATAAGATGTAACAGTATTGTTCGGATTTGGTGGTTGGCAACAAGAAAACGAGACCACCGCCCCATGTCGCTGCCGGTACAGGGCGACGCGTCGACCTCGGTCTCATGGCCCATGTAGGTCCTAGACACGTTCGCCGAGCATGGCTTCAGCATCTTCCAGTCACCGGAGGCCACCTTTGCCGACTTCTTCGCCGCCGGGATCTTCCGCCGGGGAGGCATCGACGTTGAGGCCGGCGCGCCCCGCCTCCAGCAGCGCGAAGCCTTGCTGGACGTCGCCTTGTACCATGGCCTCTCGAGCATCATTGGGTCGTATGTCCTTGCGCTCGACAAGAAGAAGGAGTTTCTCCTGAAAGAGCCCGTGGCCGTCCAGACGTGGGCCGCGAAGCATGTGACGGCGCTTGCAGCGACGGCAACGACCGCACTCGAACAGCTCTTTGTGGGCGGCAAGCCCAACACCGACCTTGGCGCACACCTGCGCTCGCTGCGCGGCCTGCGCCATGTGCTAAAGGCGCTCACGGACCGTCTCGAACTCGCGGCCGGGCCCGTCGCCGTGCCCGAAGCCGCGGCCTTGACACAGGAAGCCCGATCGTACCTGGACCAGCTTCTGCATACGCTTCACGACACGACGCTGCGCTTCTCGTTTGGCCAGTGGCTCGTCGAAGAGAGCGCCTTGCACAAAGTGCACTACGACGCCGCCGGCCTCACTCGCCGCTTCCACACGCAGGCGCCGCTGGTGTTGGCGGCCATCTGCGACGCGGCGCAGGTCGCGCCGCTCTCGCCGCCGCCCTCGACCGGCCTCGCGCTGTGGCACGCCCTCTACACACCGACCGCGACCTCGATTGAAGTGTCGTCGGCCATCCTGCTCTTCATGGGCCTGGAAATGCTCGCATCGTGCGCCAAGCCCAAGGCCGCGCCGCAGCCGCTCGCGATACTGCAAGCCACGACGCGTCGCCTGGCCCGCGCGCTGTCTCTGAACGACGTCTGGTCGCGCTCGATCCTCGGGCTCTGGTGCCTCCAGTACAACGTGCACGCGGTTGAGGCCGCGACGCTCTTGCAGCCGTCGCACCTCCTCGACCGCTCGATCCTGCTTGCCCTTGTGCACGTGCTGCTGCGCCACCAAGAGCCCTCGCTCGCGTGGCAGCTCTGGTCGACGACGCCAGCATCCGAAGACGCGGTCGACTTGCTCTTGGAGCTGCACTTGGCGATGCACGATATCGAGGGTGCGTGGCGGCTTCTCCGCGCCTTCCCGCGCCAGAACGCCGAGCGTCTGCCGCAGCTGCTGGCGTGGCACGTCGCCAACGACAGTCTGCGCGACTGGGTGCTTCGATTGCATTGGTCGCCGACCGAGTTGCCGCTCGTGCACGCCTTTCTATTGGCCGACGACGACCGCCACGAGCTCCTGGTGCGCCTCTACCTCGGGCGCAGCGACTACGACCAAGCCTACGCCCTTGCGCATGCGCTGCCGTCGGTAGCCAACCATGCGGCGCTGCAAGCTCTGCTCAAAGCCACGCAGCTCAACCAGACGGCCGGCGACGTGCTCCCGACGCATGTCCGCGCGCTCGCCGACACGAGTGACGCGGCGGCCTACGCCCCGGGTCTCTACTCGGGGAAGCGCTCGACGACCACGGTCAAGGTCACGGCCACGGCGCGGACGCTGGACCTCGACGAGCCCACGACGCCGCCGCCACCGCCGGTCGTGTCGACTGGTCCCAAGCCGAGCAAAGGTAGGTCCTTCGCCTTGGATGCCATCGTTCATGCGGAGCTGCTGTAGAGCGCTACGCTGCATTCGGCTGGTCGGCGACGCCTCAGAAAGGCCTGACGCTCGAGAACCGGAATGGTACGTGGACCTTGCAAGGCAGCGTGGGGTGTTCATATCGTGCTATCTAGCACTCGTGGTGGGGCCGTCGCTCTTGGCCGCGCCCGCGGGCCCGGCCGCCGACCTCATGACGTCGACGCACCACGTGCTTCGGTACAACTTTGTCGAGCCAACGACGACGGTGGCGGCGCCCCGGATACTGCGCACGCCGCAGAGCACGTCCAAGGCTACGAAAGGTGGTCGCCGTGGCACGACGCAGGACGACGAGCCGCTGCATGCACCTGCGGCCCGGGACCTCTTCACGACGCCCGACCGCAGCACGCAGCCGCGCGAGGCCAACAGCACGCCGTCGCTCCGGCGCAATCCCGTGCGGTCGGTGCGCATGCACACGTAGTAGTAGTAGTACTAGTAGGCGACGACTCGATTGAACGCTGTTTTCTATTTTCGCTGGCGTGGTCCGTGGACCGTGGTCGCATGGCCTTGGTCGTCGTATGGGTAACTGGGATCCATGGAAGGCGAACGCATGGGCACAAGCTACGCGAGCGAGGGCAGCGGCTCGTCCTCGGGCACGATGCGGCCTTCGGTGGGCACGAGGATTGGGATGCCACCGCGGATCGGGTAGGCCACGCGGATCTCGCGGCAGAAGAGGATGCCTTGGGCCTCGAGGTGCTCGAGCGGCAGCTTGGAGATGGGGCACACCAGGTGCTGCAGGACGCTAGGGCTAGCGAGCGTCGTCGCCGGCGTCGTCGTCGTCGTGGCCAAGGTCCGTGCCCATCGCGCTGGACCACGCGCTACGTGCCACATTTGGATTGTGGTTATATGTGGCATATGCCATTCTATGTAACCTCTGGCATCTAATATTTTGTAAAAATGTATTGTTTCTTGATATGCATTGTGACGGTGCCGAAACCGCATGAGTTCTCCGCCGTTGCAGGAGAACTCAGAGCGCGACGTTGTCAGGCACAAGAGGTGATGTTGACTTTCATCCTCTTGGGCAATACTTGTCTGGAACGCATCCATCGTCGCCGAGTAGAGTAGCATCGATGCCACCGACTCGAAGACTCGTTGCATGCTCTGGAAGGCAGCCATCATCCCGAGCCGCCGTCGACATTTTTTTCGAGGTGACGAACGAGCGCGAGGTGTTGAAATGAGTTTATATTCTGTCGGTAGCCTTCCTTCTATGCTATTTACGGGCGAATGATTAGTACAAACCTCATCATGCGCGCCGTCAAGAGAATGTGTACGAATAATGAATAGAAGTTTGCAACGACGTGGCTCTCCGCCGGCAACGACATAACCGCCCCCGAGATGCGCGCCGTGGATGTATGTGTGCCAGTGTCGACTTGGATTGCACATGAAGGGCACGCAATAGAACGCTCTATCGACTTGTTTTAGCCAAAGATCTTGCGCTAGAACGGTGCAGTGCCCAGGGCGTGATTGCGTGAGCGGGCTTGAACCTTCCATGTAGGATCTCGTGGGTGTTTCACGGTTGAAGCTGCGGTCAACGGACTCGTGACTGAAATCTCGTCGTCAACGGCGTCAACGACAACAGGATGGGGATGGGTCGTGCTGCCATATACGTACCTTGTTCCCATGCAGCGACGTGTATCCCGGTACACAAGAAAGATTTGGCGCATGGATCGACGCGGTGATATATCGCTTATCGTGCGCTTGTGAATCATCAATGTGGCCTTCCAAGTGTACGAATGCAACAGTTTTAAACAAATGCGTTATCGTTTCCTGGGGCCGTGGCAGCACCCCTTTTTCGAAACTTGCCGTTTCATCACGGGACTCGATTCTCATTGGCTGCGAAACCTCAGCTCCATCACACCACCAGGATCGCAGCTCGCACACGTCATTTTCCAACGAGGATGGTCGCCACGAAGAAGCGCCCGGTCACTGCGCGCCGCCAAGAGCAGTGCCGCAACAACCAGCGCCGATACCGCGAGCAAGCTCGCAGCCACAAGAACCAACTCGAGGCAAACGTGCTCGAGCTCACGCGGACGACGGCTCGGCTCGAAGGGCATGTCGAGACATACAAGCAAACGCTCGCGTGGAAAGCGAGGCAAGGACCGATGGGCCGCGACCTGGAGCGGTGCCGCTACTACTGGCGCGTCATGGCCTCTGGCTACGCGACGAACGACCCCGCCGTGGCCGCGCACCAAGTGGCGACGATCCGATGCCTCTTCGCCGAGACCGTTCACGTCATGGGCACCACCGGCATCCAACGGATTCTCGACCAGAGCCTCCAGTACGCCTACGCCTTTGCCACGATTCAGATGGAGCTCGAGGCGCTCGAGGTCCTTGAACTCGAGAACGGTCATCTCGTGCGAAGCTGCGGCACACTGCGCGTGGGGTGACGGCCGAGACGCTTAGTATGGTCTGCCCGCACGTGCTTGAGCAACCGCGTCTGCGCGCGCGGCTCGAAGGCCGCGTCCTCGTCTGTCCGCTGCAGCTCACTTTTGTTTTGGCCCACGCCACCCCGAAGGTCCGAGTGCCGAGACACACGTGACGCGGCTCGAGTCGAGCTTGGACTTTACAAGCGGCCTCGTCGAGCTGCTCTGCGATTTGCACGACGTGGTGGACGTTATGCACGGCGCGTTGATCGCACCGTCGGGCGAGATTGCTTCGATGCCCCGGACGTTTCTTCACAGCATGGACCGCGCCACGCCACCTAGCACTGGACGAGCACACGTTTACAGTAGCTAATCCCATATTCATTCTCGGTTCTCTCGCTTGTAAAATTGATGGAAGCGTCGTGGGCCATACGATGCAGCCACGATGACGCGAGCCGCGTCTGTCTGGTCCGTAAACAGACCGCAGCCGGCGAAGAGTAGCCGCCCCGACTGCGATCACCCAAGCGCGATCACTTACAGTGCAGATGACAGCTCTGGCACACTTCGTGCGACGACCTACTGCAGGCAGACTTGACTGCACCTGGCATGAGTTGCAGTCCGAACGGGACTGTTCGGGCCTCTGACCAGTCACGCACTGGTTATCGGTTCAGCCGTTGGCTGATGATGGGACTGGGATTGCTGAGGTGGCCGCCGCCCACGCGATCCAGAAGGTCCCTCAAATTCGTCGTGCCAACTGCCCTGCACGAGGCTTCTGTCCAGGGCTACGTACTGGCGCGCGTGGAGGAGATAGGAGACATCAGAACGCTAGCTGGCGTTCTGGGATGGCCGCGTCCGGATACGGGTACGCCATATATCCCACCTTCCACAGAATCATGCAAGGCAAGTCGCACGCTCAGTACACAAGACGACGATGCGATCGACCAAGCCGGCGCGGAAGAAGCCCAGCGTGCACCGACAAACGCAGTGCCGGAACAACCAGCGGCGGTACCGCGCCGAAGCCCGCGCCCACCTCGAGTTCCTCGAGGGCGCGGTGCAGAGCCTCGGCACCGAGACAGCGCGGCTCGAGGGCCAATGCGACTCGCTCTCACTGGCCGTCCAGCGCCTTCCACCACCGCCGTTGGTCGTCCCGGCGCACCTCCACGACATTGCGCGCTGCCGCGAGTACTGGCTCGTCTTCGAGCACGGCTACGCCATCCATGACATGGCGACCGCGACGGCCCAAGTGGCCATGCTCCGCAGCCTCATGCACCATGACGTCGAGGTCATGGGCGCAAAGGGCGTCGAGAAGGTCATCTCCAACTGGACGCAGTACGCACGCTGCTTTCGGACGCTGCAAAAGGTCGGGTCGGCGTGGGACGTGGTCGTCGTCGACGAGACCACGCGCATCGTCAAAGGCGTGGGGACCATCACGCTGCGCATTGGCCGCGAGACCATCGGCGCGCTCTGCCCACAGCTGCTCGCGAACGAGCCGCTCATGCAGCGCATCGTTGGCCAAGAGATTGTGTGTCCGTGCACGCAGCTCTTTTACATGACGCTGCTTGAGGACCGCGTCATGGTGACGCGGATCGAGACGGACCTGAACATGACGGTCGGCCTCATGGCGCTTCTGGGCAGTCTCCGCGACGTGAGCGACGTCATGACGGGCGTGCAGCTAGCGCCCGACGCCGAGCTCACGTGCTGGATCCCACCGATGCCGACCTCGACGCCGCCGCCCATGTTGCACTCCGCCTACGACTGTCGGTGATGCGACGTGCATGTCCGCAGCCTTTGCATCGCCCATCGCCCATCGTCGTCGAGTTGAAACAACTCCATTTGAATCTTGACGTGTCATGTGCTGTCATCATCCTCGGAATCTGCCATTTTGCTGTGAAACGCGTTCTGAATATGCCAGGATCAGATTATGGCGGACTGCCTACTGCGCGCATGAGGCATGGCCGGTGCGTCAAGCGAAGAGCGTTCCCGGTCATATTCCGGCATTGTGAGAGGCACACGGCAGCACCCGAAAGGGCGCCGCGATGCTTGGTCCCGGTGAGGTGGTACTACCATCCATCGACCTCAAGCTCGAAAAATCCAACCGGAGAATTCAAGTAGAGCTTCGTTTGGAGGAAGTTGTCAACCGTCATCCGAAGATTCCTTATTTCCTGGTATTTAGGGTTGTTGGAGGGCACCATTGACATCCCGGCACTGCGGTTGGCATTCCCACATTGCAGAGAGTCGAACGCTGGGGAGGAGGATGGAGGTCTGGGGACGGTGTTTAGAGCGCGTTTTTGCATTTTTGCGGGGGTCGAGAGGGGTAAATTGAGTCGGACGACACTCAACCATCACCGTTCAATGCTCGAATGGAATTCATTGATCCTACACCGTCCGTACCGCGCCTATGTGTTGCCGGCGGTTGCTGAGTATTTGCCGTCCCGCATCCGAAACACGCCTTGTGATCAACGAGACAGCGTTGTGGCAATCACACTGCCTACTGATTGCCACAACGCTGTCTCGTTCTAATCACGACCATCGCGAAATTGGAAGAAACGGCCAGACGCCCCATCTCCAAAGCGTGGCCACTATCCTAGAACGATACTAATGAGCGTCGACGGGCGGCTTTGCAAGACGCACCCCCGCCGCCTCCAGCAGTGCCGCATCAACCAGCAAAAGTACCGCGCGCAGGCGACCGCGACCATGGAGCGCCTCCACAATCAAGTGCAATCGCTTCTGACTGAAACCGCGCGGCTCCAGGGGCGGCTCGAGTGCCTCCACTCTGCGCCCTCGCGCGGCACCGTCGTCGCCCGCGCGTACTTTGCAGCGTTTCGGCACGGCCTCGGTGGCGCCTCTGCCTTTGTCCAAACGCGCATGAGCCCGACGCTGCGCTTTCAAGGCAGCGGGGACCTCGCAGCCTTCGTGGACCATTGGCGCGACTTTGCGCAGCTCGAGATGACGGCGCACGCCATCGAGTCGGCCTTTCTCGACGAGACAAACGGCGAGCTCTTGCATTGTACGGGGCAGCTGCGGCTGCACCTCGACGCCAAGAGCATGCGTGACTTCTTCCCTACCGTGCTGCCAGCCAGCGCCGCCTACACTTCGCTCGTGACGGCGACGCTCGAGGTACTTGAAATGCCATGGGCTTTGTCATGAAAGGACGAGTACGTAGCTACCGCTGGTCGTGCGCTTGATCGTTCAAGACGATGTCGTGACCGCCGTCGACGTTGATGTAAGCTGGGCATCCTGTGTCGTGCGGCGCCTGGCCTCGGCGGCGGAAGCGGCCAATGTCCTCGTCGACACCGTGCGGCCATGAGATGTCACTCTGCAATTCGCTTTCTTTATTCGAGCAATTTGAACGACCCAACTAGCTTGCACCAAGATCCGTCCACTTCATCCACGTATATAGTATCTCCTCTTCTCAAACCGTGTGCTGGCTTGTTGCCCCACAACCTGGGGCACGATACCATGCTCGTCTCCGTGTGTTGCGGAAATGCAGATCTACCTACCTACTCTCTGGTGCTGTGAGGACGTTGCGAGATAGTCGCGTCGGGTAGATATGCATGAATTGTCTGCACTAGAGCTACAACGCGCCGAGAACGCACAAGGCTTGAATGTTGTCATACCTGTACGCCAAGGTCTTTCTAAAGGCAACGACGCTCGATTGATGCGATCTGTGCTCATGCGCAGAGTTTCTTCGTCGTGATGCGTTGCAGCCGCCGTACTATGTACTGTAGCTTGAAGGTCACTGACTTCGTGGGCTGAGCGATAAACGCGGCCGTTGCGGTCGAGCCAAAACGAGTGAGATTGAGCCCCGCGATCGTCGACTTCGCAAGGCCGCAGCCTCCGCATCAAGAAGGACGTTGCTCAAAAATCCTCGCCGTGGCGGTTGCTGGCTGTAGTCGGAGCGAGGCGTTCTCGGATTGCTCCACGCACAAAATATAGACCAGAAGTTTTTCCGTCCATGCGTTGCTTGCCTTACTCACTAGTGTTCCCCGTTGCCACAGCTTCCGCGGTTGCAAACACACGGCGAGGGAAGCAGCATGCGACGAGAACAAGCTGGTGCGACTCGGCAAACTCGGCGCCAACGAGGCAAGCTCGAGCCAAGAAGAGTGGAGACGCCACCGTCGAGGCGCTCGGTCGACAAAGGCGCCATACTAGGAAAGTACGTTTCGGGCAGTCGGGGACGTCGGAGTTACTGCATGCAACCGGTGTCATTTCTATTACGTTCAAGAGGTCCACAAAAGGTAAATAAATGTATGTAGGGTCCAGCAGCGGTCCAAGACCACAACCATTGCCGTCATGCTGTGTCGTCCTGTAGTCATGTGAAATGGGTACATACGCAGCCAATCATATCGCGATCCACTGTCGCCCGGTCGACACACATCTCTTGTCCAGTGCTCTCAACTCTTTCTAAAGCGAGGCTCGTGCCGTGGGCCTTCGTAGACTTGGACAGACGTCTTGCGTCAATGAGTGCTCTTCTGATATCGCTCGCCGTGTGTCCAGCGCCTGCATCTGCTCCCTTCCCTGACGTTAGTGCAAAGTGGTACGACGTGTTCTGTGTTTGTAGCAGCTGCACCCGCTGATTGGCCGGCCCGGTCGGGTCAGCCGCGAAGGCCAGCGGCGAGGAAGCCATCGTGCACCTACCCGTGTGGTTGACGGGCTGCCTATCACGGTGATTACGTGTATTGCATGCCTGGCAAAGCAGCGAGGCCAGCCGACACCACGAAGCTTGCATCGCGGCTCCGTCGTCGGCGGCGGCGGCGGCGGCGCCGCGAGGAGCACGTCAAATGAGTTCTCTTCTCATTTGGTCACCCAGGTGGGCCAAATGCATTTACCATGACTTTCCCATTCGAAACCCGGCGTAGTATCCTGGTACAGTACGTCGTCGTGGAGAGGCTCTGAAAGAGCCAATCGCCGCGCGGCCCAGCCTGCTCTTGTGCAGCAGCGCCCCATCTCTGCTTGAAATGATTGCCACCGACGCGCCTCACTGGCCCCGGCGACGAATCACGAGCTACTCACTGGCGCTGGCGACTGGGCGTAATCGTACGGCGCTCATAAAATAATCGTGCTCACAATGTCGCCAGCCTCCCACATGCCACGAATCAAGAAAAAGCTCTTGTATGGACGCTTGCACATGCGTCATTAAGGACCTCGCTGCAATGTGCAGGAAGAAGAAATACACACCCTAGTCACGTCTCGTGAGACCGCGCGCCGCAGTTTATTGTGGTGCCGCCGTGCACCAGCTGTGTCGAGTCTCAGCAGTGAAGTAGTAGCACGTGAGTACTGCGCTTGCCCATCGTCGGCGTGGTCGTTGTCGCACCGTGGAGACAGATGCGAGAAAAACGCAGTATTGAGACGCTTGTGGTAAATAAGAAAACGGCGGCCGACAGGCTGTGTCATTTTTCATTGCCTCCGGCCATGCCCACGAGCCGGCTACCGCGCACGCAGAAGGCGACCGAGCGCCGGCAGATCCAGTGCCGGAACAACCAGCGGCGGTACCGCGAAGAGGCCCGCGTCCACATGGCCGCGCTCGAGAAGCAGGTGTACGCACTCACGCGCGAGACGGCGCGGCTCGAGGGCCGCATGGATACGATGGCCATCATGCTGCCGCCGCCGCCGCCGACGCTGGGCGCCACAAGCGGCGTCGCGCGCTGCCGCGAGTACTGCGACGCGCTCATGCATGGCTACGCGCTCTCGGACCCGCCGCGCGAACGGTACCAACTGGCCATCATGCGGCAGCTCTTCACCTCCGACGCCACGGTCATTGGCGCATCGACCACCGGCGTCGATGCCATCATTGCCAACTGGCGCGCGTACGCGAGCTGCTTTCCCAACATGCGCAAGGAGTGCCATGCGTACGACTACATTGAAGTCGAGGACGACGTGAGCCTTGTGAAGGGCGTCGGCATGCTCTATTTACGCATCACGCGGGCGACGATCGAGCAACTCTTTCCCAGCATCCTCTGCAACGAGCGGCTCGTGCAGCGGCTCGTGGGGCGCGAGCTGCCGTGTCCGTGTACGCAGAGCTTTTACCTTGCCGACCTCGGCGAACGTCTCATGGTGACACGCCTGGCGACCGAGATCGACCTCGTGACCGCGTTCTGGGCACTCCTCAGTGACGTCGACGACATCCTGCACCTCTTGCACGACTGCCACCTGACGTCGTATGCGCAAATTCAGAGCCAATCCAAGCCTATAAAGTAGTGAAATGTTGTGCATTTTTGTAAAATAAGGGTAGTCGTCAAGTCGTGTCTGTCCTCAGATATGTGGTTCGGATCGAGTCGATCTTGGGACGATGGTGGTTGGGCGCGGCCGTCATTTCGATGGCTGGCAGGAATCGCAACAGTATAGTGACGAATCAGACGGTGTGGAGCCTCCAACACGAGCGCGAACCTTTGAGGGAACGGCCTACCTCAACGTTCAGCGCTAGCGCCAGCTGACCAGCTGACGCTTGACATAACGCTGGCCATCGACTGCGTGCTTACATCAGCCTTGGAGAATCTGATTGGCCAAATTGCACCGCCACGACAATGCACTGGATGCACCTCAGCACTGAGTTTGCTCCAAGGGTAATACCATAATACCATCAAGGGTATCAACTATCCCTTGGTACCATAGCCCCGTGACGACACCCAAATCCCGGCTGACCGAGAAGCGCCTTCGCACCATGGCGCGCTGACTTGGGTGCAAGAGAAGAAGGAAGATCGAGGCGGCGTCATCCCACGCGTTGGACGCCCACTCCGGAGGGATTTGCACGCCCAGATCTCTTCCATGGGAGTGCCAACTTGTGCACCAAGTGGCGATGGGTCGTCGCCAACATGACTGTAAACATGACTGCGACGGCGCAACAGGGCGACGTCGCCGCTTCGTCGTCCTGTCTGTCCGTCGTCATGGATCGCAACGTTCGAGTGCTCTGAACACTTTTGGACGCGCGCCAGATTTATGCTCCCGATCACCACAGCAGGCGGCGACAAGAGTGGCATCTGCGACGGCGAAAAACAATCCCAGGGCGCATGCGACGCTGCACCCAGCTTGCTTTTTCTCTCATATCGTCGTCGTCGACGTCGACGATCCAGGCGTATCTGGGCCCCTACCTACTGCGTCGCAACCGGTACGTGACTCGTCTCTTTGCGAAGGAATAGCGCCGAAGTCCAACAGCTTCGTGCCCGCACGCTCGCGGGCAAAAGCTCCTGGGGTTGCCCCGATGCGAGTACCGTACTATCGAGCACGAAAAGAAAGACTTCAGTTGTAGCAGACGAGCACCTGTCACATCCGAATACGTCCGGAGCCGTGGCGTCCCGTCCGCCAGCCAAGTCACCGCGCCCGCTTATGGACTCGGTGCCACCGGCCACACACAACCCAACTTGCCGCAACTCACGCCAACATCCGAAAAACCACATGCCATCCAAGTACAAGACGCCGGATGCGATCGCGCGCCGGCGGCAGCAGAGCCGCAACAACCAGCGCCGCTACCGCCAAGAGACTCGGTCGTACCTTCAGTCGCTTCAATCCGACGTCCAAGCGCTGCTCCACAGTACGTTCCGGCTCGAAGGCCAAGTCGACATGATGCGACAAACGGTGCAGCGGCGTTTTGCCAACGACGTGGCGCGCGTCGGCGCCTACTGGCGCCTCTTCATGTGCGGATACGTCGCCGCGCCCGACCAAGACGCGGCGCTGCGCGACCTCATGGCCGACGACGTCGAGCTGCGCGAAGCGACTGGGATCGACGCGCTCTTTGATCAGTGGCGCCAGTACGCCGGTGCGTTCGCCTTTTTCCGCAAAGAGCTTCGCAGCATCGAGGCAGTCGCACTCGATAGCGACGAGCACCTCGTCTGCGTCGTGGGCACTGTCTCGCTCGGCTTGAGCGACGCGGCGGTGGCGACCTTGTGGCCGCACTTGCACAACACTCCCGACAGCCGGATTCGCCGCCGCCTCGCGGACCAAACGCTCACGTGTCCATGCACGCAGCTCCTCTACATGCGTCCAAGCGGCGACGCCAGCGCCAAAGTCCGGCGCATCGAATTTGAATGGGACATCGCCGCCGGTCTCGCGACGCTGCTCACGGACCTCGACGATGTCGCGACCGTCCTCCACGACCGCCACCAGTGCGAGCATGACGTAGTACCAAGCTCGACATGTCCAGTCGCTACGACAAGGGTATTCCCCTGACCTAATGCACGATCCTAGTATCCACTACAGAAGAATCGACCACGGTGTTCTTGTGGCCACTTGAATCGCACGACGTCTGTTTCGCACGTCATGTGCTACGTTAACGATCTCATCCACCTTTTTTGAGTTGCGACCTGGGATGACTTTCCCGACATGAACCTTGCTGGTTTAATCTGTAGGGACGACGGCGCGCAGTCAACCAACCGAGACGACGATGGCATCCCGCATCCAGCGGTTTCGACGCTGTCGCCAGAAAAAGAAGCTCGTCGGCGGTTCAAGGCCGGTCCCCCTCCGGATTTATGCACAGCGGCAGAAGGATCCATTACTGTTGATGGCGACTGGCGCTGCATGGCCACCGCCTCTTGTTGTTGTTGACCTGAGTTAAATTACATGCAATTATAAAGATATGGTGGACTTTTTAATGCGCTCGTGAGGCTTGGCCGGTGCGTCAGCGAGGAGCGGTAGTGATTCGAGATTGTACGAGGGACCAGGTAGCGAGCACACCAAGGGTCGTCGCGGAGAGCGGCCAGCGACGCGTCAAGAGATGGCACCACAGCGCGACGAGCCAAGTGCCGGACGTGCAGTCGTGCGATCGTAGCTGCCCGGATCGCGAGCGGGGAAGTTGCGTCAGCGTCGTGCGGAAGACACGGTTGTTGCGTTCGAGCCAAAGACAATACCAGACGCAAGCACGTAAGATCGGCCAGAGGGCACGAGCGGGCGACTTGTGGGCCGAGTACGGCGCGGCGACATCGTCGTAGAGAAAGCCAGCGACCGACGACGGGAGTTGGCCACGGCCCGTTGTTATGTGGGTTCGCGGATCGAGGTTCTGTATAGAATAGTGGATGGCGGGACAAAGTACCATCATACCTTTGCGCGTAGGTCATAGCGTGCAACGGTGGCTGGGAGATATGCAATCGAGCTAGCGACTCTACGTGATGCGTCAATGGAGCTTCCATTGTGTGGAAATGACAGCAACAAATGGCGATAGATCTACGAAACTATAAAAAACGCCATCAGCAACCTCCAATTCATTCTCTGTATTGAGGCGTCTATTGCGGACGATTGACTCGTGACCTTAGCGGTGGGACAACGACGGCGCATGACCAACGGCCGTAGCTCCCGATGTAGACGCCGCCTCTCGCAACAGCGAGGTACCACTGCGTGTAGGATCAGCCGCGTGTCATGCTAGCTGCTCGCTCATCGGTGCTATCGTCATGTAGCGTCGAGTGTCTAGCGAAATGGCGACGACGATGAGCTGATGCGCACAACTTGACAAGAAGGCCCGGCGACATCAACGGGGCCACGTCGCTTCAAGCAGCTAGGACGAATGCAGCCAGTCGTCAATTCGCAGACAAAGAGTCGAGACGGTGCTGCACAGGATCTGACGGACCCTCGTCGTCGATGGGCCACCCGATAACGATCCATCGATCACCGAGATGTTGTCGTGCTTGTACACAGACCAAGACACGTGGCTCGTCGAGCCGCACGGATCAAAACGACAGTGGTCGATGTCACCTGACGTACCAGACCGACAAGCCAGATCGACGAGCCAGACTGGTCGGACCGAGCAAGCAATCTAGCTTCTCGTCCATCGACCGAGGCATCACGACAGTGCGTCCACGCGGCTGTGTCGTTGGACAAAAAAGGTGCAGAGCGCACCTAGCCTCCTTGCAAGGACCTTTGCGCAATCGTCCAAGGTATTTGTGTTGAGTCTCACGGAACCGACCTCTACCCACAAGTCTGGTAGGTCGACAGCTTGGCTAGCGTCGCATCTAGGCAGCAGCATCGAACGACGTGTTGGCGTCCTTGCCCTTGGGCTCGACAGCTACAGTGTTCTCGTAACCACAGAGCTCATCGACCAGCGGTCCAATGGCGTCGTGAGAACGCTGCTGCGGCAACGCAATTCGTGTGAGATACCCGGCCAGCGCCTAGGTCGTGGGGTACTTGTACCCATCAATCGCTCCCTTCTTTTCATCGCAAAGTCCACGCACCACCCGATGTCACGACACGTACTGACCCGATCACGTCCGACCTTCTAGTACTACGTGTCAAGGCCATTTCGTACTTCGTACTTCAGTCTTTGATTGCATCGCGTACTACGTGGAAAGGGGCGTGCGATGCTTGATCCAGCGTGCTCCCGGTACCGGTACAAGCTGACGAGCCTCGATGGACGAGGACTCATAGACAGGCCTCTCTTGCAATGTTGCAATATCACGCATCCTCAAGAATGAATGATCACACCTCACGTCATCGTGAGGACAGAGCGTCCACAATGTCATACGAGGTAACTTGTTATACGGGACAGCGGCGCAGATCCCACGCCGCGACTCATGCCAAGTCGCGCTGGATGTTGCAAAGGTCACGTCACTGTCTCCGATCTCGTCATCGCATGTATGACAGCAGGTTCACGTAGCTGTATACGTCAAGCTTTTTGCCGCCACTGACGCGTCGTCATCGTCCTCCGACAACAGCCATGGGCCATGGACACGCGCGCCGTCCATGGCAACCGCAGTATCTTCCAGGCTGCCGAGGAGCTCTGCCATGCTCGAGGCAAACGCGACGTCCGAATGCATGGACTGGATCTGGCACGTGTCGTGGCGCACGATGAGCGTCAGCGTCATGGGCGCCTAGCGCATGCTTTGATAATACCACGCTCGATAGAAAACACTTCCGCACCGAGAGCTCCCGCCCGACGAGGCGCTGGACCATGTCTTCTCGGGCCAAGACGTGCGGGAAGAGGCACTCGAGCGTCCGGCGGTGGAGACGCAAGCGCATGACGCTGTTGCAGACGACGATGTCATTCGTCTCGGCCGGCGAGACAGCAATGTGGCGACACGTCATCTCGAGTGCTGCAAAGTACGTGACGTACCGGTGCCACTGGGCAAGGAACGCGTCGACGCCGCCTCCGCCCATGAAATCAAAGCCGTCGGTCGCGAGCAGCGATAGCAAGGCGGTGACGTCGTGGTCCGTCGTAATGCCAAAGCGGCACACGTCAAAGTACGCGGCGCCGACACGGGCGCTCGCCGTGTGGTCCAATGGCCGCTCGGGCGCCGGGTGCATGATGGCCCAGGCCTCGCGCTGGCCCTCGAGCCGCGCCGTCTCGCGCCGGAGCTCGTCGACGCTAAGCTCGAGCCGCGCCACATAGCTGTTGACGGCTGCGCGCTGCCGCCGCTGGAGGGCGCGGGCCTGCGCGAGCTTGATGGCGCTTGTTTTGGGTGCTTGTCGGGTTCCGTCCATGCTCGATTTTGCTCTAATAAGCGGGCGAGATCCCACAGTACTCTCGAAATTTGTATGGCAAGGGCCCGTCAAGTTGGCCACCCGTTTGCAACGCGCTCGTATTGCCCTACGCGTTCCTGATGGTCCTTCTATCACTCGCGGTCGACCTTCTACGCCTGCGCCTGCGCCTGCAACGGCAATGGCAGTTTGACGCGACGGGTTCAAGGCTTGAAATGGACGATTGACGCTTTCTGGTCCATATTTGGACACGAAGTTGATCCCATCGATGCCAGCTGTGGGTTCCAAGGTGGGTTCCAATCAACGGAATTGGTTCAATGGTCGACGCAGGTGGGAGCTTGTTGCATTGGCGCTCGATACCGATAGTACGGCTCGATTGGAGCGAGCGTCTCGGTCGTCGTGGGCTCAGGGGGCAAGAATTACATGGCAGTTTTCTCAGAGACACGAGCCGTTGGCGTCGAAGCGTCCAGCGTGATGCTGGCATGATCGCGTGCAGACGTGACATGTTGATGCCAACGTGTCTCTCGAGACGCGGAGATCTCCGCCATCTCCGCTTCGAAACAGACGAAACCCATGGCGCAGGCGCCAGGGATGGTTGCTCTGGGCTCTCTGCTAATGGTACGTCATATATCGACGACAAGTACGTTAATAGGTGCTTTGTCGCTTGTCGCCAACTACGACCCCGCCAGCGCCGCTTCCAGCACGTTCATCTCTTCAAGAAGCGCGGCCACGTGGTCGGAAAAATCGTTGCTATCAAGGTCGCTGCGCACCGCCGTGAGCTTGATCCGTAGAGATGATCGATCGATACCTTGTGCTAGCGCGCTGATTGGCCATCTCGGCGCGTGCTAGGACCGACTAGCTCACCCGTGCGGTGCATACATGCAGGCCAATGACATCGCTGTACCTGGAGCTGCTCGACAAAGGCGACGCACCGATCGAGTGCGGGCTTGGTCCGGGATGTGACGAGACTGCCGATGCCAGACGCGATGGTCTGGTCCTCACTAGTACTCGCGAGCGGCGAGCGGAGCCACACCTGCACTTCTTGACGGTACTTGAGCGCAAACCTAAGCAAGCAAGGACAGGATAGTATGGCGTTGAGTCAAGCCAGCGTACGTTTGCAGCTGCAACTCGAGCGCCGAGACCAGGGCGCCCAATGTCGGTGGCGCTTGTACGATGGTACCCTAAGTCGACGCTGAGTGCGCAGAGTAAAAAGACCACGGCGAACCTTGTCAAAGGTGGGGTACTGCTGTCGCAGTCGGTCGCACTCGCGCATGGCTGCATCCAGCTCCTGCGCCAAGCTCGTGAGGCTCGTGGGATAAGAATTACGGAGCCTGTATACCGCTGCGACCCGGCGATGCTCGTCGGCCACCGACGGTGCAGGCTGTGCGAGGTACGCGTGGAAGCTCGGCGGAAACAGTCCCGTCATTTTGGTCTCCAAGAAGAGTGCCTAGACAGGACATGGTTCAGCGCCACGGCGATGAACGACGCTACCTCGTTGGCGCACACGACGTTGAGAAGCGTGTTAGCCTTGGCAACGCAGGCGTCGGCGCCGTGCGTGGCGATTGCCTCGAAGCCAAGCAGCTGATCGACCACCTACGCTGCCTTGTGGAAAGCACAGGCGTGGAGACGACGGACCTGCCGAAGGTAGCCGTTCGTGCGGTCGACGCCAAGTGTCCCATCGATGAGGCGCGCGCACACGTCTTGCGACTCGATGCCCTGCGTGGTGCTAGTGTGAGCGCAGGCCTCGGCTAGGATAGCGTACCGTCTGCAGAAGCCATCGCGCCAAGAGCATGTCGGCCTCGCTCCCGGACGTTGGCCCCAGCGCTTGATGGAGGTAGGCCCGGGCGCGTGCATGCAGCCAATGTAGCAGCTCACGCTTGGAGCCATGTACCTGCAGCGGCGACGACGCGAGGATCTCGGTCGGGCAGCCCAACGCTTCGAGATCACGCTGGAGCTGGGCGTGTGCCATGCTCTGCTCGGTTCCAACACACACCATTTCATGTCCACATACTATTGAGGTCGGTGAATTGGATGATATTTTCCAAATGATGCAAATAGTATTAAATCAGGTCACAGCCATCAACATTGGCAACTCCACGTCTGGGAATGAGGAGGTCCATCTCTGCACGATGTCCCGCGACAAGATACTTTAGAAGGTATCTGCTCTATTGCCTGAGCGCACGCTATAGCAAGCTTCCCGCGGTGACCCCCACCAACTTTTAAAGCATAATAATCTTGCGCTGACCTTACATATATGTTAATCTGGTATTAGCCCAGATCTTTCCTTTGATGTAAAAAAGGACCCATGTGTGTTCTGGTACCTGCTTGTGCTCTACCGGAACGGCGGGTCGAGCGTCTACTTGGCTTGAATCGGTCGTGGCACCGCAGGGTCCATTTTTGTCATGCATGGATTGGTTGAAAAGTATCGCATTTGGCCGAACGCGGCATGATGATTGGCTAAAATACCTTGCGCAACGCCCAATCGGCTGCATTTGGGCAACATGGGCCGGGAAGGGAAGCAGCGCAAGCTCAAGCGCGCCAAGGTTAGTCCTCGGGACCGTCGCTCTCGCCCTCAGTGCTTGCATCGCATAGGCGGAGAAGACGGCGTTGAAGAAGAACCGCGGGTCGCAAGCCCTCGGCGTCGACATGCGCAAGCTGCGCGAGCAGCTTGCGCGCCTCGAGCTGCAGTTGGTGGTAGGCGCCTCGCGTCGCTCGCCAGCCTTGATGACCGCCGTGCGTAGACGATGGAAGCCGACGGCAACTGCTTGTTTCGGTACTAGCATTGCAATGCGATAGCCGCGCGATACGACGCCTCTATGGTAGTGCGCTGAGCGACCAGCTGCACGGCGACCAGACGCACTTTCCCGTGATTCGCAAGGTTCTAGCCCAATATGCCCTTTGCTCGCCGTTGTGTCTCAATCCATGTAGGACATTGTACAATACATCAAAGACCACCAAGACGATCTCGAGCCGTTCATGGAAGACGAGGAAGCGTTTGATCACGTTGGATTCCTCCCGACGACATCGAGGAGGCGACGGAAATGCGTGTGTAGTACTGCTCGCGCATGGCCGACGACGGTGTCTGGGGCGGCAACTTGGAGCTCTACGTCGCGTCGTTGCTCTGGCAGCGCCACATTGTCGTCCACCAGGTCGTTGTTTCGGGGCCTGCAAGTTGATACACTGATACACTTCTCCAGGTCGATGGCAACCGCACGACCATCGACTGCGGCCACGCCAAGGCTCGTGCGTGGCACGTGTGCTACTACAACGACGAGCATTACGACAGCATCCGTAGTGTCGACGATGACTTGATGTCGACGCCGCTGCCGCTCCCACTGCCCGTCACCGAGGTAGGACTGTCCAGGAAATCGCTAAACAAAAAAGGTCACGAATTGCAGGGTAAAATCTGTGTCGAGACAGGTGTCGACACAAGTGCGCAGCGCGAGAGAGACCTCAAGGCCCTTCGCACGGACTTTCCCACGATGGACACGGACGAATTGGAGTCGCTCTTTGAGCAGCTGCAGTGTGACCCGGCCAAGGTGCGGCAAAAGCTGTCAGCCAAGACAAAGAAGGTCAAGCACATGGTCAAGATGAAGAAGCGGCGATAGATACGAGTACACTATTGTACATGCGAGCAACGTGGTTGTTGATGTGAGATTCTTCGGCGAGAAGGACACTTTGTACCAAGAGGTTGACAACATGGACAGTCCCACTCAGGGTGAATGCATATGCATTGGTCATACGACGCAGCGAACGACTAGGACACACCTACTGTCGCCGTTTTGTGGCTTCGAATGTCCTTGAAAAGCACTTCAACCACCTACAAGGAATAGCAATTCCCTTGCAAAATAAGGTCGCGAATCGGAACTTTACATCGGAAAACGTGATGGCGTTCGTGCCGTGGGGGTCGGCTTGATGCACAACGCTGTCGACTTCGTCCTCTGTCTAGATCGGATTATCATTCAACGATAGAAGCTGAAGTGTCTATCTTTTTTACCTTGTACGGTGTATACCGCATCATGAGCTCCACGAGACTTTGCTGTATATATCGATATTGCATGAGGCATCTTCCTATGGCAGCAGACAGCACACACCTGGGAGATGACGCCAACGGTCTCAATATCCACTTGCTGAAAGTGGCGGCAAAAGTCCTCGAGCATGCGCAGTCGCCCGTGCATTTGGTAGTTGAGCAATATCTGCACCGATTTAAATGCCAATATATCTGGAAAACCATGTAAACTGACCTTGCGAAACGTCGAAAAGGCCAGGCTGCGCTTGCCGTTGTTGTCGTCCTGCACGACCTGCGACTCGACGAGCCGCACGATCGCGTGACTCTAGCCCACTGTGAGCGCGGGCTATCGTTTCTACTCGCATACGTCGTGCGCGTCATACATGTACTTGACGACGCTGTGCCACTCGTCTTCGCTCAACAGCATTTGGTCCATGAGCTTGGCTTGGATGAGCTGATTGAGCGCGCCTACGAGAACAATATCCAATATGTAGATTTCGACACCGACGCGGACCTTCCGACTTGCGCGGGTGCAGGCCACGGAGGAAGGCGCGGAGGAGGGCGAGAACGGTCTCTTCCAGCTTGCTCTTCAAGCGCAAGAACCCTTCGTCCATGTCGTTGCGCACGACATGAAAGAACGTCGCGACGTCTGCGTCCGATTTCATGTACCGCGTGCACCCCTAGAGAAATATAGATACAATATTGATACATTGATAGAAAAATGTACCTTCATGATAGCGCTTGCATACTCGACAATGAGGGACTGGAGTCCAAAGCGCTGGTTCAAATACGTGTACATGTGCTGCTCCATCGTCTCTTTCGGCGCGCAGTTGGCTGCGCACATCTCGTCGTGCTTGGCTTTCGACGCGTAAATCGCGTTAATCATGTCGCGGAGCTGCTTTAACGTCAGGTTTTTCACCGTCGTCGGCGTCGGCGACGCTGCGGGCGGCAGCATCGACGGCTTGAAAGTATGCTCGACCACCTCGGGGCGCCGCGGCCGCGATGCAGCATGGTTGTTGTTGCTCTCCTGGCGCGTTGGCTTGTCTTTCTTGACAAGCACGACGGGCACGGCCGGTGGTGACACCTTTCGCGCCGGTGGCGGCGGTGGCGGCTTGGCTGCGACGACAGGCGCGACCTCGTGGGGGTGAATGCTCGGGGTTCGCGGTCGATTGTCGCCGAGCTGATGCCGCAGCCGGAGATTTTCATCCTGCAGCTGCGCAACGCGCTTCTTCTCGAGAGCCAAGGCCGCGTGGCTCGTCTGGAGGTCCGTCTCGAGGCCCTCGGCCACCTCCAAAAGCTGCTGGAGCTGCCCGGGCGCCGCTTCCTACGTATGTCGCATGTTCCGAGAAAATGCGAGGAAGAGGGCGCCATACGTGGCGGCTTGCGTCGACGAGCGAGAGCACGAGTGCGTGGTACGACGTCATCAACTCGTGGTGGAGAAACGTGAGCGACTGGATGGCGAGCCCGAGCTCCGGGTGGCACTCGCCGGCTTTCTGTGTCGCGAGGCTCGCGCAGGCGGCGAGGACTTTGAATTTTGCGTGGAGCAACGTCGCTGCCTCGTGGTCGCCGGCCGCCAATTCTTGCTTGAGCGACATGGCCACGAGCTCCATTTGCTGGTCAAACATGCGGCTCATGCGCAGCGCTTCGTCCGGCGACGGATCCCCAATGCTTTTGAGAACGCTGACGATACTGGCGACGTTTTGAACGTGATCCTAGTACGCACAATAAGACAATCGTGTGTGCAGTAAGACATGCTTGTGTGCCGCGTCTATACCATCGGCAAGGCGCTGTTGGAGAAGGAGGATGGCGCGGGCTGCATGGCGAGTAACTTGGGCGGGCCGCCGAAGGACAAGGGTGCGGCGTTGAGGATGCGGAGTTTTGGTAGCGCCGCCATGACGAGACTCTCGTCGGTCGCCGACGCCAACGTGATGGACAGACTCTTGAGCGACGGGAGCTGCTGCAACACAGGCAGCACGGATTGTATCGATGGGAATGGGTTGTGCGAAACATCGAGCGCGACCAGCCGCGTGAGCTGAGCCATCTCGGTGGGAAGCGACGAGAGGCCGTTCTCGCTCACGTCGAGGTGGCGCAGCTCCTTGAACTGCCGGAGAAGAGGCAAGAGAGGCTCGAGCGAGTAGAGGCGGGCATGCTGGAGACTGATCTCCTCCGTGCCCGGCGTCGTCGCAAAGACCTTGGCCAGCGTCTCCATTGGATTCAAGCGTCACTAGAACAAACGGTTGCGCCAAAACGACATAAAAATAGGAGCACGGACATTTTTCGTTCATGTCAAGGAACTGCGAGGGTTGGCTACGTAAAAGCACCGTCCCATGCGTGCCTGTGCATCTCGGCTTGAATCTGTAGACCTGGGGCGCTCGGTCTTCTTTGTTGATGATGCATAACGCGCGTGGACCAATCTGATAAGGCAAGATGCGCAGAGACGCCGCGTGTGATAGCGGCTATAAGATCAAAGAGCAAGTTGGAAAAAGGCCATAATGATTGAAGTTGTAGTGTACTAGAAGTGTCTGCTGTGCACCATGGCATAGGAGTTTACACGAGCGGCTCTCATGAAGCAAAGGATGTCAGGGGTGCACTTCTTCCAGCTTTTCTTCCTATCCTCGGGCCATCGACCGTCCAGCACGTTCCGGCCTTTTTAAGATCTGGAGCCACGGTCGACGACACGAGCCAAACTCAGATCCAAGGTGTTGACATCAACATAGATCGGCCATCAACTAATCCTTTGACGTATACAGCAGAGTCGGTTTTGATAGGCGCTGCATTTGCTGGCCTCACATGCGTGCAGTACTTGGTCGGTTTTCCGGATACGCCGGATAAAGATCCATGACGACGCAGGCGTCATGCGCCACGCTCAAGTCTGAGCGCTAGTTGAACTTGAAGGCTGGGCGTTCTCTTTCGAAAGCTAGTATGGGATCGACCGCATTCGGGTTGGTCCCTTCTTGTTTCTGTCCAGCGTGTTTGCTCGTCGAGTTCAGGCCTCTAGTTCATGATTGGCTCGGTCATCGTCCAACCAGAGCGTGTCTTTATGCTTCCTGCACCAAACTTCAAGTACGGCCTCTGTCGTCCTGTTTAGTGCCAAGTGCAAATGTTCCGAGCGTTCTACCGCGCCAATGACGGTGAGGTCGTCGCAGCGTGTCTTTGCCGTACCCCCTTCTTCGGAAGGCCCAAGCTGAGTTGGTGTGTCGATTGTCCGTGTGCAACAAACCAAGCTTCTCTGGCTTTCGATGCCCCGCTTGCACTCGGACCGGTCCTACTATCGAGTGGCGTACTATTCTACATGCGTACTTCGTGGTTGTCGAGGTCTTGGACAAGATAAGATGCCAGAGTCAGCAGCAAGATCTCTTCTTCACCTTGAAGTGCATTTTCCAACTTCAACTTGCATCCAGTGGTGGGCAACACCCGATAAAGTGCGTCTTGAGTCGCACTTGGGCGGGCAATTACACGGCGCTGTCACATGGGACAACCAGAATGGACCAATCAAACGCGTTTGTTCGCTTGGACTTCAACGAAACAAACGGTGCGTTTCGAAACGCTTGTTTGGGACGAATTAAAATACGAGCTCTATTGTTGCGGTCAGGTCTACTTTTTCGTATTCTAGGCTCTGTATTTGTATGGTCTTAAAGAAATGCGTAAAATAAAACAGCCGAAAAACCACGGTATTTTAATGCCGAAACGGCCCTTGACTTGAATCTCGGTTTCTGCAATAAAATGGCGCGTAGCGTATACAAACACCAAGACAGTTTGAGCTCGTCGGCGTCGCATACAAATGGCCAGAGAGCGCGCCGCATATTTTTGCCGGCAAAACCCGGAGTTTTCCCGGTGGCACGCGCCGTGGCTGTTCTTTGGAATGTAATTACTGCGGCCATTTGCCAAATTTCCCACAACGCAGCACATCCTGATGAAGCGGTCCGCCTCGACTTGTATCAAGCGCAGCATCAGCTGCGTCGACCTGCCTGCCCTCGAGGTCGAGAACGAGCTCCACCCGCGCAAGCGCATCTCGCAACTCCGCCACCGCAGCCTCTCGGCCGCCGACCTGGCACGGAAAGCGCGCGTCGACGAATGGATCGCCGAGCTCTACGACACGCCGCAGCCCCAAGACGAGCTCTCGACCTTGCTCCAGTGTCCGACTACGACACCCTTCGATCTCAACGCCAAGGGCAAGGACTTCGACGCGGGCATGCAGCTCGAGCTTCTTAACTTTTGGCAGCACTCGTGGCTGCACGACGCGACCGTCGACGAAGCACCGCGCCTCTGCTAAACACGCCACCAGCCCTATTTATTCCGCTAGTTTACTTATTTTAACACCATTATTCATCCCAATTGATCAACAACCTCGCGCTTGAAGCATAGATAGACGCAGTCCCGTCCGTGGCGCAACGGCGGCCGACAGCACAGGCCGCCGGTTGCCGTACGGTTGCCAGCAAAATGGATAACCTCACCCAGAACCTCACCCGCCGCTACCTGCCGCCGGTGCGCCACGTGGGCAGTCGGTCTCATACAACATGGGTGACCGGCTCTGTTTACCCAACAGCGTTTAACGCCTACCCGCAGTGCGTCTTATCTAGAACGCCATTGCGTTAAACCAGACACGACGGTGGGCCGCAACGCCATTCGACCCGACATCGTCCATGCTCTTTTCGTGGCTTGTTGCAGGGTTAGCATGTGGCGCAATCAGCACGTGAACCGCGTGGTCTCGGCCTGTGTCGCTCTGAACGAGGTTTAACCTTGGGTTTAACGCGTGGCGTCGTTTGACGCGGGCGTTTCGTCGTTCAATTACGTTGGGTCCGTTGTGTGACACCAGTGGCTCCCAACTTGAACCAGCTGGTACGAAGAAATCAAGTAGATGCGCAGCCACCCGCGCGAATAATTCCCCGCGCCATTCAAATGGCCACGTGTCGAAAACGTCCTACCGCCATTGGCTTCAAGGTAGCCAACCGTACTGCAACTACTTCCACGATGCATAGCTGGCAACGACGTTGGTTCCGCCGTTTAGAAACGGAAGAGCTATCCCTTGAAAACCTCCAACGACGCGCAGAAATCCGCTAGTGAATACACATAAATCTCGCGCCATAGACCAGGATACCAGCTCCAGGGATGTTCTACAGCGCCCGTGTCGCAAAGCCATACCTTGAACGAGACGCAATTCTTTTAAAACTTGCAAAGCCTCCGCCGCGCTCGATGCTGTGCAAGTTGAAGCAGCCGCGGTCGACGCCGACTTCAAGTGGGGCCGCCACCGATGCAGACACAGGCCACGACGCGTGAATTGCATGATACATTGGTAGCACGAGAAGCCTCTGAGTCATGCCTTGAGCTTGTATTATACCGCAGCAGAGCCAGTTGCACGTACGGTACGAAGAGAAATCCAGTAGCGGCGCGGGCACGTGAGGTCGTGCCCGTGTCCCACAACACAGCAGCTCGGAGCGGATGATGATGACGATAGGCTCGCGCGCTTATACGCACGAGCGGCTACTGTACACACCCATGCAAAAATCAAGCGCGTCCCACCGACGTACCAGTATCCCGCGTCTATTATCAACGAGGCGGCAATTGGGGATACTGGTACGACGTTGGCTTCTCTGAAGCATCGCAGCGATGCGCAACTGCCGCGCGTCTATGGTCAGACTTGCTAATAAGGACCTCCGTAGATAGCGCTGAAAGGAGATTTTTGGCTACTAGTACGTTCAAGTCCGTGCCTCGGCAGCCTGAAGCCGATTGCGCTCGCTTTTGTTGCGAGCGACTCGAGACCGGTGGCGTCCCACCATGGTCATGTTTACTGCATGTCCAGGGATACCAGCAACCAATGCCGCCACCGCGAATCTCTAAAGATTTAGATGGAAACGACGAGCGAAGAAGATTACCGACTACTCTACTATGTAGTACTATTGTCGGTCAAAGCATCGTCATTTGACCTCAAAACAAGCGGCCATTGCTCTTATGACGCGTCGAGGGAAACGCTGCACGGTCGACAAATCCGCTCAAAATAGCAAAAACGTACGCTTATGCGCAGGGACAGTGCTGCGGCCGACAAGCGGCGTCGACGCACGAGTGCCGTGCACGTGACCGCAGACGAAGTACCAATTCGGCTTGCAAATGGCCATCGATCGACACGTTGACTGCTATGATAGAGCACACCCGGTGCGGACGAAAGCCTCAAGGTCGAGTCAGAGCCAAGTCTGACGTGTGCGTCCACCAAATGCGCCAATGGGCGAGTTCGTCAGGCACCATCTCGGAAAGCGTCGCCAAGGAAAACCAGGCGCTTCGGGACGAGATCAAGGGCCTGCGCCACTCGATCGAGTTTCATACGCACCGGGCCGATAAGGCCGAAGCGAGCCTCCTCGTACGCCAACGAGCACGAAGAAGAGTCTTGACCTCTTGTAGACCCTCCAAGCAGATGTGAGCGACATTTATCGCCGAAAAGAAGAGGCATTGCAGCTCGAAATCACGGTCTTGCAAGCAGAGCTGACTGCCAGCACCGAGGTCCATCGACAACGAACGATGGCTCACGGATGTCAACGCGACAATAATAGGCCAACGAGACCCAAATGCGCGAGTTCCAGGCGCAAAAAGCCGTCATTGAGCAGGTTCGAACCCATGTCGTCGATGTTTCTGTTGTTTCAGCGCCAGATCTAGAGTTATCGAGATCGTATCGAAGCAATGGATGCCAAGTTCATCAACCAAACGTTTAGCTCCAAAGCAGTCACGGTAATACTTGGTCCTTTATATGTTCCTAGTTAAATTTACGTCCCTCTCGCACTAGACAATGCCGACGGATCCAATGCATTACGACCCCGCGTACACCCGACTCTGTTGAATAACGACGGAAGCAGAGTTTGGTGTACTAGGACGGGCGCCAACTACTGCCCGCTGCCGCCACGCAAATATAAAGGGTCCAGCGCCATGATCAAGGAGCTGCTCACGAGGTACTTTTGATTGAATTTTGTACTACGCGGGTTTTGAGTGCGTTGTTGCGGTGTAGCGGCGCGGTCGACGCGAATGGCGACGCCGCAATTATGACGTCAATCCTCGCCAACGCACACGCGCACTCGCAAAGGGCCCTGTGCCGCCATGATAAATAGTGACTGCGGTTTATCAGTCTTTTACGTACCATTTTAGTAATACTTCCAACTCCCGCGCATTCAGGCGTAGCACTACATATGCGAACTCTTTGTAAGGAAGATAACGCGGAACATGTTGATAAATATATATTAAGAAGAGCTCTAAATCATGGATTTTGGCTCTACATATTTCAATCGCAAGGTACAACGCACGACAAATTACATCGACACCGCGAGCATTACGATTGCGATCACGGTGGAAAGGAGCGGGGTGCCATGACCAGCGCTCGTGACTGTCATGGTCTTTCCGTCCACCGTGACCGTCGGGTCGATAGAGGCACACTGCAGCGTCTTGCTGCCGTCGTCGATGCCCGTCAGCGTCGCTGCAAAGCCTTGGTTGCCACCCTGTTTTCGCGCGGCTTCGGCCAGCGCCTGGAGCTTCTCGGTCGTGCCGGCGTCGAGCTGATATGCCACCGAATACAGATTCGATGCGTTCCCAGTTGGCGGCGACAGGACGGTGTACTTGGAGCTCACGCACGCCTTGACGTCCGCGAGGCAGTGGATCGAGTGCAGCTCGGGGTTGACAAGCGTCTTGACTTGCGGCTTGTCGAGCAGCGTGCCCCTGTCAATGCAAAGATTGTCCATGATGAAGCCGGTGACGGAGACCGTCTTGCCCGTTGCGTTGCAGCCCATCGCGGTAGCAACGTAGAGAAGCACGAGGCCAAGCGTCGACGGGAGCATGCTAGTAAATTGGGAAATGAACTCTACGGCGGCAAAGGCACGTGCAGGAACCAGACGCGAACGGAATGTTCCGAAGAAGGCAGATACGCGTTGTATCCCAAATGAGTCGGTTTCTGAGTTTTAAATGTTTGGGGTCAGTGACTGGTCAGTGACCCTAAACATTTAAAACATTTAAAACTCAGAAATGGACACACTTCAAATCGGTCCGGGCTACTGACGACCACCATTGTTCTGACGATTAGTGTACTATCGTCTCCTCTAGATGCTCGGACTAGTCTTAGTTCTACAAGTGTACTAGTACTAGTATACTATTATAGTATGCGTATGACACTGAGTCATCAAGGTTGATCTCCAGACGGCATCTGTTGTAGCTTCTCGAGCCCATCCAGGAGCGAAATGCAAAATGAACTTGAAGATGGCGGCGTCTGACACGCTTGTTATTGCACGGCGTTTCCACAAAGAGCAAAGCATCAACGTACACTTGATCGGTAACTCTAGCGATGGTGCTGCACTGGGACAGGCACCGCAAGTACAATCGACGAGGTTGGGCCTGCCAGCCCAGGGCTCAGTAATCACAAGTTCTCTTAGAAAGTACACGACTTGTTTCAAACGTTAACTAAATTCCGAGCTGGCGGTTTCCGCCCACAACCGTCGAAGATGCGTGCGACCCGGGCGGCCATCGTCGCGACAGCGCACAAGTCGACCGAGTCGGCGCCGTTCCAGCTCCTGCTCGACTGCTACGCGTCGTGCGTTCTCCTTTTGATATATTTTAGCATGATGGACATTGTGTCTGTAGTACCAAGGGTACCGACAACAACGTCGTCGAGCTTGAAGACAAGCTACGTCGGCGCCCCGACGCGTCCTTGAACGACGTTATTCAGGCCCTTTGCGACACGGAGGACCCAGCCATTCGCCTCAAGCTCAGCGTGCTCGGCCTCTCGCTGGCCCCCATTGTCGAGGTACTTACTACTCGGAGTTTGTTTGCACATGCATGTAGATCTGATTTATGCTTGTAGAAAATTGACCTAGTCGTCGAGGTGGTCCACACGGTCGTGACGGACGTGTGGTCGCAGGTGCGTAAGGACGGCGGGCGCTACGTCGCCAAGCATCTCGTGCCCGTGCTTCCGTTGGCGACGCTTGAGGCCATTTTCATCGACATTTTGCGTCTCTGCAAGACCGACGGCACCGAGTGGCGGTCGCTGGACGGCGGCTTTTACCTTCTTGCAATGGTGTTGAGCACCACTAAACGTGTGCCATCGGCGGGCTATGCACTTGGTGGGCACACGCTGGACCACCTACCGGCGATCCTCCTCACAGACCTCAAACCGGTGCCTCGGCTCCATTTCTCGCAAATGAACTCAACACTTTACGAACAACTAGGCGGTCTACAGCGCGATGAAGAACGAGCAGCTTAGCGTCCGAGAGCACGCGACCGCCGCGATGACCAACTATGTGGCCATTTCGGATCCGTTTACACAGGTAGTCGCTTTCGATGCAAAGCATGCATAGGACACTATTGTACACCACTAGATTGGTACCTTCCAAGAAGTCATTAGCAAGCTTCACTTGCATTCGCCACACGATGTGCTGCCGGCTGCCCACGCCGACGGTGTGTCCTTTCGGTCTAATAAATTGCTAAAATGCGACAAAGGCCTCTTGGACGTCGCGGCGCAGCTTGTGCCGCACATTCCCATCGCGTTCCTCGCCAAGCACTGGCACGTTGTCTTTCCGACGTGTGAAAAATACATCATGCACCTCGCGTCCACCGTGCGCCAAAAGTCGAGTCTTCTCGTGCGCGCCCTCGCTGCGCTCAGCGTCGAGGCGCCATCCGACACGAGCTTGCGCTTGCTGCAGTCCATCTTGACGTCGCTCGCGACGCCGTGCTCAGTGCATCCCGACGCGGCGCAGCGCGACTTTTTCTGGCAGCGCCTCGAAGGTAATTTTTTTGTACCCGCAATTTCCTTTTAAAAACCTCGCTACCTGGCGCGCAGGGCGACTCATGAGCTTGGACGCTGTGCTCGGTCTTCTGGGCCACCACCAGCTGGCAACCACCGTGGCTGCGATCGACCGAGTTGAAAGCAAATCATTTTTGGCACCACCACCGCTACGGTAACACCCGTCCGACATTCTTACAAAAATGATTCATACCCGTGCATGTGCGTAGCGAGCCCGCGCTGGTCGTGTGGCGTCGACTTGGCGCCGATGCAACGTACTATACGTTCGGCCACGACATGGCCCCGCTGGCGACGTGGCCCACGGAGGCCGCGGCGACGGGCATCTCTGTGGTGCAGCAGCTGGTCGACGCCAAGCTCGTGTGCTTCTCAGAGCTTTGGCACGCCTACATGGACATGACATACGAGTGCTTTTGTTCGTCCCAGTTTGAGGTACCGATAGTGTCGCTGTGTTGTCAATATCGAGTTTTGTTTTCTAGCTCAAACGCATTGCTGCCCAGACGTTGCCAGGCCTCGTGCGACTGAGTCTCTGGCTCGAGTCGCCCGAGCTTTTACTGACATGGAAAGCGCGTCACACATCGACGACAGTCGACGTGCGCTTTGTGTGCTTGGGCCTTCGCGCGCTGCTGCTGCACACCCGGTTCCTGCAAGAGGTGTGTTCGTGCGATTCCTGTGCATCTTTGACGAGGTGTGGCATAATAGGTGCAACGCGCAGCACCGACACCGACTATGGCAGTGTTAACGGCCTTGGCACAGAGCACCACGGATGCCATGCTACCACGTGCGCACCGGAATACAGTTGTTCGGGGACTCAAATGCGGTGTCTAGTTCTCTTGGCAGCTGACCCGCGGCAGCTGCGAGAAAAGACAGATATCCTTGCTCTCGTCGAAGCGTCGCTCGTCTACTTGGTGCAAGCACCCAGCTTTGCGGAGCCGCTCTGCGCATCGATGCTAGCGTGCATGGCGTCCCACTGTGCCTTGGCGCCAGCGGCCGCGGATAAAGACCTGAGCCTCGACCGTTCCATGAGGTTCAACCGATTCCACTTACACTATTGAGCGGTGTTTGTAGCTCGACGGTCGTGCGCTTTCTTCCGTCGCTCGTGCAAACAATGCCACCCACCGTGCTCGCTTCGCAGCTTCGCCACCTTGTGCTGCTCGTTAGTTCGTGGATCGAGCCCAGCGACGACAGCGTACTCTCTCAATATTTTGCAGTCAGGAAAGTGTGTCCTATTGTCTATTCTAGTTGCGCTGGATCATTGTCGGTATGGATGAAGCTTATGCACTCTTGCTCGATACGCTTTTACTGCTCGCGGTACCATCCTCTGCCAAAACGTGCTGATGCTAGAGGAGCACGGATGGCTAGGCGAGAAGCAGCGACGACTGGGACGAAGCGTCGCTCGAGCGCGCAGTTGATGGAGCGCTGCGCTTGCTCGCGCACCCAAGTTGCAATGCGTCGCAACGCGCCAAGGTTGACCGCTAGCTGTCCCTTTCGAGACGCTTGACGAATCGTAGATACTGCACCTCATGGAGCTCCTCGCCCCCCGTCTCTCGCCATCTCGCCATGCGCCGACGCTGAACGCGCTGCTCGAACCCCTCGGCAATGTAAGGGAATTACACAAATCTAGGCTCTGACGCGGGTCTGGATGCGTAGGCCAAATCGGGTGCGGTCCAGGTACTTTCTGCGGGATGGGCGGTCCGGTTTGAGTGGAGACGGTAGGACACAGCGTGGGACTCATGGGACGACGACGCACCCAAGACAGCCACCAGCGGACAAGGTACGCCTCGACTCGACGTCGTTTCCGACTGGATTATGGTGTCGTAGACGCGATCGAAAACGAGCGGGCGTTCTGGAAGCGCTTCCACGCATCGCCGCTTGCAGGGACCAATGTTGCCGCGGTCGTCGCGCAAGCGTGTACGGCCCAAGCGCAGGCGGCCCTCACGGCGTGGCTCAAGTGATCTTTTATTTGGTCACAATAATGTCTTCTGGACTAAGAACGCCAGCATGGTATGAGTTATCCTCGTCTTGGCTTCGCATACGACATGTCACAGACCCGAAACCGTCACGGTCATGCGTTAAACGCGCTGAAAGCATGCCACGTCACACATTTGTAAAGGTCTAATAGGTTTAACGTCCCTGCGACGTGCGTCCCGCCCTTTCTTCTCGTCCTTGCGCCCGGCCCCGCGTGTATTCGGTTCATAATTCGAATGAACGCCGAGCCCACACCATGCGGGGAAACGAGCGACCCACCCTACTCGGTTGTCGTTGGGTCATTCCAAGGCGCCAGCCACAACGACGGTGGAGGAGAAGACATTGCAGCCTTTCCCCTATGGCTCCCGCCCGAGTCCTTTCTCGGTACATCCTACTAGTATCTAACTATCGACTCATTACAGCATTTGTGTAGACGAGCTGCTCCGCGCTAGTGCCGTCACCGACGACGTTGCAACTGTACCGACGATTGACGACAGTGTCAATGGGATCGCAGCTCATGCTGAACGCTCCCTGGACGACGACGACATAGCTATGAGACAAGGCACGCTCCGTGTGTGCCTTGCAGACGGGTGCCTGCGCTACGCCCAGATGAACCAGCTTTGCTACCGCCACGGAGGGCGGCGCACGTGCCAAATCGAAGGCTGCGGCAAGAAGGATCGCGGCAACGGCCGCTGTGTGCGTCATGGTGGCGGCGAAAAGTGCCTGGCGTCAGGGTGCACGCGCCACGCCCGCGCTCGTCGGTATTGCTATCGACACCGCGCATTCGCCCACGACGGCTGATTCGCACGTGGTCGGTATCCGACATGTACATCGTGTAACTACTACATACACTGCATGCAAAACTGCTTTATGCACTCGTCAGTCAGTCATCGGAAGGCAAATGCGGGAGGCAGCGAGGATCCCCAACACAATAGAAAGAAAGTCGTGGGGCTGGACCGAACGCGGCTGAAGTATGCGCCAATTAAGATCTTTCTGGAGCGATGATTCACGAAGAGATCTTCATTGGTTCATTGAATGGGTCTTGAGTCTGTACAAGATCTCGTTATCAATACGACGTGAGGTAGAGCGTGATACTACCGAGGCCATGGTTTATCGATGTTTCGTGTCATCTCAGTAACGCTCTTGACTGGAGCAATTTCACACTGCACGACTTGTGTCCATTTATGTACTAGTACATTTTTGTACGTACTATCAAGCGAGTCCAGGTTCTACGATCCCTAATCCCGCATCCGATAGGGCAATGAGTCTGTCTGGTATGCTCAAGTACTCTGTTGCAATGATATTCTTGAACACAAGATGAGGAGAACACTTAATATACAATTGTTGCTTATGGTTGCCGACTTGATAGATAGTTTACTCTAACTTCGAGGATGCTTATAAAAAGGGGGATGATAAATAGGGTCGCGACCCCACAGTGCGCCGAGAGGTTAGTCGGACGCGCGGCAAATGCGCTGAAAGATCGAGAGCCGCGAGCCCGCACTAATGTCGTCGTCGCTTTGATTGTTGCCGAGGTTGAGCTGCATCAAGCTGAGAGTACTCTCATCATCGCTCATCGACGGCGTGTGGTCGCTCGACGTGTCGCTGCCGCCGAAGCCATACTCTCTGCGCGCAAAGCGCGTCTCCTCAAAGGGCGGGAAGCTGCAGGCGTGGACGGGCTGGAGCTTGAACGCCGCCGAGTAGCGGCTCAGGTCGATCGAGCCCTCGGCGTCCGGTTCGCTGTAAAAGTGGCGCGACGGGTTCACGCGCGGGATCGGGCGGCCGCGGCCCTTCATGTTTTCGGCGTCCTGCTCGGCGCGCGTCATGCTGTAGGCTTCGTCGTCGCTGTTGTCTTCCTCGGGCGAGCTGTCATGGATGAAGCGGCAGCGGCCGCCGTACATGCACTTGCCGGTGGCGAGGAATGCCTTGCACTTGGTCGTCTTGTATTTGGGGTGGCGCAGCACGCCGCGGAGCTCGTCCTCGCCATGGGCAAACTGGCACTTGGAGCCGTAGCGACACGTGCCGGTTTCGGTAAAGTGCTTGCAGAGCTCGGTCTTGTACAACGTGTTGCGGGCCGAGTTGGGCAGGCGCGCGCAGTCGACAATGTCGCCGTTCGCGAGCACCTGCATCGTGCGCTGGGCCGACGTCGAGGTCATGTTGGATCGATGAAAGGAGGACTTCTTGTTGGAGAATGAGTTGAAAGAGGCGGCACCCGGAGCGTCGATCCCTCTACCAAGACCAACTGGTTTTCAAACGTGACAGCAGCTTCGGCCCAAAGGGGTTTTCAGAGGTTTCGGGTGCAATTTTTAGGTTCCCGCCCAGAATAACACGTGGTCGTGACCTTTGCCGCAAGAAAGTCCGGCCTCGGCCAATCCGGTGCGAGCAAGATTTGAAAACAAGCCAATCACTGACGCGCACAGGAGGCAGCCCGTTTACCCGCGAAACAGAGATCTCGAGACGGCCAATCGGACGCGCCGAGGTGAGAAAAGCATGCGCGAGGAAAAAATCCCAGCACTTGCACCTGCTCCCGCCGTGCTTCTACCCCGCGCCTCGCGTCCCCGCGTTGTACTTGACGCTGTAGCGTCGATGTTGTTGTCTTGAACAAAACAATGCGTCGTGACTGTTCAAGGCAGTGCGTTGTGGGGACGGTGCCCTTGCAGATGGTCGCAGAGGCAGCCATCTCAGTGTTTTCGGCTGCTGTCCACGTGAGGTCGTCTGAATGCCGTCATGACATCATCATCCGTGCAGTGACAAGGACATCGCTTTCTCATTTCAATTCAATGCCTCGTTCGAGCTCTCGCAGAGCAAAAAGGGTGCCATAAGTCCTCTGCGAAGACGTCCGAACGAACGGCACGTTGACGATGCCGTGTCGTACCCAGCGCATCCTCCATGTAAAGACTGAAACTCGTGTGCGTGGAAGCAGCAGATGCGGCCACGTAAATATATACTTATCCAAACTTCAACCTCGAACGGAGTGGGATCCCACGAGGTAACAATGCCGGATACCTCCAATGGGTACCTCTTTTCTGCAGCAGCGCGTCTTGCAAAGAGGAGATCACGCATATAACGTGGCTATTGCTGCTCAGTATTGACTCGGCGGGCACGAGAATTCACGGAATGCCAAGCGGAGACGCAACCCACAAACTGGGGCGTCGACGCGATGACTTGTACGATGCGCTTGCTGCCGTTGCCTCCGCAGCTGCGCTCCGACTGCCGGCGCTGTCTTACCCAAGTTTGGACTCTGCCTTGTCGAGCCGGGCGCGTCGTCTTTTGAAAAGACTCACCCTTCGCAAGCACTTCACCTTGCTGACCTTTTGATACCCTATTCCCGGACTACAGACAGGGTCATGGCTAGAGCTGTCCTAGCCGACGATCACTACTGTTGTGGAGTCCTTGCTTGGTGATTGACGGGTCGGGAGCTGCGGGCGTGTCTGTCGCGAGGCGCGTCGGTCTGCGTGAACTGGGACAACAGCTTGGTCACCTAGTTCTGCGCCATGGCGTTGAGGGCCTTGTGCCGTCGAATTAGCCAACCACGACCGCCGCTCGTTTGGAGGTTGATGTCTATGACAACCATGTACGGTAACCCGACTCTCCAACGGTGGCGTCGGACGGCTCGACGCTTGTGATGCTGAGTGTTCGTTTCGTGGCGACGTACTGGACTACCGGGACAAAAAAAATCTTGGCCACTCGGCATTGACAAGAAACCCAAGCGAGCAAGCATTACCACGGACAACAAAGCATGTACGTAGTTATTTCCGACAAGAGGTAATAGTGTTACTCGGTGGCGTAGCCAAGTTGAAAGAACGGGTACTGCGACGCGGGCTCGGCGAGCTGCGTCTCGAGCGTGCTCACATCGAGAACGAGCGGCGTCCCCATCCACGCCGCGCGCTCCGTGTGGTCGCGGACCTCCTACAATCCCCAGCGCAGAGCGTCAATACACCTGCATATCGACCACCAGTATGCCGTCTACCTCGCGCGTCAACGGGTGCATAAAGACACTGAGGCCATTGCGGTTGGCGACGAACCACGAGTAGACCTCGGCAAAGTGCTCGACGGGCGCCCACGTCTCAAAGGAGCCGATCGGGTGCGGGCCCACGGGTACGAGGTTGAGACCATGCGTGGGCTTGACGCGCACCTGCGGCTCGGTCGTGTTGTTACCGACATAGTGGTGCAGCGGCACGGCCACGAAGCGGCGGTCCTTGCTCTCGAGGTTGGCGACGAGCGCGTTGCGGAGGGCGACGACCTTGGCCAGCTCTTCCGGGTTCTCTGCGTGGAAATACGTGTGGAAATGCCACTCGCGGAAGGCCATCTTGGCGTTTGTCTTGTCAAAAGGCAATCTGCACCCTGTCCTTTCTACAGTCTGCGATTTTAAAATAATATGTCGGCGACTCGATACTTTCATTGAGTTATGAGTTGCCGAGGTATTTAAATAGGGTGTCCTCCAAAGTACGCCTCACGCACCTATTCGCACTTAATAAAACTCTACACTTGTGGTTTGTATTGGCATAGTACGAATAAGACACTGCGGGGATCAACGCCGCAGCATATCTGCAAGGGTATATAATAAATGCAAGGGCATTTATTATATACCCTTGATATCTGGCAAGCTATCTCCTCCTCAAAGTGACAGGGTCCCGTGCCATCACTCTTCTCCTGAGCCTCATTTCCTGGAAAAGCAAGTACATTGAACAGTGATAGTATCCGAGACCATGGCCCGAGATATTGCCTCCAGATATATGGGTACCAGGTCCGAGACCCATTCGGACCCGGACCTGAATATCTCCGGATAACATACCACCAGGTCCGACAATATCGCCGGATATCATCCCACCAGGTCCCAAGATATGTGATTGGCTAAAAATAATCCTGTGTGCGAATGAATTGGCTCGTTCGATGGAATTGTTTTGGCCTGGTGTTGGCTTCTATTCTTCGCAATTATGAAGCGGCGCCGAACGATGCAGCGGCCACCCGCGGCCAGCCTCAGCTCCGTGGCGCCAGAGCGCCCGCGTACTACCAGCCCGAGTAATGTGACCAAAAAGCGCCAGCCCGCTGCCGCCACGCCCTCGCCCGCTGCCGCCACGCCCTTTTCCCGCTGCCGCTACGCGCCCGCCCGCTGCCGCCACGCGCCCGCCCGCTACCACGAAGCGCAAGCCCGCCACCGCCACGAAGCGCAAGCCCGCGTCCTCCATGACGCTCTCGCCCGCTGCCTCGTCGGAGCCTGTGCAGACGGCCCCGACGATCCTACGCGCCGCGGCCAGGCAGCTCGAGATGCAAGGGTCCGTAGCCCGCACGTTCAAGAGGGCGGCCGAGTCTCGGCCCGAAGCGACGAAGATTGCGTATTGTGCCAAGGCACGCGAGTTCCAGGAATGGTGCGTGGCCCGAGACCCCACCGATCCCGGCGGTACCGTGAGCGGGCGAGCCCTCCACCTTTTTCTCGAGACTGAAGTCGTCGGGCGCAAGTCGCGTGCCAAGGGTGACGTGGAAGGCACCATCGGCATCTCCACGATCAAGCAGTACACGAACGCCATTGTCAGCTTGTGGGCGGAGCAATGCCATCTGGGCAGGAACTCGAATCCTCATCCACGTACGAATGCCGTCACTGCACTGCTCAATCAAGTCAAGGCCGCCGAGGACGAGCGCAAGCGCAAAAACTCGAAGACCGCGGCGCGAGGACGCTCTTGGATGGCTACACATCTATTGAGCAATTTACAACAATTGGAGCGTACTTTTGGACCTCGACGCGTTGCCATGGTGTTCGACTTCGCGATTGGGTTGCCTTCGCACTCTCACACTACTACCTACTCCGCGGCGAGACGGTGCGCAAGCTCGAGTTTGCCGACATGCAGTCTTTGGCGCTCTCGAACGAGGGGGGTACCTGCACTGCCGTCGTCGCGATACAGCGCCAAGGAAAACAATCAACATGGGCGTGTGGAAACCTGTGCCTGCTTACGTGCCAAGGACGTGGCCGCCTGTGCACAGGCGGCGCTAGCCCACTACCTCTTTGGCACTGGCACGTCGAGGGCGAGCCTTTCCGGTGGTCGCATGGTGGTGCGGTTCGAGATGGACAATGCCGCACCAGGTGCGTCGACGTGCCCTCCTCAAGATGCGACCTCTGATCCGACCTCTGATCCGTCGACTCCTCCACCAACTACCACGGACTCTCTAACAGCCGCATCGGTCCCTACGAGGACGCTCGTTGGCAAGCCCATCAAGACTCTGCACAAGATGACTCACGCTCCCGGACCTTTGGCGCGAATGGTTCTACGGCTCCAATGGTGGCATGTCTATCGTCGCCATCCAGCAGTCTCCAAATGCCACGTGGCACAATGAAAACGAGCGGCGCTTTCTCAGCAGGCGCCAATGCGTTATTCGCTGCGTGCAATCATTTGCCTTGTCCGTCAACATATCCGACGAAGAAGCCGTGAAGCGGCTCGAGGAACGGCGGCTCAAGCTGGGAAAGAGTTTGGACTACATCGCAAAGAACACGGCCGACTTTCTCGCTGGCCATTAAATCGATTAATAAATGCTTCGCAATGTGGCACAAGAGCGAGCATCAAAGTAAATGGCGGCATCGATGGCGGCATCCATGAAAATCCTAAATCAATTGCTGTGTCAAATGCTGTATCAAATGCTGTGCCAAATGCTGTTTGAAACACTGTTTCAGGTCTGACGTCGTGGATCCTGTTGGAGATGCACCCACATTGGGTAATACCCTCGGGTCCGTCTTGACTTGAAGTTTGTATAGGTCCGGGTCCCAGACCTATATAAATAGAAGGGATGATATCACTTAGATAACTGGATCAACTACCGGTACTGATGCAGGTTCATTTCGCATTATCGGATGCTAACATACTATGGAGAGGGCGTTCGACTCGTTAGATAAGGAGAAGGCTCAGCGTCACACCAATTAGCGCCACGGCATGGCCATGGATGGTGTCCGTGTCGCTCGTTGCTGTCGGTGTCGTGGCCACTGGCATGCTCGTCTTTGTCGGTGTCGTGGTCAGGGGCATGCTCGTTGCTGTCGGTGTCATGGTCATGGGCATGCTCGACACCGTCGCCAAGTCCGTCGCAGACAACGTCACCGGCTTGCCGTCCACCATGACGTCGCTGGCGATCGAGATGCACTTGAGCTCGGGCGTGCCGTCGTCGATACCCGTGAGCGTCGCGTTGAAGCCCGTCTTGCCATAGTTGCGCGCTGCCATGCCGTACTTGATGGCGAGCGCCGTGCCGTCGGTGCCGAGCTGGTACTTGACCGTGTAGTTGGCGCCTGGCGTCGCGGGCGGCGACAAGATCGAGTAGCCTGACTCGGTGCACGCCTTGAGGTCGACGAGGCAGTGGATCGAGTGGACCTCGGGGTGCTGCAGCGTCAGCGTCGTGGGGTTGTCGACCATGACGCCGCGTGTGATGCAAAAGTTGTCCATGATGAAACCAGAGAGAGTGACGTTCTTGCCGTTGGCCGTGCACGCGGCTTGGGCCGATGGAAGTGTCGCCGAGAGAAAGACGAGAGCGGCCGTGAGCTGGGAGAGCATGTTGAGATGTTTGGGAAAAGGAAAAGTGAGCGTTTGCATAATATGCGCACTCTGGTATGTGTTTATCAGCCCCTGCCTTGACCATTAGGATTCTCTTTCGTGTACTGGTACCTGCATTGGGACAGTGTCGTCCTATAATGTCGCAGGGTTGCGGTTGCGTCACGTGGCGTTCCGAGGAACACCGATCTCGACGTGATTGCCATCATCTTTGCGTCCAAGTGCTTTCTTTGATGACTCATTGCGTGCGCTCCCTGTTTCGCCTTTACATAATCAGAAATTACTAAACTAACCATGAAATTATCGAAATCGAGGCGTATATTTGGCATGTGTTCCAGGACCCTCCAGGTGCGACGTCGTCCTATGTTACTACAGTGTAAACAGGAGACCATGCCGCCTCGATCGCATGCGCATACTTGTATAGTTTGCGCATATTATGCAAACGCTCACTTTTCCTTTTCCCAAACATCTCAACATGCTCTCCCAGCTCACGGCCGCTCTCGTCTTTCTCTCGGCGACACTTCCATCGGCCCAAGCCGCGTGCATGGCCAACGGCAAGAACGTCACTCTCTCTGGTTTCATCATGGACAACTTTTGCATCACACGCGGCGTCATGGTCGACAACCCCACGACGCTGACGCTGCAGCACCCCGAGGTCCACTCGATCCACTGCCTCGTCGACCTCAAGGCGTGCACCGAGTCAGGCTACTCGATCTTGTCGCCGCCCGCGACGCCAGGCGCCAACTACACGGTCAAGTACCAGCTCGGCACCGACGGCACGACGCTCGCCATCAAGTACGGCATGGCAGCGCGCAACTATGGCAAGACGGGCTTCAACGCGACGCTCACGGGTATCGACGACGGCACGCCCGAGCTCAAGTGCATCTCGATCGCCAGCGACGTCATGGTGGACGGCAAGCCGGTGACGTTGTCGGCGACGGACTTGGCGACGGTGTCGGGCATGCCCATGACCATGACACCGACAAAGACGAGCGGCACGGACGCCGTCCATGGCCATGCCGTGGCGCTGCTTGGCGCGGTATTTGGTCTCTGCTTGCTTCAGTAGGAACTATCGTGAGAGGTCATCACGCTTGCATACATTGTACATATCCAGGATACTAGTACAGTAATTTGTAAGGACGTTCATTTTACAACCCCATACAAGCAACGAGCGTGGACCTTGTGGGCTCATCGAGATGGCCGAGAAAGAGTGTCGTTGGTGAATGATTTTCTACATAAAACTCTGCACGGCCTTGGAGCGTGTACTGTACCGAGTGGTGTGGCAGCTGCAACGTATCTTCGTACCGACAACGCATCTTTGTTTACTGACAACTTGACCGAAATTCAAATGATCTGAATTCTTACAATCCGTTGCAATATATCGCAATGGTGCCATCGGTTTCTAATACTACTTACTTTACATTTGCGAGCCATGTCGTTGCTGCGTCTCTTTCAACCCCCGCTCGCCAGTGTCCCTCGGCCGGTCGCCACGGCCGCCACCGCCATCACAGTGTTCCCATCACTGGTTTTTCCCGAGACAACACACCTCACCGCGCAAGGCCAGCGCCGATTCTGGCCGCCGGGTGAAACGATGACGGGCGGCCGGTGGCCACGATCCAAGCCCAGGACCGCTTCGTCTCGACACTGGTCGATACCGACAAGAAGGCCGTCGCATTGATCCAGCGACCAAGAGTCTTCTCCAAGGACTACTGGGTCTATGCAATCGCAAAAGGCTCCCCGACACCATTGATGACGATCGAGTACCGCAAAAAGAACCACCTTCGCCAGTGTCAAGTGGTCGACGCGGCCACGGGCGCCACGCACCACCTCGTGCTACAGGAGCTACCAAAAGCGAATGGCTGGAGCATCCTTACCGACGGCCATGACGGCCCCGTTCTCGCTAGAATCCAAGAGCACCTTCCAACAAGCCTCTTGCGATCCAATAGCTCGTACGAGATGCAAGTGGCCAACGGCGTCGACGTCGGTCTTGTCACTCTCATGTGCATGGGAATGGACGAAGCGCGCATGCGAGCGGTCATGTCGGTACACTTGACGTGGGGGCTCGTTGCCTTTAGCTATGCGCTGCACCTATTCGATGCTTGACGATACCATAATGACATCCTCATGAACCTCAAGTCACATTTGTCGATTCGATTCGTGTGCTCGTGTAGCACCATAGAATGAGTGCCAACTGCGCGCACCTGGGGCGCCATGGAGGGAACCGAGCGCGCTGGGTTTTTTCTTGACCATAAAGTCATACCAATAACCTTTTATCAACTTTTCTAATGGCGACGAGCTCCACACTTTCGACGTCCCGTACGTACTGACGTGAAGACTTGAAAAACTGGAGTGGGTTGGAGCACCATCATTCCGGTACTAGAATGACGGTGGATTGTCACGAGACCCCCATTCACTCGCTTCCGATTGGTGCACGGTTGTGTGACGACTGGCCATTTTCAAATTGGCCCATCGAGATCATGTCGCTCATGCGTTTCTTCCAGTCCAAGCAAGCCTTTGACGCGCTCCAACTCGCAAAGTCGGTCCGATGCAGCGTCTTCAAGTCGTTTCCAACGACCGAGCCAATGCGCCTCGTGATGCAAGGCCAGCGCTGGTCGTGGCCGGGCCGCGACTACACCGTGACGGACTCAAATGGAATATTGGTCGCAGAGATTCAAGTCCAGCGATTCTCATTTCCCAACCAGCGAACGCTCCTCAACGCGGCGCGCCGCCCCGTCGCGCTCATGAAGCTCGACCCGTACTCGTTTTTTAACGAGCAAAAGGTCTACGAACACTCGGACGACGACGTGCCATTGCTTACGATCAAGTATCGCAAACATGCGTCGTTTCACCAACAAGAGTGCGAGGTGCGCAACCAAGGGACGGGCAAGACCCACCTCCTCGTGCTCCAACCCGCAAACGTTCTCACGCGCCGCAGCGTCCTCACCGACGGCGACGACGGGCCGATTCTCGCCAAGGTCCACCAGCCGTTCACGTGCCAGTTCGCGAACCGGTATGAAATGGACGTCGCGGCCGGTGTCGACGCAGGCGTCGTCACGTTGATGTGTGCGGCCATGGACGAAGAGACGCGCAAACGAGCGGATTGGATTTCTCGCGGCGTCCTTGGCGCCTCATTTCTGGGACTCACTCTCCTGACTATGGTGTAAAAAACTATTATCAATACAAATGACAAGATTTATATCGAAGGGTATGCACTAAATGATAAATATACCCTAGGTATACTCTAGGAAGAGAATCAAAACTACTCGCTAGTTGCGGCGGTGGCGCTCGTCTTCGTCCATTGCGATGCACACCAGCGTTACAAGTGCAATGTCGACGCCTGGCGCGACGTCCACAAAGTACCGCGCGCCACCAAGCTCGAGCGGTTGGCGCAGCTTGGCGATGACAACCCCGTTGTCGATCGAGATGATGGCGCGGCGCGACGTCCAGTCGCCCTTGCAGCGCAGCTCATGCACGCGACCTGTCGAGAGATTTCGCACGCTGCACTCGAGCTCGGGAAACCCCATCTTGAGACGCGTCTTGATGGCGAGGATCTCATGGTCGGTCGCCTCGCTCGAGAAGACGCGCTGCGTGAGCATGAACGAGAAGAGGTCTTCCTTGGTCACAGCGATTACGTTGCCGCGGTAGTCCCGCAGGATTTTGCGCTCGCGGAGCGAGAAGGCCTTGGCATCGATGCGAAAGTAGACGTCGCCAGTGTCAGCGTCGCGGATGAGAAAGTCCTGCCCCGACCACGTCCAGATCTGGCCCTTCATGTCCAGCGTCACGACGCGGGGGGCTGTGAATTTGCGGTCAATCGCGACAAAGTTGGACTGCGGAACGAGCTGCACCGCTCTGTACTCTGCAGACGACATGCTCGCGCCCATGTTGATCCCGACTGTTGTTTGCGAGAGGTGAAAGTGAAAATGAACCTCAAACGACGTGCCGTCGGCAGTGGACATGGTACTCATGGGACATGTGAGTCCAAGATTTTTTATTTCGATTACATTGTATCATACATTTCCAAGAGCATTGGACACGTTTTTTAAATCGCGTGTAGACACTAAAATCCACTGCGTTGGTCACTGCCACTGACTTCAGCTCGTGGATAGAATATCCGATGGAAACAATCCAATCTGCCCTTGACGAATTCAATGTGTCCCTCGCTCGCAAGCACCGATGGTCGCCGAGAAGCGCCGCTGCCGAGGCGTGGCCGGTTCAAGTCCGCTCTATGCACGTGGTAATAGGCCCGGCACTTGTGGCGGGTATTGATTGGTATTCTTGACAAAGGTAGTACAATGAAATCGCGAATGACACAACTCTTCAAGTTGCATCACTTACTTTGTGTTAGTACGGGGCTTAAACCCCGCACCTCCTGCATATGAAGCAGGAATCCATCAACTGGACAAAATATTTCAGACTACGTGCAGTCCATTGTGGCCTATGGACTCTGCGTTGATACCACTGGGCTTTCTCGTGTAAGCAATGCGCGACCGATGGATGCTTCGGGACTCTTATGTGCGCTCGGCTGTCGCAGCGTTGGGTCTCTCGCCCGTGACTGTCGATGTGGACGGCGATTCAAGCGACGTGGACAGCTGTATGATGGCCAACGACAGCGACAACCCGAACGAGGTCGACGTGTGCAACGATTCCGGTGACGACGGCGACGACAGTGTACGATGGGCCGCCACGGGTCCTGCCCATCAAGGCGACGATAGATGGGTGGGCCGGGCCTTGATTCCATTGCGCGTTGCCGCCGGTGCTGGACGACGGCTCTGGGAGCGCCTCTAGGAAGCGTTGACTGCGTACGTAGCCAAGCACAAGCATTTGGACGTCCCGCCCTGTATATCACCAACGACAAGGTACCGCTAAGCGCCCTCGTCGGCCACACTCGACGAGGCCACGTGCTGCTTCGTGACGAGCGACTCGTTGCGCTCGAAAAGCTCGATTTTTCTTCAATTGAAGTCTATATATCGAATACATCACTTGAAGCGCGTACGATTCCCGAGGTTTCTTGTCGACACGCTGCGACTTGATTGACACACCCGGCGATGGTTGGAACGGTCGCGAGCCCCTCTTAGATACGGCACCCATGTCGCTCGAACGCCGCACGCACCAGCGACACTGAGATGAGCACGAGTGCCGCATATTTGGCAGGGCAACGGGCGCCGCCTCGTCTCCGAGGGCCCGAAGCCCAACGCGTCGTCACCGACATCCAGCAATGTCCGTAAGGCGGCGGCCCTTCGTCTCGCATCAGACCCAGATGGCCGATCGCAACCGCTCGTGACGGTTGCAGACTTGCTGACGATGGTAAAACGTGCTGAGTCACCTCCGTGGCCTGCCAAGTTGCAACAAGAACGAGGCAGCGCTGAATTTTTGGTGCCGACTTGATACACTGATACGATACCGCGGGCAGGCGCGCGCACCTCAAGTTCGAAACAACGCAACCGGATTGGTCGACGCAAGATCCAGCATTAGTCGAACAGTCACTTTTGGCGACGATATGGCCGACGAGGTTGCTGCACCGTCGCCGCCATCGACGCCGCTGCCGATGGGCACGTTCACCATAGCGCTCGGCCAGCTCGTGCTGCCAGCACTCGCCGCGCCACCCGCCGAGAGTGACGCGCCGCCTCTGTCCTTTTGGTGCGAGGTGAGCGTGCGCATGGGCAAAGACCTCAACACGACGTGGTGGTACCCGTCCAGTGACGAGCACAAGCGCAAGGTCGCGACCAACGTGCTGCAGCTCTCGCCCGCATCGGACAATAGCGAGCCACCTTCGTTCGGCTTTGCGCAGGCGTCGCCTCCGTTCGTGCTCAGCGACGACGGCCTGATCCTGCAGCTCGCCAAGGCGAGCGTGCACCTGGAGCTCTACAGCGGCTACACGCGCGAGCGAGAGACCGATGTGCTTCTCGGCGCGGCCTCGTGGGCCTTCTTGCCGAGTCTGTTTCTTGGCGTCCCGTCGACGACGCGGCTCGCCTTCCCCGCTGCGTTCGTCGAGTGCACACTCGCCTTTGATATGGGCTTTGTCTCGCACTTTCAGCACATGAAGGTACTCGCCGTTGCGTCCGTGCAGGTGTATCGACTCCCGACCGAGTGGCGGCCGGTCCCCAAGGACGGCGACGACCCGGAAAAGCTCTGCGACGAAAATACCACCAAGTTCTCGTTGGCTCTGAAGCTGCCCGTTGTGCTCTCGTCGGCGGCGCCCGAGACGACATTTACGCTGGACGGCCGCCTCAGCTACGACGCGACGGCGACCGACCCGGACGCCGCCTGGCTCGTGCGCTTCCCGCTCGAGAGCCCCCTCATCCTGCCGCTCGACAAGGTATCTCGCGGCCTCATGCGATAGATCGATGCGAGTACTGTGGTTTAGGAAGGCACGGATGCGCTGGTGGACGCGATCGAGTCGGGGCGACTTGTCACAATGAGTCTCACACGGACACTGGGCACCGACGTATGGCAGGCGACTGCACAGCTCGCATTGGACGGTTTTCTGACGCCGGGTACTTTGAGCATCGCGCTCCGTGAGCCGCTGCGCAAAGGTCGTCTATATTTTATATGACAATCATGTCGTTACATTAGCACACTAGGCACTGCACCGGCGCGGGAAACCCTCGAAGAAGCGCTGACCAAAGCTGCCAACAACGAAGAGAAGAAGAAAGCCCAGGCGGCGCTCAACGATTACGAGAACCTCTTGACGCGCATCGCAGGTTCCCCCCACACGTACAAGTTGTTGCTTGCTAAATCCATTCCATCTACTAGGCCATGCGGCGATCTACGTCAGCGCCGGGTCGGCGGCATCGCTTGAGGCGACTATCTACCCGCAGGCCCTCGTACCGCTACCACCAGTGCCGCTTCCACCGACCAAGTCCATGGCCGAGTACATTCCTCCGCGACCGCCGCTGCCGGCATATCAATCCCACGAAGCAACCGCGACGATGCGCAAGGAAGTGCGCAAGATCTTGTCCATTCTCATGAAGGAGTACGACGGTCTCTTCGCCGTGCCCGACGACGTACGCTACCTGCATGCTTCGTTGGACCACTATCAAATGTCTCTAGTCGGACGAGTATACGCTCTCCAAGGAAGACCGGCGCCACAAACTGCTCTTCCATCTCAACGCCAACGGCATTTACTTTGAGTTTAAAGAGAAACTCAAAAAGGCCCTTGTGCTCGTCATCCGCGAGCGCTTTCCCGCGATCGTCGCGGCGTTCCCGTCCCACGGCGACCCATTGGGGGCCGCCGAGAACGGCGTGCGCCAAGCCAAGACGGCCTTTTACGCCGAGCTCTACGCGTACCTCATGGAGGAGGTCTCTTCTCTCTAAAAACACGCCGTTTTCAAGCCCTGCCATAGGTACACGTGGTCTTGAACCATGTTTCTGCAGCGCGCAGACGGAAGAAAGCACAATGAACCTCCTCGAAGCGACGACCAGCGTGGCGCCTGACGTCGTCCGCGGCCAGCTCCAGTCGCTCGCCCGCCTCGCGTGGGAAAACGAAGTCAACGGCCAGCCTGCCAAGGCCGTGACCTGCCACATGGACCGCATCGCGCTCTCGGACAAGCACGCGGCGGGTCTCGGCGGGTACCAAGCCGACGTGTGGATGGACCTGGCGCTCTTCCACCTTCGGACAGGCTCGTACGACAAAGGTGCGGTGTGTTGAAATCCCATGGTTCTCCCACCTACCCCTAGCCGCCAACTGCCTCCGGGACTGCATTGCCACCGACCAGCAGCATATCGGGGCAGTGCAGGCGTACGGCGCGCTCCTGTGCTCGTACCGCGACTTTGACGGTGCCGATATTGTGCTCAAGAACGGTCTCTTGCTGCTCGAAGACGACGGCCGCGCGCCGCCGGCGATCCGCGCCCGTAGCCACGCGCTGCTCGCAATCTACTATGCGACGTCGGGCATGGACGGCACGGGCAACCTGCGCCTCCACGAGCTCATGCAGGCACTCTCTGTGCAAAAGTCGTCGGCCTTTGCGACGCCGACCGCTGTCTGCATCGAGATCGCAGCGTACCTCTGTGAGCTGCGACTCGACGACCTCGCGCGCGTCGCACTGGAGCTCGGCGCTGCTCTGCGCAAGCCCAAGACGGTGTACACGAGCGTCATGTGGTCCACCGAGCGCTTTGTGCAGGCGACGATCCAGCTGCACAATGACGATCTTGACGTAGATGTCCATGGGTGTCTGCGATCGGATGGGTTGACATTTTCGATAGGGCGCGCGCGCCAGTTTGCAGGAGGCAGTCGCCAAGGACGCGGCGCTCGCCGATGCGTGGTACCTCCAGGGCGTTGTGTGCAGCCGGCAGCAGCAGCTCCGCGACGCGATCACGTGCTTTGAGTACGCTGCCGCGCACGTGCCGCAGCTCCGTCACGAATATCGTCTGCCGCTGTTTCTCCAGCTCGGGGCACTCTACATGCACCACCAGCAGTGGACGGACGCCAAGCGCATCTTCCTCACGTCAGTGGGCGAAGCCTCGAACGCCTCGTCCTGGCTCGGCGTCGGCGTGGTCTGCGTGCGCCAAGAAGACTGGGAAGGCGCCGAGATGGCGTTGGCCGAAGCCAACATCCTTGACAACACCAACGCCGATGTGTGGGGCTACCTCTCGCTCGTGTGCCTCCATGGCCCGGTCCCTCGCCCGCTCCAAGCCGAACAAGCCTTGCAGCAAGCTTTGCGCTACAACCTCGCCGTGTGTCTCTCTTTATACGTTTCGATCGAGATGAGGGTTGAGACCATCTGTGTAGAACCCGACGCTGCTGCGTGAAATCAGCAACGGATTTGTGGCACTCGACAAGCTTGAGATTGCCGAGAGCCTCTTGCGGCGGTCGCTGCGGGCGCAGGACTCGTCGCTGACGCGCAAGACGTTGGCAGACGTGCTCTCGGCGCAAAACTGCGCCGAAACCGCCCTCACCGAGTACCAGCAGGCGCTCGCGAGCTGCGAGAGCATGGAAGGACGCGCCGATCTTCTCTCGCGCTGCGTCGCCCTGTTGGAGACCCTTGGGCGCAAGGAGGAGGCGCATGAGTACAAGGCCATGGCGGCGCGCCAGCAGGAAGGTGCTGTCTCCGAAGGCGCGCTGCTGCAGTCGCCACCGCGGGATGAAAACAACCCTGCGGGTGGACCGGACGATGTCTAATGGCCGAGACGGGCGCCAATGTACAAGTTGTCTATAACGCCGAAGCTGGAAACGCACCACTTGGTTTGTTGTCCATCGTCTTCCTCGATTCCAGGAGGTCGCTCGAGCGAATGGAGACACAGGTGCCCTGACGCGGTCCACGGCGGACTTGCATCCAGCACCGGCTTGGCGATTCAGCAAACGCGCCACCGGACTGGTACTAAGACAGGCCAGAGCGTGTGTCGCAGCTCACGACGGACTGCACCGAGCGATGATCGGGCGTGCGGTCATGTGTCCGACCTGGCATGCGACATGCAGCGACCGATTCGAAGCGTGTTACAGACCGCTGCCTTCAACGATGATGGGGCCGGCAGCTGCGCATGTGCACGACGCACCATCGTGCATCGTCCGATCGTCTGCGCTGCAACAGACGAATTTGACCATTTTCTTCCGGCCGCGTGGCGATGAAACACCCATTGGTTGACATGTAGAGTATATAGTCTAAGGTTTAGAGAGGGTCGTCTCGCTGCTCGAAGGTCGGGCGTACTACTGTAGTAAATGGCTCGGTGGCCGAGCGTCGTCGCGGGCCGGAGGATGGGCCGCGTGTGCTACTGCGTCCAGTACGGAGTGGCAGTCAAGTGTCGTCGTCGTGTTGGGTGAGCGATACCTCACACGGACTGGCGCCGGCGCTCCAGCAGCGAAAGCGACGATGACCGCGAGAGGTCGTGGCACGCAAAGCTGGCCTCGGACGTCGTCGAGTAGCCCGAGAGCGACGTGTAGCCGCGCTTCTGATCGGGGCTCTCGCCCACAAAGGCCCGAAAGGCGGCGCTGGCCTGCATCAATTCGGAGGCGTTGATCACATCGAGGAAGCGCTGGAGGTTCATGGCGCGATGCAGCAGCGCCTCATCCTTGTTCCACACCATCCAGAGGCTCATGGCCGGCCCCGTCATCGGCAGCGACGGCGTCGCAAACCCGGCCTTGCTGAGCTCGGTGCGCAGCGCCTCAAATTGCTTGAAGCGCTTGCAGATCACATACTCCTTGTGGCGGCGGCCGCTCGGGACGAGCTCTTCGACGAGAATGTGGAATTGGATGTGGCCGTTCGAGGCGGGCCGCGTCTTGCTCGGGCTGTGCTTGGTGATGCGCAAGTGGCGGTCGGTGGTCATGTTGCTCGAAGCGTGCAAATTGCAAAGTGATCTTAGCGCGACATGCGAATTTTTCCAGGCGCGGCTTTTTGGCCAATCACATGGTGTGCTTCCGGCACCATCTGGACCTTCATTTGCAACAGAGCCCCATGTGGGGTGAGTTGGAGTAGCCACGCGCTCGACCCAACGAGCGGCCACGAGGCTCGTTGTCAAGCCGTGAGGGCATCTCGCCCGGCAATTCGATCTCGCCGTCGCGAGTACTGTGGTGGGCAGAGATCAAGTCGATTCAAGTGGGAGAGACGACTAGAGAGAGTAGAGAGCTAGGACTAGGAAACAAGGTCTTTCGCGAGTTGAAATTTACAAGCTACTTTTGCAACCTTGCAGCAGTGCTCATGCAGCGGTGCGTCCGACTGCGCGGGCCATTTTTGCACGTAGCTACTACCAACTCGTGGTGCTGGGAGGAACGCGGTATCGAGCGATGGTCGATCGCAACCAGGGTAAATTTGACGGCCCCTGCGACGAGTACACAAAGGTTGCTGTCATCGCCCAAGCACACGCGCAGCCGTCTTCAACGACGCTCCTAACCACGTGGCAGCCTTCACAAGCTCGTGCTTGGACCACGTGGCCGCCCCGCGTCGCGTTCACAAGCTCGTGTTTTGACCAGGTGGCCGCCGTATTCGAGAAGCTGCGCCTTGGCCAAAAGAGCTTTCTGCGGCGGCAAAGGTCCCGCGGCGGGTCTGTCCCAGAGCCTGTGGCGTCTGTCGGTACGATGGCGGAGATTGATGCACTACAGAGCAGGCGACGCGCTGTCGTCAGCCATTCCTCGACGTCTCTTGTAGCTCCATTTTGGTCCGTGCTAGCCAGATGCGGCGCCAACGTTGGCGACTTGGTTGCGAGAAAACGCTTCTGGATCGTCTTAATGGATAGGGATGGATAGCAAAATATATACACACGTTTTTTCGAAATCGCGGTGGCTCAATCTCCTCCGCACGCTCTCTTGTCTTTGATCCGCTGCAGCTTCTACACTGCGAACGGCTTTTCTATAGCAGCGCACGCCAGATCCAACCGCACGACCCGATCAGCGACACCACGTATCGCGAACACAGACACGGACTGGCAACCACCACGCCGATGGCCCGTCATGCATGAGCGGCGTCGAAAGAGGGCGGGTGATGGTCCAAGCCATCTTGCATGCTGATCCTTCGACATAAAGGCAATGAGTCGTCTTGTAGGTCACTCTACAGGTTTGTATTGCCCTCGGCACCTCAAGATTCTGGCGGCAACTTCAACCTGATAAAATACTGCATTTTGCGTGTTCGAGAACAAGCCGACAGAGCTCATTGAAAGACGGCGGTGGGCTGCCACGTGGTTGTGTTGCGTAGCTGAACGCTTGTCTAGCCCGCCACGCGTCGCTACCGCGGTTCCGTCGTGCCATTTGATGCATTTGATAACCATAAGAAGAAGACGAAGACGACGAGCTATGGAGAGCCACTCTTGGTCGCACCCGCCTTGCGTTCGCGCCGCCATCAGTTTCCCAAGCAGAGCTGCTGTTCGTATATTCGTGCTGGTTCAAGCAATGAAGCGCTTCTCCATTTGCATTGCAAGGCCCTTTTAATGCCGTCGCCGGCAAGGACAGATGTACCAGGACCATCTGCGCCGCCTTCATGAGACTCCAAGACCTCCACGAGACATGGCCTGACGTCATTGACAGAGGCAGTCTGGATCCGCATCACGGTAACCTGTTATATTTTGTATAAAGTTAGACGGTATATGGCAGACCAATCAGCGCGCGATTGCACTTTCTTGCACAGCGATGGCAACACGGCTGCGGCAGCTCATGATCTTGAGCCGCGACGTCGCGCGGAGTTCGCGCTTCTACGAAGAAGGCCTCGGGCTTCAGATCCTCCGCCAATCCGACACCTTTGCTGAGTTCAACGTCAACGCCGGCGTGACGCTCAGCATCAAGCAAGCCCATGGGTACGTTCACATTGCCTTCTTTCCCAGCCAATGCAAGTGTCTGTAGAGAGGCCGCATGCAGCGCCGGGTACTCGCCGTTCCTCAACTTTGATGTGTACGACATGGACGAAACGATTCCGCGTCTGCTCATGCTCGGCGCCGCCATGGACGGCCCGATCAAGTACCCGGCGTTCGGTACCGTGCCTTCAAACTTCTCATAGGCCAACGCTGTTGTAGGCAAGGTCGCCGCCGTGCGGTCACCCGATGGCACGATGATCGGCCTCTACGAATCGAATACAATGGACTCGGCCACGTCTGTGTAAGGCCCAAGCGTTGATAACTCCGTCCGTTGCGTTACTAGTTTAGTAGTACACGTATAAAGCACCGATGGAACCGGGCATCGACCTCTATAAGAGTTAAAGTAGTACAGAAGAGACCGACGTTATATCGTGTCGAGCTCGGGGGGCGGCAACGCGGTGGGCGGCCCCGACGCGATATGCGTCAGGTACGCAATCAGGTTACTCAAGCCCAGCAAGAGCCCCTCGTCCGGCGAGCCAATACACGGGTCTTGGTGGCAATGCGCAAAGTCGATGAGCCGGACGTCAGTGGCGCGGGTCGGCCGGCCCTTAGTCTCGCCCTCATACACCAAGAGAAGTGACGCACCCCAGAACCGAATGCCGTCCGTGGCCGCAATCTAACATATCGGACGATGTAACTCTGGACGCGATGGCGACTCCTACCACGTCCTTGAGCGCGTGGAGTCGCTGCAAGAGCCCAGCGACCGCGTCTTGCCGCACCACTTCACCGTTGGAGACAAACTAAATACCCCATCATACTAAAAGAACCTACGATTCTCCAAATGCACGTACAAAGAGAAGAGCGGGCTCGATGTCGCTCGCGTGCAGTCGTCGACCCCAATGCTTGTCCCGAAGGACGTAGCGGCTGTCGCACTGCCGGTAAATCTAGTGACGGCCCTTCGATACCACGTCGACATGTCCAGAACGTACCTGCATGCCGCAGAGCCGCAGTCCGAGCTCCGCCGACGTCGTCGCCGCACACTTGAGCGTGTGGCTGCGCGCCTTCTCTTCGGAGGCGTCCTCCCCTAAAACATCACGGTACACACCAGGCACATGTCGTTTCTTCAAGATACCGTGCTGGCGGGTGCCCATCTTGATATCCAAGACGCACGGCCTCGTGTAGCCCGACGTGAGGTCCCCGAGAACGAGGTACTCGCACAGAAAGGACGGCGCGACGTCGTCGTCTTCGACCGTCTTGCCGACTTCTTTGTTCCAGAGGCTGTAGCTCACGCTCGTGTCGACCGACTTGCTCGATTTGCGACCGGTCCCGGGCTTGCTGGCCTTGTCGCTGTGGGGCTGTAAATCCACGGTGATCGTGCCCAAATAGGCTGGCACGAACGGCTCCAGCTGCGGGAAGCGGCCGCTTAACGCGCGGTAGAACGCGAGCTCGAGCGGGATGGCTGGTTTGCACACCTCGCCCGGTGCACTGCGCAGGAATGGCTTGTGGCCGCCGACCTAGTGCGTTCCATGAGGTCGTCCTCGTCGCATCGATGAACCTGGTGGTTGAAGAGGTAGAACGCCGTGCCCACCGACGAGCGCGCGACGATCGGCTCGATCGCGTCGAGGCTGTCGCCAGAGAGAGACCGGGACGCTTGCGAGAGGCGCGACCTGCCACGCATGAGTTTTGCCAAAGACGAGGCGTCGTACGCTGGCTCGTCACTGGACATGACTGCAAGTGACTACTGTTACTACAATCGAGCCCGAAAACGCCAAAAATAACAAAAAGCATGGCGTTCCCTTCGAGTTGGCGCCCCATCGTCGTCATCGCCACCAATATCGTCCGACGTCTGATTGCCGATGCACACGGCACGGCAGCAAGCACGACGCCTTTCTGCGGAATCCCCATAACACACATGTCAAGATGTCAAGACGACGATGCCCTTTGCTGCAATCTGCTTTTGCTCGTGTGAGAAAGCTACACGCAGCGTTTCCCAAGGCGCGCCTCCTCAAGATCCAAGATGCCCGCGGGCAGCTACGCCGAGTTTAAGCGCCACCAGCTCCTGTATGGCTCCGACCCTCAAATTTTAAGGGTGTCGGTGATCATTTCGCTACCGGCCAGTCTCTGTCGAGAGCATGCGGAGGCCGTCGCGCTCGAAAAGATGCTCGCCGCCGAGCGGGTCGAGGCCAAAGCGGCAGCCCACGCGCGCCTCCAGCAAGCGGCGATCGCTGTGGAAGCGCGACTGCTTCGGCGCCGTACTGCCCTTGCCGTCCTCCAGCGGTGGTGGCGGCAATGGCTGCATCTTCGGCACGCGCGTCAGCGTTGCATGGCCGGCCGCATCGCTCGCTGGTACCGGCGAGAAGCCCGCCGCCGCCGTGCAGCGCTGCATGAGGTACCACTTTGGTGCCACGAGGTAGCCTGACATGGACGTAGCTGTGCCTGCGCTTGGAGGCCATGCAAGGCAGCTACATCGCGCCAGGAAGCGTCCATCGCGACGTCGTGGCGCGGCCGCCGGTGGCCGAGCGCAGCTTGACGCTGCAGGTGCTCGCACTGCGCCACCTTGTGTCGCCTATCCCGCCCTTGGCCTGTCTGCACAGCACCATGCACATCGAAATGCAGCTTTTGCACAAGGGCACACAGGAGCGTGTTAACTACAGGTAGAAAGAGAGTGCTGTACACACTACTATGTGTAAAGTGGGCGCTAGTATGGACCCCGTCGTGTACTCCGAGTCGATCGTCGAGTGGAGTCGGGAGAACGCCGTCGTCGTCCTTGCCGACGACATCAACGACTGGATCGGGTCGGTCAAGCTGCTGCACACCACTGTCGATGGCCAGTCGCGCTGCATTGGCCAGGTCCAAGTCCCTGTCGACTTGCTCGTACGTTCTCCACGTCATTTGTTGTCCTCGTGACGTAGAAAGTTAGCACAGCCCGCTCGCGACATCGTCGCACTGCCTCCGGCGCTGGTTTCCACTGGAAAAAATGGCGCCAAAAGACCTCGTGCGTGGCGAGGTGCGCATCGAGCTGGCGTACGCGGCGCCGGCATCGAGCCCTGAGCCATTGGTACCTTCTGATGCGACCCTGCACGGATACCACGATCGTTCTAGTCCCCGGTGGTCCACCAGAAGCCGCCGAAATCCAAGTCACCGACGCGAAAAGTGAGGCGACCTCCACCACCGTCACCTCGACTGCGCAGTCCGCTTAAAGGAGCGCGGGTTGTCGACGCGCCCGCGCCACCGGACGTGGAAGGCACGAGCCTGCCACCCCCTGCGCCTCGTCCCAAGCAGCCGTACCTCAAGCGCAAGCCGTACAAGGTTGAACCATCTTGGAGAAGTAGATGGGAACTTACGTGTCGTTCTTGGTCTTGCTAGGTCCAGTTTGAGCAGCTCGACTGGTCCAGCGTCGGGGCCAAAACCAACAGCAACTTGGCCAAGCCCAAGCGCACCAAACACGTGCTCAGCGACAAGTCTTGTACTAACGCCGCGCCGGAGCTGAACCTAGAGCTCCAGAGTCTGGCGACGACGTCGGCCGCGAACCAGGCTAACATGAAGCTGGAGCTCATGCAGCTCAAGCAAAAGACCGAACTGCAGACGATTTTTCATCTACTGCCATCCAAGAAAACCACCGGGCGGATCCCAACGCTGTCCAAGAGCCAGATCCAGCAGGTGCAGGGCCTTCCGAGCGCTCAGTATGCAGCGCTCGTCGCGACGCTCGACCGCGACTACAGGCAACTCAAGCCGCAATTGCAGGACAACATGGCCAAGCTCGCGCAGTAGTCTAAACAACAACAACAGCGTTATCGATGATGGTTCCTTTGTCAATCCAGCAACTCGAACGCCAGACTGCTCGCAAACTCCATCTTGGTCGCGCCAGTCCACTCGGTCTTGACAGCCTTGGCGATCTCCGACTCTGGCATCGCTTGGGGCTCGAGCACGACCGTCGCTGCCTCCTTCTGCAGCATCTCGCCGAGGTCGACAAACGTCGTCTCGGGCTCGTTGGGGTACATTTCTCGCCACGTCTTGCCGGCCGCCTTGGCTGCTGCAACCTTGGCGTCGTTCTCAGCCTTGCGTGCTTTGCGCTCGTCCTCGGACTTTTTCGCCTTCTCGGCCCGATCGGCCTTGCGCTGGTCTAAAATGTGCATCGACAACATGTCCTTGCGGTGGAATCGGTCTTCCGGTAGCTCGTCTTCTTCCTACAGTCGTCGGTGAAACATCCGTCGGTTAGTACATGGCGTACTTGGATCGGACTCTCGACAGCCATTGGCGGCGCTGCTGGTTGAAGTTGAAACTTATCCGTGAGCGACGGTTCCTTCTAAAAACGTGGTGTGACGAGACGCCAAGAAGCCATATATCGTACGCTGGACACCTTGGTGTTGTCACTGCCATCATCAAGTGCCTGCGAAAGCATCCACGGCGCGGATCCCGCATCTACGAGGGTCGAAGCTTGAGGTATTGTCGTCAAGGCATGGTGCGACGTGCCTGGAGCGAGCTGCTGGTCGTGAAACGTCGCGTCCACAGCCATGGTAATCGTGAGCGCTTGGTTGGCTGCAGCATAGTCTGCCGCAACCCCACTCGCATCGATCGGGTACGGCAAGTACGTGGCTATGATCTAGCATCATTTCTCGTCCAGCAGCAATCCTTCGTACCATGGTCGACGTAGCCAGGCACCTGCACCACGAGGTACTCGGCGCGGGCGTGGATTTGAATCGCGTCCGGGTTGGTCACCTACGCATCGCCTTCAACCGCGCCCGTAGGTGCGTCGCGTACGGTCGATGGGAACTCGAAGCGCATTTGGAGGTGGCGCGGTGCGCTGGCCAGGTGCGCCCTGGACAAAGCTGGACCCCCCTCGCACGCCGGCACTTGCGCGCAGATACGCCATTCGTTCGATGCCACAGACTCCATCAAGGTGCCCGCGAGCGGCTGGAGCACAATTGGCGCGGCAGGTGGCGCGGGTTGGACGGATCGATCGACCTCTTCGATCGTCGGAGCCTGGGCTTTGCGGATGTAGTGCTTGGCGGGTGGCAGCTCGCCCCGGTACGAGAGCTTTGGTAGCTTGTACTGCGGGTCGACTTGGAACTTGTACTTTTCTTCAATGTACTGAATCGCAAGTTCGCACAGAAAGTTGCGAAACGTGCCCGTGCTGTCCGCGTCCGCGTCGAGCACAACCTAGGCGTGTACTCAGACGTGCGAATTCTTCGTGTGTGCATCTACCTGCGGGTTCACGGCCACGTCAATGGCCAAGCATGTCTTCTTGGCATGGTCCAAGACCTCGTGCGGAGGCCCGAGGCTCAATGGCACGTGGATCCCTTCTTGCTCCTCGCCCTTCTCGTCGAGCTTCTTTTGCTTGGACCAGATCTTGATGTGTTCGCATGTGCAAAAGTTGACAAAGAGCTAGGGGGTTGCCATGAGACCGCCATGCCAGATATAGCGCCATGTACCTTGGTCTTGGACGCTAGCTCCTTGGTCTTCATGACAAAGCCGGGCTCGACGTCGACGTACATCCCTTCCTTCTGCTCGGCGAGGCCTTGCGACTGCATGACCTTGTTGCCAGGAAACCGAAGATCGTCGGTAGCTCCATTGGACGCTGGCGCCGTGGCCATGGCTGCCTGTAGGGCTTCCATCGAGAGGCCGTCGCCGCCTGCCGTGACCTTGGATTGCATCTCCTGCATGAAGGCCTTGTACGCCTTCGGGTCGGATCGCTCCATCTCGTCGAGGTACTAGGTAGACATCATGAGTATGCATCTTCCTCCATCATATTCGTCGGCGGCGGCGAGGTAGACACATACGTTCGCATACTGCTCCATGAGCGCCGGATCCATGGCGCGGCGCTTCCGACCAAATTCGAAATCCGACGCGTATGCATTTCTACAGCTTCCAAACCTCTGACAACTTATAATATGGTCAATGTGGCATTTTGCTGTTAAAAGTGGCACGGGAAAGTAACCGATTGCGACCCATGTGGGGACACTTACTTGCCTGTCATGGACGAGCTGCGGAGGCTGCCTCGGTACCTCGTACTCCATGCATCGTTGGCATCAGAGGCGACACGATGACGCTTCTATTAAGACGAATATTGCATATACACGTAGAACGCCTCTTCCATGCAGCATGGCGAAGATACCGACCTCAAGATCGTCCGCTACCCAGCGCATTAGTCAGAGACCTCTGACGAAATCCAGAGCTCGCTCATCATAGCAGCCATGATGACGCAAGGCAAGCCGTCCACGCCACGGCTCTCGAACGACACAACCGACGTGTAGCGACTCTAAAGACACGCAGGCTACGATGGCAACTTCAAGCTGGTCGAGCCATGGACGCGCAAGCGCCTTAGATCAGTCTTTTATCTGGTCGCGCAGGTCAGGTCTTGCTTTCTTGGCTGGCATCGCACAGGCGCTGCGAGAGTTTAGCCATGAGAGTCGCCTTGAAGTCGCCATGAAGGGGCACAGAGCGTTGACGTCAGATGGGAAGTGATGCTGGTGTCATCTCTGTGACAAAAGTCGGTTATTCAAAACGGAGAGCGGCATCGACTTGAAGTTTGGTGCCGGGAGTCCGTTGTTTTATCATCTAACCGACTTTTGTGTCGTTTATGAGAGCCCGTCATTGTAATCCGGTAGGCATCCGGACTCGACCTCCCATCCTCAAATCAGTATTCGGCCTCATCCAATCAGCCGCCCGTCGCCGTCCCCATGCTGCACCGTGTCCACGCCCCGCTCCTGCGCCTTGCGCGCTCGTCCCGCGCCCTTCACAGCTCTGCCATGCGCCTGATGCCCGAGCACATCGTCAAGGTGCCCTCCATGGGCGACTCCATCTCGGAGGGTACCGTCGTCGACCTCAAGAAGCAGATTGGCCAGCACGTCGAGGTCGATGAAGTCGTCATGGTGCTCGAGACGGACAAGGTCTCGGTCGACGTCATGAGCCCGGTTGCTGGCACGCTCGTCAAGCAGTTCGTCGAGCTCGACCAGGACGTCGAGGTTGGCCGTGACCTCTTTGTCATTGACGGTGACGTCAAGGCCACGGTTGCCGCGTCGGCGCCGACACCGGCTGCTGCACCTGCTGCCGCGCCGGCTCCTGTCGTGGCGCCCGCCGCTGCCCCCGCCGCTGCCCGCCACCATGAGGGTGCCCGTGTCCCGCGCATCAAGTTTTTGGGCAAGCGGTCATTGCTCGCCCACCCGGCGCCTACGTCCGCTGCGCCGTCGACGCTTGTCGTCGCGCCGTCGTCGAGCGCGGATGTCCTGCCGTTTGGCAGCTTGCCCTCGCGGTTTGCTCGCAAGCCCATTTCCAAGAAGGAGATCCACGCGATCAACACCGCGGCGTCCTTCCTGTAAATCCCTCGCCGTGTCGTCGCCGTGGCTGCCGTCACCCCAGAAGCAGTGGCTAAGGATGTCGCCACGCGCGTGTTGAATAGAATGCACTCGTGTCTCTTTGCGCGTTTGGGCAGCGCCGGCGGCGACCACCGATCGCTGCATATTGCAGGTACCCATGGGACAAGCGGCGAGTAAAAACCACGTACTGCTGTATCTTACCGGCGAAAGCAGCACCGAGGGGCACGCCTCGTTGACCGTGAGCAAAAGTGCCACCTGCCAACGCCACTGGTATAATAGCACTTGCCTCGCCTGGGTACGCGCCAACCGCCAAGCTACAGTGTGCGGCTGCGGCGTTCAAGAGCAGGGACCGCCACAATGCATACACGACGCGCAAGACGCCGAGCCTCAAGCGGCCCGAATATGATCCTACAACTGCATAGTCGAACGCCGCACGAACCAAGCGCTATGGACCTTGTCGACGTGCCCACTAATCGGCGTTGTAGCGAACGGTGCATTGCAAAGCAGATTGCATTGCCTTCTAGAGCAGCTAATGGAGAGATGTTTTCCATCCGATCCCTCTGCCATGCCAATTCGCTTCCTGAATTCTGCCATGATTGGCGCGTTCATTGGGTTCACGAGCTGTCGACGCGCCATCAAACAATGATTTGGGGGGTTTGGTTGTCGAAATATAGTGTGGAAAACAACACTTTGTTCAATCGACCATGTCGCGTGTCTTTTGCGTGGCAAGAAACACGCACAACACCCTGTACAACATGACACTTGCCCAATCGTTGACGTCGACATCGAAGCTTTCTTCTTTGGACTTGACGGTCGCAACCCAACACATCTGGCGCCACCGCCCGACCCCCTTGAAACCTCGCTCACCACGCTCTCGTGCGTGGTCCCTCCTGCATCTATACGCTTCAGTCCTCGAGCGGCGACGGCGGTCGTAGATCCCTCTCGCTTTGGTTGAACCAAACTCCAAATTCTGCAATTCTACCAAACTGGAAAAAGCAACGTGGCGTGTCGCATCCACCTTGCACTTTCTCGCATCTCGAACGGGCTTCTTTGCGGTTCAGTGACACGCGCATTGCACGTTCGCGCTGTCGCAGCAGCTGTCTCCACGAGTTCCAACGTTGTGATTGGCTCGCCTGCCTTTCTCGTGTCACGCGAACGATAGTCCCAGTTTGGAGCACGTTCCGAACTCGAAAAACTTCCTCGGAAGCAAGACGACGACGACGATGCTCGCCCGGTCACCGCCCGCCCGCCACGGCGTCGACGCGATCCTCAACCCGTACGACGAGCACGACCTGAGCCACGACGACGACGACAGCCACCATGCGACCGCTACCTCGGAGAAGCCCAAGTTTTACATGGAGAAGCTGCACTGTCTCCTCGACGACTGCCCGGCGGACATTGCGCTCTGGAACGCCGACGGCACGGCCTTTACGGTGCTGGACGCGCCGGCCTTTGAGCGCCGCGTCCTCCCGCTCTACTTTAAACGCATCAAGTTTGACAGCTTTGCGCGGCAGCTCAACTCGTACGGCTTCAAGCGCGGGAAGAAGCGCCACGGCCACATTTACGAGTTCCAGCACCCGCAGTTTCGCCGTGGCGAGCGCGACCAGCTGCCGACGATGAAGTCGCGCATGGGTGCGCCCGACACGCAGGAGACACTCCAGACGCGGATAGACCAGCTCACGGACGTGACCGAGACCCTCAAAGCCGAAGTGGATGCGATGAAGGAGATGCTGCACATGCTGCTGCAGAAGAAGCTACTCAAGGCCAAGCAGCGACAGCGCGCGGCTTCGCGCGACGACTAGTAGTCGTGTCTATATATCTATATCAGTGTAAGCGTGTCGTCCCGCCAGTGTGATACTCTGTTTTGCTGGCTCCGAGCTGGAGAGGCTCGCGATGACGATGGCTTGGGCACGCATACATCGACGTTAGTTAACCCAAGCATTTGAACCAAGTTGTTCGATTGACATCCAGAGGCGTTGGTTCTATCGTCGAGTCAACGACAATCGACCGACACGCAACACGAATAGGAGTCTATCAGTGCAACGGGTCCTGCACGCGCACCGCCGCAGGCCCTAGTACCTCGAACGATGGCATTGTCATCAGGACAACTACCAGGACCATCGCAATAAGTTCTCAGTGGAAACTTATCGAGCCTCGTTCGACTGGGACAGCGCGCTGGTAGTGCTTACGGAGCTTGTTTTTTAAATCCAATCGACGCGGTCGTCGTGGATGCTGATGGATCTATGGGGTCGGATCTGGCATAGTTCAGATACCAGAAATTCTGGTACGTCGAGTCTAGTCGCGCGTCTAGTCCCTCGCGACACCGCGTCGCCAAAAATCGAGCCAAATTCCACTTGCATTGCAATCCTGGTGCGCCATATTTTAAATACGTTTTCCATTGTCCGTTTGACGTGGATTTGTATGTAATGGTCTGTGGATCGGAATTAAAAATACAATATTAATGCGCATCGCGACGCGACCAATCACCAGCAGCGATTGAAAGTGCAACATCATCAGCATGGCGGCCATCCGCACCAGCGGCGGGCTCCATGTCTCGGCCATGGACCTGCGCGAGTACGCCCATGCGACGCTCGCCAACGGCCTCGACGTCGTTCTCATCTCGGACCCGGCGACGGAGCAGGCGGCGGCGGCCATGACGGTCGGCGTCGGCTTCCTCTCGGACCCGGACGACCTCCCGGGCCTCGCCCACTTTTGCGAGCACATGCTCTTCCTCGGCACCGCCACGTACCCCGACGAGAACGCGTTCCAGAACTTCATCAGCGCGCACTTTGGCGCGACCAACGCCTACACGACGTCGACGCGCACCACGTTCTACTTTGATATTGCCCCCGCGCAGTTGACGCAGGCGCTCGACTACTTTGGCGCCTTCTTCACGTGCCCGCTCTTCACCGAGTCGGCGACGAGCCGCGAAATGCAAGCCGTGCACGCAGAGCACTGCGCGAACCTGCAAAGCGACGCGTGGCGCCACCAGCAAGTGCTCCGCGCGATCGGGAATGCCAAGCACGCCTACACCAAGTTTGGCACGGGTTCGTTCGAGACGCTCAACCAGCCACACGTCCGCGACGCGCTATTGACATACTACAGCAACAACTACACGGCCGGGCGCATGAAGCTCGTCGTTCTTGGGAAAGAAGGTAATAAGCTCCTTGGACATGGGCGAAACTTACTCTGCGACCAGATATACCGACGCTGCGAGCCATGGTCACGGCGCGCTTTAGCGACATTCCAGCGTCCGAAGCGTGTGCTTGCCATCCCGGTCGCCGCAATTTGGCCGAGACCGCGCCGAGTCCGTGCCCCATCCTCTTCAACGTCGACGGGGAGCAGCCGTACGCGCCGTCGCAGCTTCGCCGCCACGTCAAGATCGTTCCCGTGATGGACCAGCACCTCGTGCACCTCCTGTTTCCTGTCCCGCCGCTCTCGCCCGACGTCTACGGCGTGGACGCGCACGAGCTTTTGGGCGAACTCCTCGGTACACCGCCAAGGTTCTGGAGCGAGTTGACGAATGCATATCGATGTAGGACACGAAGGCGACGGGTCGTTGCTGGCCTACTTCAAGGCGCAGCACTGGGCCAACACGCTCTCCGCGGGTGTCTTCAACGACGAGGTCGAATGGACGTTCTTTACCATATCGATCGACTGCACGGACGAGGGCCTCGCGCACCTCGACGACATGGTATGTACGTCACTACAAAAAGGTCCTATCGGCTGGACTTTGGCTAGATTGCGCGCACGTTTGAAATGATTGCACTCGTGCGCACGGATCCGCCGGCAGCGTTGCGCTGGCGCGTGCGTGAGTACCTCGCACTCCTTCTGCTCGACGTCCAGTTTCACGAGAAGGAAGACCCGTCGAGCTACTGCGCCCACCTCTCTTCGCGGCTGCACTTGTTCCCGCCCCGTTTTTGCGTCACGGGGGACCTCGTCGAGACGGAGCTCAATTTATCCGACTACCACGCGACGCTGTCGGCGCTTGTGCCGTCCAACCTCCTCCTCGTGTCGGTCAGCGCGGCGTATGCGTCCAGCGCGACGACCACCGAGCCTTGGTAGGTTGATATATTGATAGAAAAGGCCATATCTTGTTGATGATGTAGGTATGGCACCAAGTACAGCGTCGAGGACCTCGATCCTGCGCAGCTACACGCGTGGGCCCTTGCGTCGCCGCACCCTGACATGGCACTCTACCGCCCCAACGCGTTCATTCCGACCGACCTCTCCATGATGGACGTGGTAGTGCAATCGACCTCTTTTGCGATGGGTTCTCATCATCCCGTGGTGTGGCTAGGCGACCGAGTTGTTGACGCCGACGCTGCTGCGCAACGACGCGCACTGCCGGTGCTGGCACGTCGTCGACGCGACGTACAAACAACCGAAAGTCTACCTCTCTCTCCGGTTCACGTCGGGTGCGCTGAGCATGAACCCGCACTCGTCCATCTTCACCGTACCTTGATTTGCGTGCCTCGTTTCCGACTCGAGTCTTTGCGCTAGGACTTGTACGTGGAGTGCATGCACGAAGCACTCAATGCTGTCGGCTACGACGCGTCGCGCGCCGGCCTCAGCTACCACTTGCACGAAGGTACTACATGAGCGAATTTGGCCAGCACATGTTGACGCGGCACAGGGGTCACCTCGCTGACGCTGACCGTCGACGGGTTTCGCGAGACAGCGCCCAAGCTGACGGCCCACATTCTCGAGACGATGACGTCGTGCGCTGTTTCGGAAGCGCTGTTCCTCCGCGTGCACGAGTCCCTGCGCCGCAAGTACGACAACCTCGAGAGTGCGATGGACCCGCAGGCCCACGCCGAGTGGGCGTCAAAAGAGCTTCTCTACGCCTACTTTGCCAGCGTCCCGGACCTCGCCACAGCTATGGCCGCATGGACATACACAGATTTTCAGTCGATGGCGCGCCAGCTCTTCCGGCAGTGCCACATCACGGCGCTGCTGCATGGCAACCTCTCGGCGGTAAGAGACGACGTGTGCGACATGTCGGTAGATCGCACGATGACTAGGCGGCCGCCACCGCGTGGCTCGACGACATTCAGGCGCACGTCCAAGCGACGCCGTCGGCAGCCCTGCCGCCCGACTTTCTGAGCTACTCGCGCATCGTGGCCCTCCCACCGGCGTCCACGTCCATCTACAAGGTGGCTGGATCCGTCGATAGGGCCGTGCTGATGCCACTTTTCCTGTAGGTGGCGGCGCGGAATGGCGACAATACCAACTCGGTCGTGCGCGCGTTGTATCAGATCGCGCCGCTCACGACGGCGCTGGCACCGAACGCCTACTGGCGCTGCGCTCTTCGCACAGCTCACGATGGATCTCTGCTTTGCAACGCTGCGCACTGACGAGCAGCTGGGCTACACGGGTATTTTGATTTTTTCCCATTTTTCGGATTGTCGCAACTGAGTGGTGGTGGCCTAGTCTACAGCGGCCTCGCGACCATGGGCAACGTCTTGTACTACTCGGTCGTCATCGAGTCGTCGACGTATAGCCCTGCATACGTCCAAGGCCGTATCGACGCCTTCCACGCGCGCTGCCGCCAGTTCCTTCTCGACCTCCCGCTCGCCACGTTCCAAGTTGGAAACGAGTCGTATCTTTCCAACGACTCATGGGATGTCGCTGTAGAAACACATTCAAACGCTGGTCCAGTCGTGGCTCCAGGGCCCGACGACGCTCGTGCAGGAGACGTCGCGGGTCTGGACCAACATTTTGCTGCATCTGCCGCCGCGGATCACGAATGCCAACGACGCGATGCTGCTCCAGACGCTGCACGTCGCCGACGTCGTCGCCTTCTACGATGCGTTCGTTGCGCCGGGCGCGGCCGCCATGGTCGCGGTGCACGTCCACGGCCGGGCGTTTGTCGATGCCATTGGCGAAAACGACGACAACACGATCCAATCGGTCGCAGCCTTCAAGGCGTCGAAACCACTCTTTCCTCGCCCGCGTATCAACCCCGAGGGGCAAATGCATTTCGACAAGACCGCTGTCAAGTGCTGGGCGGCCTAAGAGCTTATGCATCGTACTACGATCTGATTTGCGCTTGCCTCGTGGGATACATGTCGTGGCCAATCGAGCGCGGTTGATACGACGTCGAGACCTCGCAGGGTTCCTTATGTTTTCAACGCCGCCGCGTATGGCGTGCCGCTGAGAATGACGACGTGCTTGCCGTCGATCTTGGTGTCGGCGTCGGTGATGTGCAAGTGTGTGAGGACGACCCACGACGACTGGATCGCTGCGGGGATCTCGAGGATCTTGGTTGCGGCAAAGTTCACGCGCATCCCTTTACGGTTGCGGTTGATACATTGATACAAATGCGACGAGGACGCACCGAGGCTGGCGTCGCGGTGCACAAACGCCTCTTCGGGCCATGCCGTGAGGGCATTCCCGTTGGCGTAGAGCGCTTGGAGTTGCGTGAGGTTATCCAAACACGCCGGCAAGCGCGTGAGCTGGTTCGAGTTGACCGAGAGAATCTCGAGGCTCTGCAGGGACCCCACTGCGTCGGGCAGTTCAGTGAGTTGATTGCCGCTACATCCTTACGCGTGAGCAAGTCACTGGGCAGGAGCGACTACCGGAGGTTCAAGTCGCGAAGCGCTTGCAGTTGTCCGACCGACGCCGGTAGACTCGTGAGCTTATTGTTGTCGAGTGACTAGCACACAAACATACTAGCACCCGAAGACGAAATCGTTCGATGCGTACGAGCACTTGCAGGCTCGATGCGTCGCCCAAGTTGGCGGGCACGTGCGTGAGCTTGTTGTTGGAGAGTTGCAGCATGCGCAGCTTGGGCAGCGCGAGAATCGACTAGCCATCCATTGCATCAGTCCCGCCTACCGTCCACGAGCGAGGTACATCGGGAATCGTCTCGAGGTCATTGTTGGTGACCCAAAGCTCCTCGAGGTTCTTGAGCGCGCCAATCTACGCAGCCATGGTCACGGCAGCTTGACGCCGGGAGCGTACTTCGGCTGGCAGCGACGTCAGGTGGTTGTAGCCGAGATCCAGCACGGCCAGCGGCGTGTTGGCGAGGATACCGATGCGCTACGCTCATGCTGCTGAGGCCACGATGGTTGATGTAGGTGGCGTACGTCGACGCTGTGCAGCTGGTTGTCATAAAGCGAGAGGCGGCGGAGGTTGCCAAAGGCCGGGAGGTTGTCGAGCGAGCAGAGCACCTTGAGGTTGCCGAGAAACTCGGCGGACCGGCGCCCAAGTCGCAGCTCCTCGCGCGTGTCGTTCTCGTCCACCATGATGGCGGGGATCTTCCGCAGGTCCTTCTGGACGAACATCGGGCGTGTCCTTGGCAACAAGACCGCTGCCACGGGATTGGCTGCCACTTTAACGCATTTTAACGTATCACGTTAAAGTTTCAAAACGCAGGAAGGACAGGGAAGTCGATCTCGTTCGATCTCCTTTAACGCGTGCCGCAGTGCGCGCGGATTGGCTAAAATACAATTCAAGCGGCACGTGTATTTTAATCCATCCGATTTTCTCTTTTTATATTGTATGGTACAAAAGCGCCGACAATCATTAAAATACACAATATTTTAAATACCTGTTCAGCCTCGACGCGTCTGTAGAGACGTGTGATTGGTTAAAATGCCATAAAACCGCCACGCCATATTCGACAAAACGCAGCATGTCGGTCACACGCAACTTGCAGCACGTCCGCGCCAAGGTGGCAGAGGCCCTTGCCGCGAGCCCATGGAAGCAGCAGGTAGCCGCCCTTCGCCCTCGCCTTGGCGCCTCATGCTACTGCGGCTAGTGTACGTTGGTCGCGGTGAGCAAGACCAAGCCGGTCGCCGACGTCGAGGAGGCGTACAACCAAGGCCAGCGCCACTTTGGCGAAAACTACGTACGTCGCCGCCGCTTTCTTGTGCGTCCTGAAGCCTCTGTGTAGATCCAGGAGCTAGTCGAGAAGGCGCCGCTGTGCCCGGCCGACATCCAGTGGCATTTCATCGGCCACCTACAGTCCAACAAGGTCAAGGCGCTCGTCACGGGTGTGCCGAGCCTGTATATGGTCGAGAGCGTCGACTCGGTGAAGCTCGCCAACAAGCTCGACTCGGCGTGGGCGACCAAGGGCACGGGGAAGCCGCTGGCCGTGCTCGTGCAGGTCAACACATCGGGCGAGGAACAAAAGAGCGGCGTCGCGCCAGAGGACTGCGTGGCACTCGCCTCGCACATCCAGGCGAGCTGCGCCAACTTGGCTTTCCAGGGCTTGATGACGATCGGCCGCTTCGACGACGAGACGGACGACTGCTTTGTCAAGCTCGTGGCCTGCCGCAAGGAGGTCGGCGCGGCCTTGGGCATCGACGAGGCGGCGCTTGCGCTCAGCATGGGCATGTCGGACGATTTTGAATCGGCGGTACGTCGACTTTTACCACGTCCCCTCCAAATGTGTTGCGTGCATCTAGATTGCACACGGCAGCACGTACGTGCGCGTGGGCTCGACGATCTTTGGCCGCCGGAATTACGCCACTTAACACGTCGGACCGATGGTTCAATGGACTACGAGAACGGTCGTGTTCCTTTAGCGATTGGAATGGATGTTGCAGCCGCAACCGTATAACGCCACGCTCGGGCGCAGCAGATGGCAGTTGCTAAAGCCCCAGCACGCGTCGATGGTCAGCCGCTTGACGCGGTGAATACCCCGCGCCGAGGTGAACGGGATGCGCTCGAGATGCAAGCAGTTGACGTCTTCAAGGGCGGCAATGTCTGTCACTTGGGCGCAGTGCCGCAGGTCCACCTAGCCCCCTGCGTCGCAACTTACTCAAGGTTACAGTAAAAAGGACCGTGTGCACGGCGCGGAGGCAAGAGACATCGGTGAGAAGCGGGCAGTGGCGCAGCGATACGTCGCTAGCGAGCGCAAGCGGCGAGACATCCACGAGCTGCCTACGCGGCGTGGTGATTCGTGAGATCTACTCGGTTAACTCACCGGCAGCCATCGATGTGAACAGTGGGCACACCGCGAAGGGCATCGATGGAGGTGATCTGGATGCAGTCGGTGATATAGATCGAGCGCAAGTGACGGAGGGGTGCGTCGAGGCAGAGTTGTCGGTGGCCACCAAGGACGAGCGTCTTGAGCGCGGCAAGACCAGCCACCGACGTAAGCCGCCCGAGGCCTGTCACGTCCAGGTGCTGGACGCGATCCAGCATGGAGATGTCTGCCACGTTCCAGCATCCCGTCAAGTTGAGTCGTCGCACCTGCCTACGCGAGGCGACCGACACGAGATACATCCTTTGACTCTGTAAGGCGCGCACGTTCGAGATGCGGTAGCAGTTGGTCAGGTTGAGATCGTCGACAGCACAGAGCGCATCGACGTTGGTAAGCGCCGTGCAGTCGGTGAGGTTGAGCGTGTGGACGCGAGCCAGCGGTCGGACGTCGTCGAGGCACCAGCTGCCAGAGAGATCGACCGCCGAGAGGTGAGCGAGCGGCGCGACATCCACCACACGCGAGCTTCGTACAGCGCACGACACCCAAGATGCCAGAGTCCCTAACCCACTTGTTTGGTCCCGTGGTTTTTACAACGAGGTCGGACGCACGGGGCAGTGTCGACGGCAAGCACGCCTCCAGCTCCACGTGGGGGATGGCTGTGATGTCGGCGGGCGCAAACGTACAGTGCACGAGGCGCAGCCGTCGTAGCTGCCGTGGGACCAAGACAACCACCGCATGCGCGTTGTGGGCTTCGACCGTAAGCGCCTCAAGGGCCGTCCACGCCTACGGCAATGATACTATCTACTAGTACACCGTACGACTGTCATCATCACCTTGAAGTTGGTCCACTGTGGACACTGCGTGACAACCAGCGTTTTTGTTTGTGGCAGCGGCGACGGCGCGTGCAGCTCGGGGCAGCTCGACACGGAGAGGACCTCGAGGTCGCCCAATGCGCAGAGATGCTCGACGCCGGCGCAGTGGTCGAGATGGAGGCGTCGGAGGCGCGGCAGCGGCCCCACGACGGCGAGGCGGTGGCATCTGCAACGATCCAGAACAACACGTGAAAGTATCTAGCACAGGAGTACCTTGTGATGTGCAACGTATGGACGCACGCAAAAGCATCCGTGTCGGTGATGGCGTCATGCGCTTCTGGTCCGAGATGCACGGCGAGGCGGAGGCAGGGCCAGCGCGCCTGGACGACGGCCGGCAGCCGCCTACCAGCACCCAGGGCCACGATGTGCGACACAGGAACCGTGGCTAGGACCCGCTGCAGCGTCTTGCTCACAGACGCGAGGCGCACCCAGTCGGCGCAGCCGAGGTACTCGAACAAGCTGGCGTGCCAAACGACCGCGTCGAGCTATTCAGAGGTAGTAAGGTCCGTCGTCCGGGACTGGCGCGTGCCTGTAGCATGATGTCCTCCAAGTGCACTCAGCGACTGACTGACTGCTTCGCCACCTCTAGTAGACACGCTTCGTACTTTCAAGCTGGGTAGGACGAGGCGCCATTGCCAGTTACGGTAGATGCCGGCGGACGAGCCATGTTGGCACACAGATCTTGCCGACTTGGTAGGTCGGACAGGTGTCGCCTCCACCTGCTTGCATCAAAGTGGTCAGCTGTCTACATCTGAGAACCTCCAAGCCACTTTTCTGAACGCACGGACCAGATTATCGCCCGAGTCGCCACATCCCCTGTAGTACCAGAGGGATCCATGATCGAGCACTGAAAGAAGATTGTGAGGACCAATACCAGGCTACCGAGCAAGACGGAGGAACCAGCGGCCAGTACGCTTGGTGCTGCTCATCCAACCTCTGCACGGTTGGAGCTGGCAGGTTGCCTCGGACCAGCGGCAATCAACTGGCCCGTTGGGTGCCCGGCTGGCGCCAGCGCCAGGCCACTCTCGGCGGCCCATTCCGTTGTTTGTACTTGTAAGAGTCGCTCGCTTGGCAGTGTGGCTCGAGTCCTTCTACAGTGTACTTGAAGGGCGTGGCATTTAGTTAGTCGCTGCTGTCCACTTAGTCGATCGATTGCCACGAAGATCCAAGCGTCGGGTGGGGTGTTTAAAAAAAGGCGCGCATTCGCATACAATTATTGAGATACAATAAAATATCGATATAAAAAGTGGTCGCACCGGCTGGGCAGCATTACCAACACGAGTCGCCAGAGCATGGGCCGGGAAGACGATAGGACGCTGCGAGCGTTGGCAGACAACCGCTTCCTCCTTGGCCCCGGTACCACGAGCAGCAGCAGCAGCATGGGCAGTACCGTGACCATCCTCCGGTCCGTCCTGACCATGGCGTCGCTCACGGGCTGCTTCTTCGTCGTCATGAGCTACCTCCTCTTCATGCCACTGCGCAAGTCGCCATCCAACCTCGTGCTCTGGATGGCGCTCTTCGCCATGGCCATGCACCTCTCGATGATCCTACAGACAGGCTTCGACATGCCCTCGGTGCCTACGCTCGGCCACTGCGTCGAGATTGGCACGACGACCGAGGTACATATGCTTCTGCCACCGCGTCCATGGCTCATCATGGCATAGTTCTTTGTCATTGTCCAAGAGCTCTACCTCGCCATGATGACCGTCGACCTCTATATCACGACGCGCAACCCATTCTCGTACTTTCGCACGATCTACTACCACCTCATCGTGGGCACGACCGGCGCGGTCTGGGCCTACATCTTCTCGTCCGACGACGCTGTGCCCGGCGCATCGCCGCTCGGCATCTGCTGGTTCAACGCAAGCCACCCCAACGCCTACGTCTATGTGTGCATGTGGGTCCTCCTCTTCCTTGGTAGATCGTCTTGCTCATGTTGCGTAGCTACCTCGTCGCGCCATTGGCCATGATCTATGGCGTCGGCTTCATGCTCTTCATCGTCGCAAGGAACCGCATCAACGACGGGTACGACGACACGTCGACGTCGGCGGCCCGGACGCTCTCGCTGCGCCAGATGAAGCTTTACGTCGGTGTCTCGGCCCTCTACTGGTTCATCGTCGGCTTTGGCTCGCTCATCATCCTCTACGGAGCTGGCCTCGACGACGTGACCGACCCGCTCTACTCGTTCTGGAGCCTCATGTTCGCGTCCAAGGGCCTCGTCATCGCGGGCCTCTACTGCCACATCATGCGCGTCGGATCGGTCTTCCACCTCTGGCGCATTGGTGACTACGACCCGCTCATGAAGGTCCAGGGCGTCAATTGGGTCCTTCGCCGCGACGTCCTCTACTTTGCTCGGTCCATCTGAACCTGAATCTGAACATGAATCTCAAGACAACATGTAGCATGGGAGTCTGCGAGTCCATGTCGCCGTCCGTGCAGCTCGTGCCCGATGTCGACCAGAGCAAGTACGCCGTGCGGAGCCTCGAGCTCGTGGGCCGCACCGACTCGCACCGCGCGATCTTCCGCGACTACGAAGCCGGCTCGTTTGACGAGATTCGGCGCATCTCGGGCATTTCGACCGAGTCCTTTGTGCGCTCGATGAGCGTGCACACGCGCGAGCGGTTCAGCGAGGGCAAGTCGGGCGCCTTCCTCTACTTTACCGGTGCAACGCAGTATATTCGATCCACGAGTCTCACGATGCCATGCTGTAGGCGACCAGCGCTTCATCCTCAAGACATGTACGCAGGCCGAGCAGCAGTACTTGCTGCAGATTCTACCGCAGTACATTCGCCACCTGACGTCCTTTCCCAACTCGTTCCTCTCGCGGTACGGTGTTGGATCTAAGATCTAAGATCTGAGATCTGAGACGACTTGAAACTAGATACGTGGGTTGCTACGACCTGATCGTGTACGACCAGACGGTCCGCTTCATCGTGCTCGCCAACGTCATGCAAAATCCGTCCGTCGACGTCGACGAGTTCTTCGATCTCAAGGGCAGCTACGTCGGCCGGTACAGCAAGTGCACATCTGGTACGAGGCTCAGATGTGGATTAGGTACGACGACCCGATGGCCCAAGGCGTTCGGAAGGTCTGCAAGTACTGCGGCATGGAATTCGTGGTCGGCATGACGCAAGAGCTCTGCAAGATGAACCCGTTTCCGAACCAAGGCCACACGCAAGAAATGTATGCTTCTGGAACTCATCTGACATCTGAAAATCGGAATGTGGAATGTAGTTGTGGCAAGGACCTCAACTGGGCGTCGCGCCAGATCTCGCTCGACAATGAACTCGCCGACAAGATCGCGACGCAGCTCAACACGGACAGCGAGTTTCTGCGCTCGATCAACTCGATCGACTACTCGCTCATGGTGGGCCTGCACACGGTGGGGCTGCCGCGGCCTCCGCGGCCGGTGGTGTCGGCCACTCCGTACAGCAGCGCAAGTACGCCGCCGCAGAACGACAACGCGACGCCGAGCTACTTGTTTCACGACGAGGACGAGTCCCGCGACGGTGTCCACCAGCCCATCTACCTCAAGGACCACAGCGAGTACGAAGCCATGGCGTCACCGGACTCTTCGTGCGTCAGCAATGTCACCGAGGTAGACTCTCTCTCCATGTCTGCGCTGTGACCAGTCATCAGGTGGTACTGCTGCAGGACACCACCAAGCATCCTGGCAACAAGAATATGTTTGGGAAGGGCACGAGCCTCGACAAGATTTCGAGCTCGCCGACGCCGCAGCTGTACCAGCACCGCGCCGAAGACTGCGTCGTGTACCTCGGCATCATTGACATTTTGACACCGTGGAGCATTCGCAAGCAGCTCGAGCACTGGTTCCGCGTCTACTTGCAGTGCAAGGACCGCCAAGGCATCTCGTGCGTCGACCCCAAGCAGTACGCCAACCGGTTCCGCGAGCACGTCGTCGCCGTTGTCATTCAGGGCAAGAAGCCGCCACCGCATCTCGAGGAGAAGCACAAGCAGCTCGAGAAGAAGCATTCGCAGCTGCCGTTGAGTCAACGCGAGTCGCTGAGCTCGGCGGTCCAGCAACCGATGATGAACTTCCAGACGCCGCCACCGGCGCGGGCGCCGACGATGGTGGCCTCTGATTTCACCGGATCGCACCTCGTGCTCGATCACCTGCCGTCGTCACGCTACTCGGGGTCGTCGTCGGTCGCCGCCGCGGTCGGCCCGACCTCGTTTGGCCAGCCCTACGGCATGTACTCGATGAGCTCGTTCCGGAGTGCGCAACAACAACAGTATGCATGAGGCAACAAGCAGCCTCGTATTTATAGCCGATAATCATGGGTGTTGACTTACGTCCGCGAGCCAATCGTCTGGCACGCGACGCGTGCTTGATCGACACCGGCTCGTCCATGTCGCTGGGTTAGGGTTCTGGCGCCAACAGCGGTGCGGTGGTCGTTGTCGGTGGTGGTGGCGACGTGCACTTGACTTGAATGATACACCCGAGCGCACCAAGACCGAGAAGAACACAGAGCGACGGTACCGAGAGCGCGTGCGGGTCGAGGTTGTCGGTCCATACGAGGCCGCATGTCGTCACGACGAGCGCGCCGTCCAGCGCCGAAGCCAGCACGATCGCTGCGTCGACGTCGCTGCTAAACGCGCCGAAAACGACCGCGACGACGAGCGATACGACGTTGGCCGTCGCGCTGGCCACGTCATTTGCATCGCAGAGTGCCAGCGTGAGAGCGGCGACAGCGGCGGCGACGGTGCAGAGGCCGCTGCCGCGAAGACAGAGTCCGCCCAGCACCGCCATCGCCAGCGCGATCGCGAGAATGGCAAAGCCGACGGCGCCGAACGCGACGGCAAAGCCAGCGCCGAGGAAGAAGCCGGTGAAGACGCCTGCATAGCGGCGGTAGTGGGCGCCCGCGAGGAGCAATGGCAGTGCGAGGACGACGACGATCGCGGTGACGATGCCGAGGAGGCCGTCCATGTCGGGCAGTCTGCTGCAAAAATGAATGTGCAAGTGCAAGGTGCAGTGGTCAAAAGACATGGTTCTTGAACCTCAAAATCAGATTTCGTCGTCGGTGCAATGACTACTCTATCGCAAAAGGATCATGCCATCGGTCAACGAAGCAGAGCGAGGCGCGTCCAAGCCGGCGTGCCAGCAGCAAGTCCACGCCAACGCCACGAGCTGACCACTTGCCCGCGTCAAAAGTGGCTTTGTCGAGGTCGCTCGAGCCAACGGCGCGCTCCCAGGAATTTTTTGGGGAAGGTGTAACGTGGTGTGAAGGCCACTGTCGGCCGGCACGAGCACATGTCAAGACGCAGTTGTCTTATTTTTCTTGTACATACGCTGATAGGACAGAAACTCAATTGACTTATCGCTGTGAAGCGATCCGCACAGGTATTATGATTCAACACAGTACCGACCCGGGCGGATTAGCACAGAGTTCGAGCCCCGTTGGCGCGTCGCTTTTCATGATTGTTGGCCAAATGGCAGAACATGTTGCGCTTCTTTCCAAACGCTGTCGAGACGATGCCTTGTGGTCTAGTTTATCGTATACAGCACAACAAAAATAGTCTATTACACTATACGAGGCCCATTAGACGGCTGTGAACGGCACCTCGTTCACCGGCGTTGTCGGCGACGTGGTGTCGACAGGCGCCGTGAAGCGGACTTGCACCAAAAGACCACTTAGAAAGGCGAGGGCGAGCGTGACGAGCGTCACGGTGCCGTAGCCGCCCGTCCCAAACGACGGCTCGTCGCGGTCAAAATCGCGGTAGTTGGTCGACGTCAAGGTCGCGATTGCCCCTGCGAGGAGCCAAGCCCCCGAGAAGGTCGACGAGAAAATCAGTGCCGTGCGCGAGTTGTAGCTGAGAGCCGCGACGATCACCATGCTGG